AACCGCCGCCGCCGCCCGAAACATGCTTGGTCTCGCCTCACGGCAGATCCCCAAGGTCGCCGCATCAACAGTGCCTTCTGTGCGAAGCTTGTCGACTAAGAATAATGCAGACAACGATGTGACTTTGCTCCAAGACAAGAATGGGTTTGGGTTCGCCCGGTCGAACCCCAGACCCCCAAAGCCAAGGAGCAAGGGTGTCACTGAAATCAGAGGCCCATACTACTCGGTATGTCTCACCCAAACGACTCGTGCATAGACCTGGGAGAAGACGTGCCAAACTAAATGATGGGACTCAGGTGATGGGTAAGAGATATCTTGCCGATGTGCTGGAAACGTAAGTTAGCATTGACCGCAGGTACAAACAAGTGTTAACAATACATGCAGCATGGGAACGCACGTGGATGGATTGAAGTTCGCAGGTGGCTCATTCTCTCTATTCCAAGAGAAGCCTCTGAGGGAACTGATCGAATTGACTCATGAGCATGGTGTTTATGTATCGACGGTGAGCATTTCACATCGGCCTGAGCAACGATCGATGGGTTCTAATCGCTATACGGCACCAAAAAGGGCGGCTGGGCCGAGCATCTTCTCACGCACCCAGACCCGAACGCCGTGTTCGACAAGTATCTTACCAAATGCAAAGATCTTGGGTACGTTGATTCCCCTTGGAACCCTCGTTTCCCCCCCATGACATTTCTAACTCGTGACATTTCTAATGTGGTCTCCTAGATTCGATGTCATTGAACTATCGTCCGGCTTCTTGTCCTTCCCAGAAGATGACTGGCTCCGTCTGGTCGACAAGGTCCATTCTTACAAGTTGAAAGCGAAACCTGAGTTAGGGATTCAGTTCGGCGCTGGAGGCGACACACCGGCTTCTGGTCTCGAGGCAATTGGTACTTCCGACCCCGGCAAGCTGGTTAACCTGGGCCAGAAGTTCTTGAAAGCCGGCGTTGAGCGCCTGATGATCGAGTCTGAGGGCATCACGGAGAACGTGGAGTCGTGGCGGACCGACGTGGTGTCTAAAATTATGAAGGAGCTCCCATCTGAGCGTGTCATGTTTGAAGCAGCGGATCCCAAGGTATACAACTGGTATATCCGTGAGTTTGGCATTGATGTCAACCTGTTTGTCGACCACAGCCAGATTGTGCAATTGTCATGTCTCCGACACGGGATCTGGGGCACTGCCGATACCTGGGGAAAGATCGTGTCATTCCGGCCTTAAGCTTAGATACTAGTTTGATATACTGTAGATCGCGTATTCTGCAGGATAATATAATAATTGATGTATAAGTATTCTATCCACTGTAGTGATGCGGAATGGAGCTCGAGGACGCCTTAGTCAGCCGCGGAAGCCGCTCCGCGGCGAGTCCGGGGAAAGCAGCGCAAACCTTCGTAACTTCTCAACTTCCAACGTCCAACCGTCCGTCGCATCTCGTTTCTTTGATTCATTTGACCCCCCCGAAAGAGATGTTAAACTCAGGCCTCGGCTAGTCTGGCTGGGGTTCTGTTTCGATTTTCCGGTCGCCCGCAACGGCACGGCCCCGCGATTCGATAACCTCGATCTCCTCCGAATCCGATCTGCCTTTTGAACGACATTCAATCCTTCGTGTACCATCATGCCAAAAGCTATTACCACCCCCGGGGCCAGACTGCGGTGCAGGAGAGCATGCGACAGCTGCAAGCGGAGAAAGCAGAAATGTAACGGAGAACAGCCATGTACAATCTGCGTCCAGCGCCACAAGGAACCGGAATGCCATTTCTCGGACAAACCAGCCCGCCTCCTCAGGCCTAGTAGCCAGTCTAAGGAGACGATGCTGCTCAGCGAACATATGGTGTCGACACCGCAGAGGGAGACGGCCATGGACCGCTTATTGAATTCGTTAGAAGACCACAGTGCCAACCTCGAACAACAGGCTGCAGATGATAAGGAAGGTGCAGCACCGGTACCGAAGGTGGCCAGACTGCTTCGCGATGGTCAAGGAAAATTCATGTACATCGGAGACTCTGCGAGTTTATCCTTCCTTCAGAGCGTCCGTCGCATTGTCTCTTCCTCAATTGGCAATTGCGAGTTTACGGAGGATACGTCGCGCCATTCGATGCTCGAAGCCTTCCAGAGTAGCTCCACCACCCAGACTGGGCCGTTAGTTCCGCCTCCCAGCAACGAAGAGGCCCAGCGCCTGGCTCGTCAGTATGTTCTAGCTACTAGTCCCCTGCTGGATCTGTTTGACCTAGATGAATTCCATCCGCGGCTTGCCAGCTGGGTCGAAAATCCCACGGGAGACGAAGACACCGTGAGCTCCATCTTCTACCTCGTTCTTGCGATCGGCGCACAAGTATCGGACACCAATCAGACTCTGGCCGAGCAATATTTTGTTAGCGGCCGCCAGCTAGCGTTCTCGGCTTTCACCGAAACCCCTAGCAGCTATACCATTCAATCATATGTATTGATCTCGATGTACATGCTAGGTGCTTGTCGGCGCAACGGCGCTTTTATGAACCTCGGAATTGCATTGAGGGCCGCCTATGCTGTTGGGGTTCATAGGCGAGATGCAAATGCGTTGTTCTGCACGCGAGAGCGACGAGCTAGGGAACGCGTTTGGAAAAGTCTACGCATGATGGACCTCTTCCTCAGTGCCTCTCTGGGCCGCCCTCCTGCCACATCCGATTTTGACTACGAGTCCCGCGAGGAAAATCTGCTCATCAGCGAGCAACAGCGTCTCCAGCCTGAAGAACAACTCTCGTTGACGGTGGTCTCACTAAGCCGCATTTTCGAGCGAATCTTGACCGAGGTCTACATGAAGCAAGTTGTTTCCCTCAATGTGGCTGACGCGATATCAAATCAGCATCGCGCTTGGGTCCGAAATCTCCCTGCTTTTCTGCAGATGCAAACGGAACGACTCGAAACAAATTCCCTCGAGACCACATTAGCTGCGGCCCATGTTTTCGGCTCCTACTACTGGTCCATCATTCTTCTGACTCGGCCGTTCCTTATTTTCCGGGTATCGCAGTATGTGAGAAATAAAAGCGACCAGGGTTCTTTCACCGAGCCCAGAACAAGCAGCTCCCGCATTGCTCTTTTTGCCGATGCGTGTGTCTACTCGGCATTGAGAGGACTGAACATTGTTGACGGACTCTCTCGATACAAATCTCTGCCGCGACGATTGCCCTTTCTAATCAATTCGGTGTTCAACTCTGCCATCGTTCTGGGGGCAGCCTTCTTCGCTGACTACGACAATTTGCTCCCTCTTGAAGAAGGCATGGGCAAGGCGGAACATTTCCTCGGTCTTTTCGTCCCCCATGATCCGCATGCGTGTCGCTTCTACCAGATCATCAAATACCTCCGTGCTGCGGTGGCCGAATACGTGCGACGACGCAATCGCCAATGGATGAAGCGTCGCAGCAGACAGGTCGACCAACTCTTCGGCCAAGTTGGGCCAGCACATGAGACTGGCCCCACAGATAATAACGACGACAGCAACGTCCCACTCACCCGCCCAAACGAACCCACCGTCCCCTCTCCCTTGTCACCCGATAAATTCACCGGCTCTCTCCCTCAACCACCCGACCCGACGGCTGCCGCGACAGCACACCCGGACAACGACATCTGGGACGCCCTCTGCGGCGGGACCGAAGGCGCCGCCGCTGCCGCTGCTGCCGCCTCCCTTCCCTACGACACGGCTATTTCAACTCTCACGACCACCGGCATCCCAATCGGTTGTTCGCCAGGTGGTACCATCCCCTCCGGTCCGCAAATAACCGATCGGTCCGGCATGACCGATGCCCGCGGCCAGACCCCGCTGTCGGACGTCATGCTCCCGGATAACGGGCTCCTTTATATGGCCGAGGACCTCCCTGTGTTTGGTATCTGGGAGGATACTTGACCTTATCCTCCCCCTTTTTTTTCCCCCTCTGCCCCATCTACATAACCCGTGCATATATACCCTATCTTCTTTTCAACTATTCATACATATACCTACCTCTCTTTCTCTATCCAACGGATATTGGTCTTAGGCGCACATATCGCCTTGACAAACCACATACGCGAAACTTACTATCTAACCTCTATTTTTATCCAATGATACCTTGATGACTACCTACTATATGACAACTTCATGCCTGGGCTCCTCTGATCTTGGGTCATTTAGGAGTTGAATGACGATGAAAGATTCGGCAAGGCGCTGAGGGCGTTTTAGCAGTTTGAATCAAAGACGAGATGTACATACATACATGACATGACACACCACCAACTACTATTGGAAACCCTTGAACATATATCAAATGTGACTTGACTTTTGCGTACATTTTTGTCTGAAAAGTGGAATAAAAAATAAAACACAACCTATATGTACCGTACATACATACCAAAAGATAGCAAAGAAACAACAGAACGGAAAACGAACGATGCGAAAAGAAAGGGAGAGAGAAACGAGAGAGAAGGCCCATAATTAGAAATATCAGAGAAAATAAAACTGGAATAGAAGACATGCAGACGCAGGGGAAGGCGCAGAAAACAAGTCCTCCAACCAGCACAACATGATAAAAGTATAGAACAGGAAGAGGGTGCAACAAAAAAGTAATGAAAGAAACCGATGACATGGTAGATGAGTAGAACAAAGGAAAAATGACAAGATGGGCATGTCGGAAAGCTGCCGCAGTCTTCCAAAATTACGTATTGCCTCAAAACTGGCAAAGGGGGAGGGGGAAGGGGACAAGAACATGTCTAGGTCGCTGAGGCCGCGTAAAACAACAGAAATGGGAGAGTGTATAGACGAAAAAGAAAAGAATTATCCTCAGGGCATTTGGTTCAGAAAGCGACGATGAAGTAGGTGGGCCATGACTAGAGTTGAATACGCATTACAGCGTGAGAGAGGCAGATCAAAAGAAACACAACAGTTCATATCCATGTTGCGCGTGCAATTCCGCCAGCGAAATCCGAGAACGAGGTATAGTAGAAGTCATGTGCCGCAAAGGAAAAAGAGATATATACAGCAGAGTTGAAATCAGAAGCCAAACGGATTCGTGGGCGCTAGTAGAGTGAAACATGTTAGTAAATATGACTCTGGAAAAGGACAGAGGGAGTGAAGTGGAAGCTTACTGGCTTGAGAAAGATTGGCCTTGAGACCGGTTGGCTGTGGAGCAAGCTTCTTGGGAGCCTCGGGCTTGACACCAAACCTGATCGATGGGGGTGGGCCGGTCTTCTGCGGTTGCAGCGGCGTCGCCGTAGGCTGTTGAGGAATTGGCGGGATCGGGGGCGGCGACGCATTGTAGGGCATACCACCAATACCATTTAGACCGGTAGGTTGAGGCTGCAAGGCTGGAGGAAGGACGGAATTGACACCGGTTTGCATCGGCTGCTGCGGCTGCGGCTGAAAGCCTCCAAAACCGGTGGGCTGGGGCATAAGTCCCTGGAACCCAGTCTGTTGCTGCTGAATTCCGAACTGCGACTGTGGCTGGAACCCGGTTGGCTGCGGCATCAGTCCATTCTGGAATTGGTTCTGGGGCATAAAACCGGTCGGTTGAGGCTGAAGCGTTGACTGGAAGCGCTGTTGATTGAGCTCGGCGAGACTCTGTCCGGGAGGCGCAATTTGCGGGCCCGCTTGAGGGATGCCTGTAAGTTGAGGCTGCAGCGGAGTGGCTCCAAAAGAGTTCTGCTGCTGAGGGAAATTCTGAGGAGCCGAAAGGGGTCGCGGGGGCGGAGGTGGCAGCAGCGTGTTCTGACCCAAAGCCTGCGGGGCCTGGGGACGTTGTCTCGCGGCCTGCTGAAAGCCGGTCGCTTGAGGGCTGAGCCCTTGCATGTTGTTCTGGCCGAGTTGCGAGAAGAACCCCGGGGTGGCTCCGGTCTGCTGTGGTTGCTGTGGCGGAGGTTGAGACACGGGCACAGCGGTGGGCTGGGCTTGAATCACGGGTGGGGCCGGCGGGGATTGGGGAGCAGGAGCAGGCTGGGCAGTAGGAGTGGGCTGGAGCGGAGGATGAAGGATCGATAGATCAGCCAATGCTCCGGTCAACTGCTGCTGGGACGGGGCCTGGGTCGTGGCAGGCGAGGCCGCAGCAGGGGGCGAGTTTGAAGTAGCAGCAGCCGGCGCAGTTGTGGCAGGCTGCTTCGGTTGCTTGACCTCCCATGCATCATCATCGAAGCCTTGTTTGACCGGCTTCTCGGTCGCAGCAGAAGCCGGGGGCGTTGCGTCCGGGTCGGACGGTGTAGATGTGTCCTTCTGCTCGAAAGCCTTAGGATCAACGACGTCGTTGGTTTGAACGGCGGGAGCCGGTCTGCCCTTGCGAGTGTTGTTACGCAACGTGCCCCCCGGTCCAGAAAAGAGGCCACCAGGAGATCCATCCTCGCCGTTGGCGATAACTTCTTCGCCACCGAAGCTCACATTGCGCAGCTTCGACTTGCCGCCAGTGCGATTGAAAATCGTGTCCAGATGGCGCATCACTCGTAGGATATCACCCTCCTTCAAACCAAGCGTGCGAAGAACCTCGGGGGTGATTTCCGGAAGAATAGTCTCGTCCATCGAATCTTTGATGAAGTTCTGGGAGTATCGCTCGCACTGATGAGGACCAACGCCAGCCTTCAGGAAGAAATCGAACCAGTCGTAGTCCGACTGCTGGAAGGAAGCTCCAGCTCCAGCGCCAGCTCTTTTGGCCTCGCCCGAGGAACGAGCGGGCTCGGGTTCAATCTTCTGAGACCGACGGCGAATGTCGGATAGAGGCTTGTCCTCATCCAAAGACACGCCAGTGGCCTTCTCCACGAATTCCAGATCCTCGACTGACATCTTGGTGATTGGGACTGCGATTTTGACGCCGTTCATTTTATGCAGATGGATTTTGCCGTCTTGAAGGCCGATGAACTGAGCCTCCACGGTAAAGGTCTTGGTCCGGTCGGTCCAATGTCTCGTTTTGTTGGGATCCGGTTCTATCAATGGCATTAGCATGATCGACAGCAACGACAGATGAAAATAGCAAAAGACTTACTCGCTTTATGGCTGCTTCGACTGTCGCGTTTCTGTCGTCGCAAAGCAAGCGATCGTCAGCATATCTAGCTCTCCAACATGGGGTAATTGTTAAAGAAACTCACCTCAGGGCTGCGCGTGTCCTTCGGTTCAATGGTTGACTTGCGCAACGCTTCCTTGGCTAACCTAGACTCCTCGATCCGATTCCGTTCGACATTCGACAAGCCGGAGTCCAATGCGGGGGACTGACTGGCCGTGACGCCGGTGATCTCTACATAGCTGCTTGGAACCACGCCCTCTTTGCCGTTCTTCAAGCGCCGCACCATCCACCACTCCTCGGATTTGGTGTCGTCGAGGATGATGACATCGTCACCCTGCGCCACGGTCACCTCGTCATCACCCTGAGCCATAAATTCGTACACCATTTGTCCCTTCTTCTGGCCGCCGCCACCTGATCCGGCCGCGATCACCTCCCTCAAACCCTCTGCACGGTAAGCCCCCGAGATTTCGCCCAAAGCGGAGACAATTTCGCGTGCGGTGTCCTTTGCTCCGGCATGGAAATCGATACTTCTACTGGGGCGAACCATATCGACGAAGACATGCTTGCCCTCAATCGAGTAGTGCGACAGCTTATCGGCGGTCCATTCCTGGTCCTCGCCGTCATCTTCGGGCGAAATGAAGATGGTGCCGGTGGCCGCATTGATTCCCAGAGTTGTAGGTTTCTTCTTTCTCTTGCCCATCACCTCGACCATCTCATTGATATTGTAGATGTGATATCCAGAGGGCGAGCGCGGGGCAGGCTGCCCAACTCTGTTGTAGGGAGGAGATTCCTGTACATGACCTTTGCGATCGCTTGCCTGAATGGAAGCAACCCGAGGTCGTGGTGGCGGAGAGGGCTCCGGCGGGAGATCGAAACGCACCGGGGAGGAAATCTGTTCCGACGGGGGACGCCGGGGCAAGGCCGGGGGCGGCGGAGAAGGCTCCCTTCGGTAGCTTTCTTCGGGCTCATAGGTTGGCTGAGGCGGAGGCGGAGGGGGCACAGTTCGGGGGGTCTCCGGCTGCGTGGGGGATGCATGTTGCTGGTGGATGATGTTCGCAATTGCAGCGGCAGCCCCATCTTGGGGGGGCCTGTCAACGGCAGGGCTGGCAATGGGCTCCGGGGTTTCCTCCTCTGCGGGCACCGCGGCTGGTCGTTGTGGAAGACTGGGAGGGGGGGTCTCGACTGGGGGAGACGAGATGGCAGGTGGCGTTGGAGCATGGGCGGACTGCGCTTCTATTTCGATGTAATTTGCAGGGGCAAAGCCGAAGTCCGAACCAACACCAACTAAGGTCCAGTCCGGATCCGACGTGTCGTACACCATCAGCTCCGCATCTTCCGAAAAGGATACCTCCTCGTCCGTTTGGCGCGTGTAGTCGTAAAGCGCTTTGGCCGCGTGGATTGGTTGAGTCTATAGATGAGAATGGACATTGTCCCCGGTCAGCAAATGCAACTTTCACCATTACCTCGGTGGGTTCTGTCCCTCCAATCAACTACCCCTGAGTGAGAACAACCATCAACAGATTCAGCCACTCTCCCAGAGAACTCCAGCCACTAGGACCATTCTCCGCGCAAACCGACCAGCAGAAGGGAATCTTCAAACGTGGGTTCTTACCTCCTCGACATAGTTGTTCGGCACCAGACCTTCAGGCTCGTCCTCGTCGTCTCGTTCCGCCTTCTTCTTGGCTTTCCACCAAGCATCCTCGTCGCTTTTCTCCAGAATATACAGTAGGTCTCCTTCGCGAAGCTCTAATTCCCCCTGCGCCTGGGGATGGTAGTCGTAAATGGCCGAATATACACCTAGGAAACCCATCTTGGGCAGCAATCGCTAGCAAAGCGACGACCAGATTTCAGCAGCTGCGGGAGGGGTGGGCTGCTGCAGGCAGCGTTCCGAAACGAACAGGTGTCACACAGAACGGGGTGTTGGATTCCAGTCTGTTAGGAGGTCGAGTGCGCGGTAAAGCCGGAGGTTGGGAGGAAGTGGATGGGCCGGTCGGGGGGGGGGGAGAGGAGGATAGTCGAGGGTGGGTGGAGGACACCGACAGGCTTGGCAGTTCCCAGGTACTTAAATGAGTTAATTAAAGACTAGTCCTCGATCTAGTCCCGGGGGGGGGGGGGGGGAGGGCGATGGATGTAGGAACGACCAGGAACCCGCGTAGATCGGAGAGGGGAGGGAAGTGAGGAAAGAGAAGGAAAGGGAAAGGGACAGCGTCAGTCAAGGCGAGAGTAAAGAGTGGGGAGAGAAGAACGAGAGCGTGCGTAATAAGGAGTAAAATGGGGTGTTCGTCGATGATCCCAGAAGGCGGTCACGTCACCTTTTCTGCACCTTCCAGCCTTCGATTCTGGGGAAGAATTGTCCGAGTAGCTGGTGCCTGCCAGAGAAGTCTCTACTTTAGGCGACTATTTATTGACTTGGGTGGTGTGTTTGGTGTTCGTGAACCTGTCGCTGTGTTGAACCGCCGATCGACGGGAACGCGGGCCTGAGAGTGAGCAGGTGGTCGCTGTGACGCTGATATCATCGTATACATTATACAATATGAAATATAATCAATTCCCAATCACAGTATTTATTTACGTGAATCATGCATCTACTCCGTACTCGGCTCCAGCTTCTAAACACCAAAGAGACACAACAGGATGCACATGCATTATGAACAGACACGGTGGATATCAAAAAAAAAAAAGTGCAAAAGAAATACATAAGAGCTTCATCTCTACATCCTCAATCAAATCACCATGTAAAATTGCTCCATCTCGAGTTCAACATCTTCGCCCTCGCCAGCCTCTCCCTGGGGATTCTGCTCGGCACTAGCTTGGTCGCCCTCTGACGCGGGCTTTTGCCTCTCACCGGTTGCATCCTGCTGTCCGGCCTGCTCGGAAGATTGTGCCTGTCCCTGGGGCTTGCCCGTCGTATCGACCGTCTCGGTCTGCTCGCTGTCGGTGTCCACGATCCCACGCAGCCCCCGTTCTCCGTTGGCTAAGACGACCTCCAACGTCCAGTCCTTGCCCTTGGCCCACTCCTCCATTTGCCGCTTGAGCTCCTCGACCTTCTCGGGGTCAAGATCGTATTTCTTCAGCTCCTCGCGCGACAATCGTTGGATTTCTCCGTTCTCGCGCTTGGCCAGAGTGTCGACCTTCTCCTCTCCGGCAGAAGCCACGCGGCCCTTTTCAATGACCTTGCCCTCCGACCCGACCAGTTTCTGGGCTCCCACCTGGATGTCTCCGACAATGGGAAACTCCAAGGTCTCTGCGGCCTCGACCAGTCGCTGGGAATGATGGTACTCCTGCATCGCCTCCCATTCGGGCACCTCGTCCGGAGTGAGGATCTCTCGGCATTCGATCGAATGCACCTGTTCCTGCTGCGGGGGCAGGAAAGCAACGTCATTGCACAGGCGCGGAGTGTAGATCACCATCAGGTAAGAGCAGGTGGTGAGCTCCTTGATCCAGCCGATGCGGTCCGTGGATTGGGGATGGCAGTGGAACTGAACCTCGATTTTCCGGTTCCTTCCCGTCAGATCGCAGCGCGTCCCCCCATCGAGACGCTGCACGAGATAGCGCGAGCCCCCCTTCGTTTGCAGCTCGGCGAGAGCCGTGGTGGTCTTCTTGGTATCCGTGTCTTCCGTCTCGTCATCGCCGCCCACCGACCGCAGAAACCGGCCGAGGATGAAGGAATGCGTGGTGGGATCCTCCATGGGAGGGTAGTTGGGGATGCCGCTCCCTGACGGCAACGCGTGAAACTGCTTCACCTGGTTTTTGTAGCAGAAGGAATAGGACCACCACCCTGACACGTAGTACATGCATTTGCCTTCCATCTCGCGCAAGAGCTCCATCCCCCGATCCGTTGCCCGGGCCAATTCGCGTTTCTCTTCCGCTTCGTTCGATTCCTGGGTGCCGTTGGATTTACTCTGGTCCTCCCTCTCGACGTGGGGAATGCGACACAGGTATCGCTGACCTTCTAGAGCCATTTCTTCGTAGGTGACCAGATCCCCTTCCTCTCGTCGCAGTCTTCCGCTTCCGCCTTTGTTACCGTGGGTAACATCGTGCAAGGCGACTTGTGCCTGGTTCTGGCCTACGTATGTTGGCTCGTTATCGAAAGCATTGTATTCGACATGTTCGTCTTGTTGGGAGTAGAGGAGTTCTTGAGCATGTGATTCGAGGAGATAGCCGTCCGGAAATAGCACTTGGTACTAGAGTCAGGTTTCGCATTAGTGAGCCGTCCATCCAGGGGGATTGCTATGGATTGTATTACTTGAGGGTAGGCGAGGAGATCGTCGTGGATATTAAAGACCTTCTTGCTGGCCCAGGCAGTGGAAGTGGCACATGCCAGCATCAGTAGCGGCGTCACTATCCGCGAGCGTCGTGCCATCCTGATGTCACGCAACGAGCAGACGATGGACCGTAATGAGACCGAGAGCAAGAGTGGGGCCCTACGCAGAGACTCGAGAGCAAACGAGAGGGATTCTAGCAGGACATGATCATCGTAATCCGGGGTAAAGAGGAGACGCCGCGAGGAGAAAAGGCAACGCTGGCCGCAGTCATGCCTTATCGCTTATCACCACGTGATCTGGGTTGGTCACCTTCATGGTTTTTAGGCGTCTCTGAGCAGTTCCTCGACCATACCGAAACTTTTGAAAATTTCCACAGATCGGACTTGAATGCCATCTGCTTGCCCAACATTCAGTGGCCCAGATCGAGACTCTACGATCTTGCAGCGAACTCCATATCGTACCAGCCATATCGCCGCTGCGAAACCAGCGGTGCCGCTGCCACGGATGATAAAGTCAAATTTCGAACTCATTGTGTCGTGGTTTAAATGCTATTAAGGAGAGAATACTGCGATACTTTCTTATAGACTTACGGGAATATTTGAGAAGAAGGGCTCGTGCTAATGATTACGTTCACCTCGTTGCAGAGACAACTTCATACTTGGCTGACGACTGATCTTTGCATTGTTTGCCCTATCCAAAACCAAATCTAAATACCGGGCACATATATCAGTGAACAAACAGGTCTATGCCTACCGACCGTTCCGTCGGGTACCATGTTTTCCGAACTTAGCCGGTAGATACGGTGTTATAAGAGAGATCGCCAAAGAGCCTTTGGATGCAGAGATAGTTTCAGGGTGCCTGGAGGAAGCGGCTCCTCGGTACAGTACTCCATCGCTCTGACATCATTCATGTGGGAGTAACGCCGAAGATTCTTGTTGAACCGGTGGATTCGCCGCGAACTAGCCGGCAGAAGCAACCCGTTATCCATACTGGATGTCGATGAGTTCTCTATATGCCGGCTGGGAGATGAGGCCGACAAAGACTCCTGCATGGTTGATTCTGACGTATCGGATATCAGTTTTGATATTGGTGCCCCTGCGTAGCCGGGAATTAAAATTTCTGCATGCCCGACATATTTCTGATTTTCCGAATTTCCGAGACGCAATGAGGGCGACCCCCAACAGAGGAAATAGCCCACGTCGCAGATACTTTGACCACCCATCAATGAAGTTGAGACTTCTGTGTGGACAGTTCCGACAGGCCTGAGAGATGACATCAGTCGACGGTCGTATCGAGTTTGCGTTCCTCGGCAAGGGTTCAATGCTCGGTCGGTCTTATGCTCCGTCCAAAACCGATCGCGGTAAGATAGGGCCATCGATGCAACCTCGAAAGCCTGGAGTACTCTTGGCAGGCCTAGTGGTTGCGGATCCAATTGACAACTCATGTACTCCCCTCCTCACGGAGACAAACCGTAGTTAAGAATGCAAGAGAGTATTACCGTACATTGACCTTCTTTAACCACTCTCTCTGAGTTCCATCCCTCCTGGTAGAATACTTGAAGCCGAAACAAGACGACAACTTCAACGCGAAGGCCTTTCTGCATCAGATACTCTATCATCCATCCGTGACAACGACAAACTTTCCCGACTCCCTGGAAATACTGAAGCCTATGATAATCACGACCCCTTTTATGTCTCTACGATAAGCGATACAGAACCACGACAACTACCCTTGGAAGATACTATGTCATCACAAGCCCCAATTTACACTTCTTTTACCGACGCTTGAGCACAAGCAGCATACTTAGCTTCACTTTACTGAGGACGAGCCCTGACCTGGCTCGAAGACCATATTACGGATGCTGTTAGGGCAGTGAGTGACCAGGTACGATATATGGTAAGGTTGAGCGGAGATGCCTCTGAGTCAATTGGATTAGTCGGTAGTATGTATATACAGTCAAAGACTAATCCTTAGAGAAAAGGGAATGCAAGGGAACAGCCACCATATCTTTATAAACTCCACTCGAAAACCCCTTCCGGGGATCCATTGTCGATCAGTGACAAAGGTGCCGTAACAGATAAGAACACAGCAATCATCGACGATTACGAGCAACTGGTCGCATGCACCTGTGAAGACCTAGAACCAAACGAAGACTTCCAGAAGATTTACGCCCACCAAAAAGCAGTGAGGCCACGCCAACGTGCATCAGTCCAAGACTACGCCATTACATTGAAAAACCCTTCAACCATTCAAGCCTCCGTTGAATCAGCATTTTCCTCTTCCTTTTGATTCTTGGCCAACTTTCGTCTTCGATGGTCTTTGAGTAGAAAGACAAGGGCGAGGACAGTGCCGAATGCTGTCAACCCGACAGAAAACCAGAGAGTACCCCGGTAACCATGAAGCAAGTCTGCCTCGGTGTGTCCGCCATTGTTGATCTGAAGTTCAATGGTACCAGCGAAACCAAGACCTAGCGATATACTGTAGACAACAATCGTCATGATCACACTGGATCCCATACCCTGGTACTGTCGAGGCACTGCGTTCGAGAAGATGATCGTTGCAGCAGGCAACGATGAATCCATTGCAAAGGTGGCGATGATGGTGGCGAAAAAGAAGTAGGTCCAGTACGTCGAGTGTACGGGTCGCAAGGCCATGAGAAGGGAAGTGATGAAGTAGCAAAGCATTGCAAACAACATGATGGACGAAGCTGGAACCTTGTTGATTATCTTGCCAACGACCAAGGCTGTTGATATGCCGGTGACGAGGATAGGAGAAAGCCATGCAGCCAGTTGAATGGGAGTTTGGCCACCGATATTGAGGCATATTCGGATGACGTAGAAAAGCTAGACACATCGTTGGTTTGACATAATTTCGGGGCAAAGATCAGTACTTACCCAGATGCCAAATGTGGACCAGCCTGCTGCTGTACAACCAAAGACGAAGGCGATGTCGGAAGTGAGAACGTGGACAGGTAGAATTGGATAGCGAGCTAGGCGAAGTTCGATGTAAAAGAACGCTGCTAGGAACAAGAAACTTAGGATCAGGCATACGTAGACGTAAGGTTCGTCCCACGTAGTGACCAGGCTCTGATTCCAGGCGAAGTTGAACAGAACCAGAGCTGTCACACCGCTTGCACCTCCCAGGAGATCAAGGCGGTCCAAAGTTTCGCAAATCGTTCGTCGCTGCTTTTGCTCACCCTCGACAGGCATGTTTGGAATTGCAACGATAGCGAGGACGAAGAGAAAGGCAACCCCCAAAGCCTGACTCCAATAGATCCATGGCCACCAAGCCATGGCGAAGAGGGGCCCAAAGAGGAGACCTGCCATCGCACCGACTGGGGCTGATGCAGCAAACCATGCGAACCCCATGTTTCGAGGGCCCTGGGAGAAGCATTTGCCCATGATGGCGAGTGCATTAGGCACAGTGAAGGCGGGACCAAGGCCCTGCAAGACACGAGCAAGGACGTAGACGGGGTAGCTGGAGTAGACAGAGACTCCTGCCATCATGCTGGTCAAAGCAAGCCAGCCCATACCGATGATGAAGATTGCCTTGTTGCCAAACTCGTCACCCAAACGTCCTCCGATCAAGACGAATGTGCCTAGAGTCAAGCCGTAGCCAGAGATTGTCCACGAGAGTTTACCAGGGTCGGTGACACCAAAGGACTCTCCGATTATTTCCAGTGTCGTGAGACTGTTGCATAGGCCCAACTGATTGGTGAACATGGATGAACACACCGTCATGATGAAGATGATCCGCCGAATCAAGTGGTAGCCATCGGCAATGTAGACGTATTCATCTCTCGCAGTCTGTGCAGAACCTATACCTGAATCTGTATGAGTTAGTCAACGCGTTCAAAAGGTCTCCAGCTTTTGCAGGATATCTTTGAGAGCTACTTACCATCACCATGCCTCGATGGTGGAATTTTGGAAGGATGCGATGCAGTTTCCTGCCCTTCTAGAGATGAGGCGGTCATTGTAAATAGGATTGAATGTTACTTGACTGCAATAATAGGCGAAGAGGTTTGCGGAAAAAGAAAAAGAATTAAATCTATAAAAGATAAAGAGAGGGAACTAAAGAGAAAGGCGCAACTAAACCCACCTATCTGAAAGCGCAATGCTGTCTCTTTTGATGCTATCTAGATGCCGATTTGTCAGAATCCATTTCCGGAGTAATAACTGTTTATAGTACTAAATCAAAAGTCTCCGTTGTCCCGCTCCCGACGTCCTTACATAAACCGCCCACCCATAACTACTTAACTAGTAGTAGCACCAAAACACAAGATAGCTGATCAAGGAGGTTTCATGAGCCGTTATCCGCATTGCCAGCAATAACCACTACAACGTTGACGTTTCTAAGACCAAGTACAATGTTTTAGAAGCGTGAAACACAACCCAATTTCCAAGTAGACCTGCACTAGGCATACCTCACACCCCAAATGTATTCATGTTTTTAGATATCAAGGACTTTCCAATACCTTCAAGACGCTGTTCCCAAAGCTTGTCCAACCATCCTTCCCAAATTGCCTTAGTATATCCAATTCCGTTTCACCATTAACTCGTCTTGTATCCAGCGCTTGGGTAGGATCATCCTCAGGCCAAGGCTTGCCGGGGTCTTGTTTGCGGAAAACATCGAGCCAACTATTGAAATTGAAACGGCCCGCAAATGCCAACAAGCGCTTGTTCTTTACCTCCTCTTGAGTCAGCGCACCAATGTGCAAGAGCGCCACATCTCCGACATAACCATAATACGAGGCTCCGAAACCTCTCATGAAGCCATCCTTTGATGGATCTTTGTAGAAGTCTAGCAACCATTTCGCCGTGCTACCAGCCTGTTGCTCGTCGAAGATGGCCCCTATTGTGTAAGTTGGCAAAACAGAGTTCACCACGAAGCTCGGGTTCTCCTCCTGGCTGAACTTCCACATTTCCTTCTCGACTTGCGCTTTGAGAGCAGAATAAACGTCCCACCCACGTTCCGCCTCGTAAGGGGGTGGTTTCCACGCAGCTTCGATGGCCTCTTCGTTCCAAGTGTCCCCATTGATCGGGATCTCTCGAGTAGTCGAACGATTGCTTGCTGCTTGATCACTGCTGGTGAATACGAAACGCTTGATTGAAGGTTCTTTCCTGGCAGCCTCAAGAAGTCTTCGAAGAGCTTCTACACTTGGCGTAATGACTTTGGTCGGGTCGGGTCCGAAGCTCACGTCTCCTGCGACATGGGCGATGCCATCAACACCCTTGAGAGCTGCGTCCCAGACGCCGGGGGCATTCTGATCTGATATAATGACAGCCTCGAAATCTGCAGAAGGGTTGCGTTTGGTCAGGGCTTGCGTCACCCAGGCTGCCTTTTCACTCGAGCGGACGGTTCCGCGCACTCTGTAGCCAAGCTCAAGCAGCCCGTTCGCAATATACGAGCCAATGAAACCTGTGACGCCAGTAACGAGTACCAGGCCTCCAGGAGGCACTATGCTGGAAGATGCAATCATGTTTCTGACGAAAGGATTCGAAATAGAGCTGTGAGGTCGCGAGATGGTAGTGTCGTGTCTGCAAGATATGGCAGTAAGCCCCCCTTTTTATAATCTATAATCCGAATTTATAATCCGGTCTGCGGCTAAGTACATCTGGCCAGCGAATAGGATCCATCGATTCAGTCTCCTGTTGATCTGTGACTCACGCAGCTCATGTTCAACGTATTCCGGGGCTGCCTTCCAAAAGTGGGTATCTCGTTGTGTAAGTGGTAGCATTTCTGGATGCAAAAACACAATGAGATGGACCAAAACGGTAAGAGGCCAAGCCTCAGCCAGCCGTCGCTGAAATCAGGCAGCTTGCATAAATCCTCAAAGCTGTATTTTCTTCCATCTTACCCATCTTTCCCGAGAGAATGGTGAGATCGTTCGATCGCCTTGCCATTGGGGATGCCGGACCGGTGAGCCAAAGAGACCCTACCTATTGAAATCAGCTAGTGGGTTGGGATGTAGGGCTTCGGATCTGATAACAAGCCTCGGAATACCGAATTACAAAGCAGGCTAGGTCACGTGGAGGTGTGGCGGTGTTACTCCGGGATGACTGAACCAGTGCGGACCCGCTGATTGCCAATGACGGCCGCAAGGGGTTTAGCGCCTGCTGACGGGAGTCTTGGTCAGCTTCAATAATCTCCGACTAAGGTTTAGCAGTCCACCTTCCATAGTTCACACTTCATGATTATTCGAGTCCTTATAAGACGTGACAAACTTCGTCCAATGGCTCTAGTCTTTTCTACCAAGTTCCCACTCTACTCCCGCTCCTGTATAAAAAGCCGCTCGTCGCGTCCATGAGGCCCTTTCTGTCTTTTTTCATCGGCATCACAGCTATCCTCCTTCCACTGTTCTATACCTATAGATCAACCTTTACTACATCGCTAGTCTCCAGTCTGCTGCAGCGTTTCCAACACCCCACGACTACTCCTATCACCACCGGAAACATTCAGTCGCACGATCTCTATCCACTTCCTGTCGTGTTTCCAGTCACCGAAATGGCCATTCCTCGAGCAATCCGCCAGGTCTTCCTGGCCATCGAGCAAGCCGAGGGCGCCGGTGCGCGGGTCCGCCGCTCCGTCGGCACCGCCAAGCTGCGCAACTTCAGCCCCTTCCTGATGCTGGACCATTTCACGATCGGGCGCGGGGCCGGGTTCCCCGACCACCCGCACCGCGGCCAGGAGACCATCACCTACCTGCTCTCCGGCGGGGTTGACCACGAGGACTTCGCCGGCAACAAGGGCACCATCGGACCGGGTGACCTGCAGTTCATGACCGCCGGCCGCGGCATCATGCACGCCGAGATGCCGCACGAGAACCCCGACGGCTCCCCCAACGTCGGCATGCAGCTGTGGGTCGACCTGCCCAAGCACCTGAAGATGTGCGAGCCGCGGTACCGCGACCTCCGCGCTACTGAGATCCCCGCCGCGTCTGTCGACGATGGCCGCGTCACCGTCAAGGTCATCTCGGGTCAGTCGCACGGCGTCGACTCCGTGCGCGACCTCGCCTACACCCCCGTCTGGTTGCTGGACGTCACCATTCGTCCCGGTGGCCGCATCGCCCAGCCTCTGCCGCAGGGCTGGAACGCCTTTGCCTACACCCTGGCCGGCACCACCGTGTTCGGCTCCAACGATTCCACCCAGCTGGTCAAGGAATTCCACAACGTCGTCTTCGACCAGCCCGGCGACTACGTCGAGGCGTCCGTGCCCGATAACGCCGAGTCTGAGGCTCGCTTCTTGCTAGTCGCCGGCCAGCCGCTGGACCAGAAGGTCGTACAGTACGGCCCCTTCGTCCTGACTAGCCAGGAGGAGGTCTACCAAGCCATGATGGATTACCAGACCGCGTCGAACGGGTTTGAGAGGACCCGCGGGTGGGAGAGTGAGATCGGCAAGAGGATGGCATTCTAGGGAGGTTGCGAAATGGTGAACAAATGTTGAATGGGCTCTTGTTATGATATGCTATGATACTCTTGTTAGGCGTTACTTCAGTTTGTTTTTTTTCCCAGTCAATTAGCTCTGTACACTATATTCTTATTTGACTTGGTTCGCAAAATTGATATATAAGTGCTGCACTTACTTACTCTCTTCTACTCCCGTAGTTGGTCGTTCTACTCCGAAAGGACTATTCTATAAGACCAAGTGTGTCACGGAAGCACCCGTAAGATCTGCTACGGACACCTCAGTAAGCTGCACGCCTCGATTGTCATCCAGATGCGCATTATGAGGATAGGATTTAGGCACTTCCTCTACAAGATAAAACAGGTGGACTCGGGTAGATACAAGTGTAATCTAAAGTTGCAAGCTCCTAGGTAAATCTTACCAGAGTGCTCGCTGCACACTACCTACCGCAGGAGTTAATAGAACACCTTGATTCGATCGAGGGGCTGCGTGGGCGTACACTGAAATATGATATGGTTGTTAAATATCCGCAGGTGACTCGCCGCGTCGTTAAATCCATGTATCAAGCAGGCCTACTTCAGCAATATTAAGCTGAGAGAAGAGGATAAGGATAAGGCTCCGGGAACCAAGCTCGATCTAGGGGAGGAAGATGATGGCGACCACCACCGTGACGCGCGCAGAGGCAACACATGCATAGTGGGAGGGGTGTACGGCGCTTGGGAGAGCGTGGTAGACATGCGGCAGGCGTGTGGCGAGCTGTTTTGTGTTTTGTATTACTTTTTGTCTACGGCATTGGGGTTTGTATAGCGTACGGACACGTTCTGCTTTGATCAGCGAGACGCCGACATAGCTTAGCGTTTTCATAGATAGTCTTCATCAGGTTAATAGAATTTGGATCGATCCATCGATCGACTGTAGATCTGCAAATGAAAACGCTATTTCGAGTCTTTTAGATTAGAGAGAAACCTTTGATATCAAAACAAAACAAGATGCAACAGAGAGAAAAAAGAAAAAGAAAAGGAAAGGGGGAAAAAAAAGGGTGCTAGCAGAAAAACGGATCGTCGCTCTAGTTCACTTGAATAATCCAATCACCCCCCAAAACTCCACTTGGGATAACAGCCAGGGCCAGGGATTTTTATTAAGACATAACCCCTTTCACTTCGTGATTGATATACCAATTCAGTCTCAGTGCATTATCGACGAGACCCTCCGAATTCCCACCAAGAAACATCATAACTATAGGCCAAACAAAGGAAGACCTGCTCATAAGCACGAATATAATCTACAGGGCGGGTGAGCGCCTACGCCCGAGGGGAGACAAAAAAAGCCAATCCTGGGTGCATTTGTTTTGTGAATTGTCGCTGTCAACAACGGACGGCGACGCTGGCCGTTGCGGTGTGTGGTTTTTATTTAGCGAAATGCAGATCGTAGCCCAGCCATCTGCGTGCGTTCACACCGTCGGCATCCAGCCCGGGGGTGCCGTACGTCAAGGGAGCGTAGAAGCAGAATCCCCAGAAAGTGAATGCCAAGATGACCAGGGTCGCAATCCACCCAGCGACGAAGGACTTGGTGCCCATGCGCTCCTTGGCGGTAACGAAGTGGCGGACAGAAGTGGAGGCCTTAGCCTTGCCTGAAGGGTCGTCTTCGCCGTCGGTCGAGCCCTGTCCAACGGAAATTGGCTGGAGGTTGAAGATAAATTCAACCAGCGCACCCGTCACGAGCGCCGAGGCGAGGTGGGCGGGCAGGTAGTGGTGCAGAAAACGTTGACGACCCATCAGCCAGAAGGGGAAGTAGTGAGCTGCCCAGCAGAGGAACAGGAAACCGGTGCTGTTGTACAGACGAGATCGTGCTCCAGGGCCCCAAACTGAAGAAAAAGTTAGTTTCATGGACTAGAGAGGGGATTCGGTACCAAGGCCGGTACTCACTTTCTTCAACGGCGTCCACTCCACGACGAAGGGACAATTGGTCAGCTCCAATGACACCGGCAAACACCGCCAACAGGCTGCTAGCAATCCACCATCCGATGGGGTTACCCAAGAAATAAATTTGCTCCCGGGTATCGTTCTTGGTCCAGAAGCTGACACCGCGCAAGAGGAAGGGCCACTGGAAGGGCTCGCTGGCGTACGGGTGGCTACTAGTCAGAGCGTTGTTATGGAAGAACATCGCTCGCTGGAGCTCCAGGTACTTCCGCAGGAAGGGCAGCTGCTTGACTTTGCGCTCTTCCTTGTGCTTGCGGGGGCTGTCTTCTTCCAGCGACTCGATAGAGTCCACGAACCACAAGTTGCTGCTCTGGAGAACGTTCTTGTTTCCGTTGATCTCGGCCTGCTTGAATCCCCACTCCGGCAAGGGAGTGGTGTGAGTCCACATCGCCACCCGAGTAGGAACATGGACCAACTTGAAGTGACTTGAAAGGGTTCGGAACTCCTGCTTAGACTTGCCGTTTTCGATCTTGATTTCGAACAGGGTGTCGTTGCGTCGGTCGCCATTGGCCACTTCCTGGGAGACGGTGGTGAATTCCTGGTTCGTCGGGTAGTAGGGAGAGGCAACGTCGTGCGTCAGGAGGAAGGTGTCGGTGCCTAGGTGACGGAGCTGAACAACATCACCGTTGTGCACATTGTGGCCTTCGCCTTCATTAAGTTCCAAAGGAACGGTCGGAATGATCTCCCACTGGTTGTTGGTGTCGTTGTACGGATATCCGGTCACCTGTTGGCCCTGACTAGAGATACGGCCATCGTCATAGCGGAGAGGATACGTCTCCCAGTGACTGTGCAGGAGTACCTTGGTATCCTTGTGTCGGATGGTGATGGCATCATGGTATTGAATGTTGACTGACTGCGCGGACAGGGCATTGTCGCTGAGGGTTTCCTGGAAAGCAGGGGTCATGAAGTCGTCGCCAGGGCCGGAACGGGTGAGAATGGCGAAATGGACCTGGAACCAGAACAAATAGAAGAAGAAAGGGACAACGATGAGAGCAAAACCACGGGCCACGAAGTGCTTGGTCCACTCGACCATGCTCAACGCACCGTTGGCACGGCGGATGTCCAGCAAGTTCCACAAGTCGACCAACACGGCGGCTCCAATGGTGACGAAAGTGAACACTCCGACGTACTTGGTGGAGATAACGCAGCTGAGAGAAACACCGGTCATCAAGAGCCACTTCCACCACTTTCGGCCGAAAGCCTCGTGGCGCAGCTTGTAGAAGCGGACGTAGCAGAGAATGCTCAGTGCCATGGTAAGGACCAAGCTGGCATCCAAGAGAATGAGCCGATCTTCACCAATGTGCGCATTGTCGAACAGAACAAGGCCAGCAGACAGAACACAGGCAGGCAACGAATATCCAGACTCCCACATGATCAAGAACACCACCGGGACGGTCAAGGCGCCGAGAGTTGCGGGCATGGCACGGAGAGCCACGTAAGGGACATTGTGCTCGACGTACGAGTCGCCGATGTTATCGAACAGAAAGTGGCCGTCATAACCGACCAACCAGCCCATGAAAGCGAAGAGAAGCTTGCCGAACGGGGGGTGCACATCGAAGAAGTAGGTGCGTTGTAGGTAATAGGATGCGAACTAAACGGACCACGTCAGAGGTTGTGTCCCGGGGAGCACGAGCTGGCTCAGAATATCCCAGGTCTTACCTTGCCGAAGTGTACTTCATCGAACACTACTTCCGCGGGGTATGAGATCTTATAGAATCGAGTGACGAATGCCAGCACGGTCAGAACGGTTATGGCCAGCCGATAATCCCATTCTGACTTAGGCTTGGGGGTTGCGGATTGAGAAAAAGGAGAGGCACCGCCATCCAACGGCGCAGGAGAAGCTTCCTTCTTTCCGCCTCTCTTACGGAGAGAGGGCGAAGGAGACGAAGACATGGTAGCGGGTAAAGATTGGATAACGATTGGAGAGACCAGTTAGAAGTACTGGAGGTCGCGGTAAGGGGTCAGCATAGGCAATTCCAAACAGACACAGGTGAGCAGGGCGGAGGTAAACCACTCACATCGATTACGAAGAGGACATTATAGAAAAGGAGAGGCGTGTCTTTTTTTTTTTTTTTCTCTCTCTCTTCGGAGAAGGGGAGAGATGATGGTGATGGGGCCAGATTGCGTGTCTCCGTCAGTCCAGCGCGGAACGGAACAAGGCGTGGGTCCGAGCATCGGAACATGTGAACAGGAGATGCCTTTGTTAAGCAAGGAACTGCAAGGTATTCTTCAATTTCTATATGACGGTGGACTATTCAAAATGAAGCTAAAACCCGGTCAAAAGCAAATGATCCAGTAAATCAAACTCCTGACGCTCCCAAACTGCCCCAAATGCCAGTATGTATGTACAGAGAAAGAGCCATCAACTTGACCGATGCACCTGGGGGTCGAAAGAAGAAAAATGAAAAGAGAAAAAATGAAAAACAAATAGCAAACTGAACCAGATGAAATTTCAACAATCAGTCACGATCGGTAACCTCTAAAAGGTCCAGTTCGGTTTTCACCAGTGATTGAAATTCGGCTCGAGAGATCCCCGTAGCTTTCGCCAACCGGAACAAGCTCTTGATATTCGAGCCAATATGCTGCTTCACTCCAACCTCGCATGCGGACTGGCTTTCGGCCTCCCGTTCCAACTTGGCGACGGCATCGGAGCTCCCAGACGAGATGGACGACGGTCGAGGGTGGTTCAAAGGCATGGCACTGTGCCCATTCAAACCATCGCCATTGGGAGGTGCCGGTTCCTCCGTCGTCGAGTCATTGATCTGGCGCTGAAGAAGACTAGCGAGCATATCACCATTCAAGGACGAATCTCCCGGCGGTTGTTGCTCCTCCTCCGGGTCATGGTTATCCATCGCGGGCTGCACTTCGGCATATCGAGAAAAATATGTCGCCTCGGAGGTCTCTCGCTGCGAGTTGGGAGCCGGCGTCTTGACCTTGGGAGTTCTGCCCGGCGTAGCGTCGTACTGGGCCCAGTAATCATCATCGTCGTCGTCTTCCTCTTCTACCGTTTGGGCAGCGGTTTGTTGTTCATGCTTCTCGGCGGATTTGAGAGCATCCTCCATCAACTGCTCTTTTGCGTGCGCATTTGCCTCCCCGATGGAAATCGACCACTCTTTGTCGTCCTCGGCCTCGCCTTCCCGGGGAAGCAGTTCTGCGACTCGCCATCCAGGTCCTCCACCTTCTTGATCGGTCGGACACCACAGGTAGACAACTGTTAGACTGTAGTCGACCAGTAGCACCCGGGACTGGAGAGTTTCCTCGTCGATCCGTTTGTACGTCACCGGGATTTCCCCGGGTAACTCAATTTCCCCCGAAACGGGATGGGGCTCAAAGTTTGTGCCGTCCACCAGTGCCTGCAGACGCTCGGCCTTCCCAACGTTCCAACACAGGAGCTGGAGCCATGAATCGGTCGGAGAAGCGGAAACGGAGCTGAAGACTTGTACTCGTTGACGGAGGATGGGCGATAGCAGCGACAGAAGAGCCGGGGGAGGATGAGGCGAGACGAACGCCGTGGGGAGACAGGCCAAGAGCGGAGGGAGAAGGTCTCGAGGATTGGGGGGAGGAATAAGTTCGACCATCGTGAAACGTGGGGATCGTAAGCAGGTGGCAGTGGCAGTGGCAGGGGCAGGGGCAGGGGCAGGATGCGCTGCAACTGATGGGCGCTGAAAAGATCTGGCAAGCGACGTTGGCGGTGAAAATGAATGGAACGTCAGGGACACGGTAACGACACCGTAGCAAGATCAGAACCGGAGATTCACGATTTACTAGAGTTGCAAAGTGCCATCGCCCCCTTAATTAAAGGGAGCATCCGCCGACATGCAACGCTGCTTTGCTCCCTTCGCCCGAGTTGACGGGCGGAGAAGTTGCGGGGTTGCTTTGTTCCCCTCCCATCATCAGTTCTTGCTTATCCTCCAACAGGTCACTTTCAGGTTTCTTCAAGTTTTGCATTTCAACTACTTTCACTTAGTTTACGGGGCACGCGCCGTCGCCAGCAACAGGCGACTATGGCCAGGATCACCGCCAGCACCAATGCGCCCCCAATTCCGGCACTCAGCCCGATAACCAACGGCCGATGCGCGTCCACCCACGATCGGGCGCTGTCATCCTCACTTCCGTTTCCTCCTCCGGCCCGAGACCGCGCGCATTCCTCCCCTCCTCGCCACTGACACGTCATGCTATCGCAGCACCGGGCGTCGCGCTCGTTGCATGCATTACCTCCGCAGTCGCATGCCTCTCCCGCTTCAACGATCCCATTTCCGCATTTGCCGTCGGGGACGGTGGAATTGCCGCCGCCATCGGCGTCGCTGACGCTCACAAGACACTGGGTGCTGGTACGGCGGGAGCCGAACCGGGAGCAGATGTTTCCGATGGTGCACGGGGAGAATCGCGTCATGCCCCTGTTCGACGACGGGTTCATAATGTATTCGCCATCGGCGTCGCAGGTGGAGGAGGACCGAGGACAGCACTGCGAGTCTTCGTCCGCGCCCGCCTGGCAGGTGCTGGAGTCGCAGTCATGAATGGCGCCAAAGGTATGCGCCGACTCGTGCGCAAAGACCTGCCATTCACTTTGAGACCGGGCGATCACGTTGGCTCCAGGTGTAGAGCTGTGGTATCCCGACGCGCCCGAATTGCATAACTCTCCAACCCAGGAGATCCCCACAGCGCCGGTATTGGGGCAGCCCGTCAGCAGCGACCAGTAAGCATTATCATCGTCGATAGAGCTTCGCCACGAGGAGAACCGGTCGAGGCGCCAGTTCAAGTTCCCGCTAGAACAAGGCGCATTCCACTGTGAGTGTGAGGTGCCAGAGGCGCTGTCGGGACAGTCGGCATCGCTGATCGTAAGGTTCCGGAGCCCAAGCGAAACGTTGAAGCTGTTCTCGAAAACCACCGATGCGGTGTTGACCACGTTTATGATGTTCCGACGCACAGCATCGGTGGAGTTGAATCCCCCCGAATAAGTACAGTCCGTCACAACGCCAATATACGCGATCCGCCTAGATGTTGGACAGCCGGAGGTGCTCCCGACCGTGTCTGTCAGGTTCTCGTTCGCCGAATCAGCATCCCATCCCAACTGTCGTCGATCCAAGAAAGCCATTGAAGGGGACGCGCAGGATTGCTGAAGTGATGAATCGTCATGCCCTGATATCGAGGGCGCCGACGCTGGATAGACCAGCATGTAGCCTGTCTGGAGGTCCGACAAGCCATCATTGCGCTCCTGCTCCAGTTGAATTCTGTATTGTTCCGAGGAGATAGCGAACGTTCCTTCGAACAATGGCTTGGCCGTATCTTCTAACACTGTGACTCTTGCCCAACCGACTTTCACCCACGGTCTGCCTGCAGACCGCATCCATACTGACCCTTTCGTAACATGATATGTTGGCTGCGTAGATGGTTCAACACTCCTGACATTTCCATGTACATTTATATACTGAATGTATGCATCTCGCGCAGTAAATTCTCGGTTTGTTTCCAGCACGAAGGCTAGCGAGTTCCCGCTCCCTTCGACATCGGCAGTGATATTAAATTGGGGCGATGAGTGACTGTCATGAGAGGTGGGATTGGAGGTCGAGTTCACCAGGAGAAACGGAGTCTCGGCAAAGCGCGCTATGATATCAGAACACCGGTTAGCCCGGAGCTATCCACAGCTGGCCTCTTCCGGGCAGACTACAGTGTATTCATTGCTCTTGACTCGATAAATTGTAGACACTCACCTGTCACATTGGAAGCCCATGATAAAAGTGCAGCTGAAGCAGCCAGAAAATTGCGTATCTTCATACCAGACGATTGTTTGTTTGATGTTCTGGGGCCGACCCGTCTTAAGTACTCCGTAGGGCCCCGTCTTGGTACTAGATTAGGGGTTTTATTAGTTCATGGGGCCGGAGAGGGCTGATCGTCAAGGCATATTTATAACCGCCGTTCGTCGCACGGGCAGGGCTGATGAATCCCTCCGTTCGAGCAGGTATTGAATAATCGGGACCAGCTATCAATCCAGGCAAAAAAAAAAAAAAAAAAAGAAGAAGAAGAAAAAAGAGTTTCGGTAGGTACGGAGTACATAGTCGGTGCATGCATGCGTTGAATCGTCGTCGTCATCGGTGCTGGGCACGACCTGGAGTTCTCCACGCTAAAGTTTCGAGTGAACATGACAACGACACACATCTACCGATGTGATCATCTCCTCCGCAGGAAAAACCGATCGCACAGCCACCTGGTCCGATGGATTGGGGGTGAGCTGAGCCGCTGAGTCCCGAACAGACTGTGGACTTTCTCGGAGATAGGAAGAGCAAACGCGTGCCAAGTGCAATTTCCAGGGCTCCACGATGTCAGCAACGGCCAGTACGAGGCTTGGCGGATGCGATTTGAAGACAGAACCTCATTGACATCGGTTCTCCAGACACTTGGCATCGTGGAAACGCGTCTCCATGTCATCAATCGCCATGGATGAGCATGCTATCGCCAGCAACAGTAGAGCTTGGGGGCTGTGACGACATGGAACCATATGGTTGTTCCCCAGGGATTGGCGACCTTCTTTCTGGAAATCTCCACTGTGCCCGCTATTGCCTTGCCAGACGGTCAGCAAGTTGCATGAGTAGAGACCGGGGAATCTGGTTGCCTTCTTCAACCAACACCCCGGAGCCATCGGCTTACACAGGGCTGTTGGGAAATTATTCCTGGAATCAACTGGTACGACTCGATGGTGAAATGTGAGGTCATAAACCAACCAGCCCTGTGTCAAGTGGTTGACGGGATTGGTTAGTCCTGTCATCAAGCCCACTCTTGCACCGCCATGCAAGCGATCGACATCGGACCGGAGTAAGGGGTTCGTAGTCCACGGAATGAGAGAATCAACAATGACAGCATTGCGCTGACAGTGTTGTCATTATATATTTCGGAGATCGCCCCATTGTCCGGATTGGATGCTAAATAGAAGCCGGAAGACTCGCTTCTGTGCTCATCTTCATGGAAGACCATCAGTTTCTATTGGAGTTGGAAGGCTATGAGACCTGAACTGACACTAGCCAACCTCCAAGCAATATTTCATGTCATATATTCACCAATATCCCAGGGACTTTCTGACCGGTAGTACGAATGGCACTGCAGAACTCACAGACGCAGCAACGGTGCTGAGCTGTCGTGGGCACGCGGATGGAGGGGGTACAAATGAACCATCACTGATCAGAAAGGGCCGAGCTTATTATTCTTAATCGCCAGAAGACCGAGGAAAAGCATGGATCAGGGTCGATCTGCCGGGCCGAATCGAGCCAATGTGATCTTGAAGAAATCTCAGCCGGGCGGGGGAGGTGTGAACTGGCTGAACTAGACTGCTCGCTAGTCGTTATCGCGACTTCGGCGACTTTCCATTTCTTGCCAAACAGCCGTGACTCCGAATCTTCGTCATTCCCTCCACTCGCGCCATGGATTGATCTCACTCAACCGGGGAGAGAGACAGTGTCAACAAGAAGAACCCGATTCAAGGAGAAATATACATCTACTAGTTTTCACCATGTCGGAAAAGACCCCTCACCTTGCTGCCACCATGGCCGACGAGCCTGGTTTGCGGCCCGGTCTGGCGGATACAGATCTGCAGGAGGAATTTCACCCGGAAGAGCTGAAGGAGCTGGAGAAGAGGATTCGATGGAAAGTTGATCTGCGACTCTGTACAATTGCTGGAATTCTGTGCAGTCTCAACCTGCTCGACTCGGGGATTCTCTCGTCAGCTTCGGTGACGAGCATGCTGACGGATCTCAGCCTGCAGGGGACGCGCTACTCCGTCTCCATCTTTATCTTCACCATTGCCAGTGTTGTATTTCAACTACCCTGCACGGTCGCAGTGCGCTGGATCGGTCCCCGGATTTGGTTCTCGGTCATCACCATCTGCTTCGGCCTGATCACCCTGTGCACCGCGTTCATTCACACCTGGAAGCAGATGATCGCCCTGCGCGTCCTCCTCGGCATAGCCATGTCCGGCATCTATCCGGGCTTGACCTACCTAGTCAGTACCTGGTACACCCGGCGTGAGCAGCAGCTTCGTTTTGCATTCCTTCAGTCAGGCGAGGTCACCGTGTTGGCCACCGGCAATATTGTCAACTACGCGCTGAATCTACTTAATGGGCGAGCCGGATTGGCGGGATGGCGCTGGATGTACCTTGTGCAGGGGCTTACTACCTGTGTTCTGGGTGCCCTAACATACTGGTGGATTGTGGACTTTCCCGAGAAGGCTGGCAACAGCTTTCACTTCCTATCTGAGACGGAGGCTCGGGTTGCGGTGCGGCGTATACAGCTTGACCGTGACGACGTCATACCAGAGCCCTTCAGCTGGCGCAAGATCGGTGTGAACTTCCTTGACCCTAAACTATACGGGTTCGCCTGCATGTTCTTTCTGTTGAACCTGGTGTCGACAGCGCTGAGCTACTTTCTTCCAATAATATTGCAATCCGGCATGGGATTCTCCAGTAACGAATCAATTCTACTTTCCACGCCGGTAGGTCATCTTCTGTATTCTTTCTTGCTTTTTCTGCCTCTTCCATTGCTATCTTTCTTTTTTTCACTTTTCCTTCATTTTTCCTTCACTTTTTTTTTTCAACGAAAATATTCCTGATCGCTTGCAATTAGCCGTACTACTGGTCCGTCGTGCCCGTTCTATTCACTTCCTTCATTGGCGACACATATCGCAGGCGCGGTCCCTTGATCGTCTTCAATGCGCTTTGCCTGGTGGCTGGGTTTTTGATGTTTGGTCTTCCGGCATCGACCCAAGTCACGGTGCGGTACATTGGCACCTTCCTGGCCACCGGCGCATATGTTTCCAACTGGGCCGCATTGAATGCGTTCATGGCCAACAACGTGGTCGGGCAATGGGAACGAGCAACCACGGCGGCGGCCGTCGCGGCCTGCAACGGCCTGGGCGGCGTGGCGGGTAGTTATATCGTGCGACAGCAAGAGGCGCCACAGTATGCAACGGCCGTGTGGGTGTCTGTTGGGTAAGTATGACGACTTCTAGGCTCGAAGTTCGAGCCTCGAATACATGATTTATGGGTGAATAGTTGTGGTCTAACGATTCGATGCAGATCACACGTTCTTATGATCGCCATCGTCGGGGTATTCACAATATGTTTTTATATCTGTAATAGACGGTATGACCGGAACGAGTGGACGCCTCAGAACAGGGTACGTTACGTGAAGACCCAGAATCCAGGACAGATTGACATTCGGTACTGACTAGTTTCCCTTCGTTCTGCAGGTCGGCTTCCGGTATACATATTGAGTGAGCTCGGGGTGAACATGCAGTATGACGAATTGAGGCGAACTGAAAATTATAGCGCTCCTTTAGCCTACTCTATAATTAATATGAACGCTTTCTTCTTGCGGGCCATCCGGCATCCATCTACTTCACCTTTCATTAGTATACTTACTGAGATTAAGATAGTGACTGGTTCTCTCTGAACTATGGCAATATCGAATGATATGTTACGGCTCTCTTGAATCTGAAGACAGAACATCGGCGATCGATTTTGTCGTGAACACTTCCCGCTTTCATCGCAACATGAGTTCTTTAGCCTACTCCGTAATTAATATGAACTCTTTGTTCTTGCGGGCCATCCAGCATCCAGCGTTCTCCGGTGGCGTGGCTGGATCCACTTGATCTTGATCGAAGTGGGTCTGCAATCTATAATTCTGGATCGAAGTCAAAGGCAACTGAAAGTCTGAAACAGGAAGTCTGGCGTAGAACGCGCGCGGAACCTGAAAGCTGAAGAACTTGGGCCCTGATTCGCAAGTACACAGTAGCTCAGTAGAAAGTCAGGAAGATTCAGGCTGTGGAAGCGGCCTACACAGACACAGTAGCAAGCAGTCCACGTCGAACCTTGGCAGGTCCGAATCCAATCCGATAGCGTGAGACATTTAGATCTCGCGATTCGTGTCGTTTCGATCTAATCTAGGATTGGTCCAATTGTTTCTTGGTCCCCATCGTTCCTTGGTTTTATTCCCATCGCTTAAATCGAATGTGAACGTTGGGGTGATACCGCTGTCCTAGTCTCGTACGCCATGCATTGACAGAAAACGTGTGGGCTATAGGACATTAAATTCATGGATCATTATATAGTATAGGTCTAGATAAGTCACTGATTTATACTTGTCGGTGTGCATCCACGCTCCGCATAGAGATGCTCTCTGGATGATCGTCCGGAGACACGCTTTGAGTTTCTTGTGATGATGGATTCACGTCTAGAGGCCATTTATCGGTCTCGGCACTGTCGCCCCATCGTGCAAATCCGACGACTCCTTTGGGCTTCGGTTGACTGGTCGTGTATCGATGCCGTTGCCGGTTTTTAGATGAATGCTTGCTCATCAGCTGATTGGGCAGGATTCGTACGATCAACGGCCAGATCGAAGGCAGGCATGCGGCGATGATGATGATGGCCCCTTCCAAAACGGTCCAGATGCCTAGGTTGACTGATGCCCCTGTTGAGACGGTTAACTGTCGTCCATGACTGGTCAATTCGATTGTCCGGGAGAACATACAGGTTGGGTCGGTGAGCGCATTCTCCTGGAAAAAGACGGTCATGCGCAAAACACTCGCCACGGTGCCCCTGCGGTACTGGTCAGCCTGAGAGCATACACTGATAGGATTCTATTTCGCAGGGCACACTCACAATCCTCCGAGCAAGAAGACTCCTGTCAACGCCAGTTTCTGTCCCGTCCGAGTATGGAGTTTCCAGACAAACGGCATAGGCATCACAAGGATCAAAACGTCGGTCAGAATGTTTGGGGGTGAGACGTATCGGTAAAACGCTTGTTGGTCAAAACATGTTCCCCCTTGAATGGTTTTATCCCAGGTATATGCGATCGGGGAACATTGAAAGATGGCGGCAAAGAAGACACCGATGCCGTGACCAAGGACGATAAGACCAACCGCGTATGCAAACATTCGGAACTTGAAGGTGTTGAAGATGCGGACATAAAACAGGAGGATTGAAATCTTTGCTGGCGTTACGGCAAACGGAAAATCAAGTATCTGGTTTGCATACAGTCCCTGCGCAATGTCAGCAGTGCGACTGCTTTAAGGGATCAGGTAGAGACAACCTTTTGCAGGGAAACCAATTTTTGTGGTGTCTGCAAGACATACTCCAAGTGATATCCCAGACCCCCAACCTTGAGCACTGAACACAAGACACACCTATTAGTCTGGTATACGCGATAAGGCCGGTATGGTACTTACAAACAATATATAAGGCCGATTGCCCAAGACTCACCACCTGCATGCAAGATTAGATTGAGCACAGTCGAATATGGCGGGAAATCCGTACCAGGGCTGGCACGATTAGATAGTCATCCAGAGCGCATGCCACTCTCTGCATGTATCGGGTGTAGAATCGAGCAACCACGATCACTATCTGGACAACAGCCATGGCGATAGCCACGCCCATGAGCGATTCACCGCAGTAGGAATCATCGACATTGTCCATCTTCCCCGGAGAGCGAGGGACCTGATGCGCAAAGACCTCAGAAACAGGAAATCGACATCTTTATGAATTTTTTGGTTCTCTCCAGCTGTTTGCCATGAGCATTACATAATTCCACGGTCGAAAGATTAGAATCAGCACCACGGCTCAGGATGGAATGGATGGAGTTGCGATCTTTGGTTCGCAACGAGAGGGCCCTCTAAGGGCCCTCTAATCTCCGCTCCTCTCCACATGCTGGATCGTCCTTCAGCCAACCACGGCCCGTGCTCTTCAGCTCAATTTTGCAATCTTCTTGATTCTTGTAGGAGTGAAAGCATCGGACAGCCCGGATTGCGTAAGGCTTGTAAGTCGAGGGCTGACGGCGCTTGCGATTCATGTGGTTGAGTGCTCCACCTCGGCGTATGTGCCTGTCCTGGCTGTCTAGTGCTTCTGTGCTTGTCACTGTTGGCATCCGATCAATCCCTAGATTCCGCTTTAAATAATAGCCAATAATAGCCCATCTGGTTTCGGTTCGCTTTTGACTGAAGCCATTCCAAGCGATCCTTAACACCAACCCTTTCCCTCTGCCTCTCTGTCTCTGCCTTCGCTGTTTTCCGTCCCTTGTTGAGCAATTCCCGGTATCCTACATTCGCGATTTGTCTTCAAATATGGGTGAAGACAAAAGCACCGCTAGTGCATCATCGTTGGAGGCGCAGATCAACGCTCTGACAGAAACTGTACAATCAAACAAGGAAAGCATCGACGATACTACTCGTTCCAAAGCCATCAAGGCGGCCCGGGGACTATTGGGTGCTTTGGTACCTCCGCCGGAAACGGTGATCCACGATGTCGCTCTGGTACGTTGAGAAGACAAGTTTTCTTGGTTTACATCCCGTTAGAATGTGCTAATGATATCCAATGCCATAAGAATTGCGCATTACCCATGGCAATCCGCATGGGAGTCCAGCTGGGGGCATTTAAAATGATTGCTGGTAGCCACAGTCAAGGAACAACATCCCAGCAGATCGCGAGGGAGTCCGGTGCCAGCGTGATTCTTGTCGGTATGTCAAGGCCCCAATTCGGCAGTTGAGATCGGTGTCTACTCCGGGTTTAAAAAAAAGAAAGTCGTGGGGATGGATAGACTTTTCCATATCCTTGAGGCACCATGGTCCCACCCAGATCTTGTCGATTCTCGAAGATCTTCCTTGTCCCATACTGAGCCTTTATATGTTACGGAGCTTATTTTGTGCTGATCAATCCGGTGTGGCAAAGACCAGATTATGCGAGTTATCACCGCTGCTGGGTATGCGCTTGAGAAAGATGTACAAACATACATGCCTTCTCCCCTTACAACGATCATGGCAGACTCAGCTATGGAGGCCACAACCAGAGTCTGGTAGGTTTGTCAATGTCCCTCACAAACTGGTTGTGTGTTAACCTCGCGGTTTTCAGTTTTGATGTCGGCCATTTCTGTACCACCAGTGCCCCGGGGTTTTTCCGTAGAAACAATAACCAATATCCTGGCTCTGCTGTGGATACGCCCTTTCAAGCGGGCTTGAACACTGATCTCAGCTATTTCGATTGGCTTTGCCAGAATCCGGAAGTGGCCAAGGATTTCCAACAATGGATGACTCTGAAGCAGCAGGCGACTCCTAATTGGATTGACTGGTATGACCTGCAAGGCAGTATTTTGAAAGATTTCCGAAGTGAACCCGCAGATAACATCTTGCTGGTGGATATTGGCGGTGGTGAAGGCCACTATTTACATGCACTGAATGATAAATATCCAGATCTCCCAGGGCGTCTGGTTCTGCAGGATCTGCCTCAGGTCATCTCGAGCATTCGGGGTCCGCCCAAGCGGACCGAGCTGATGCCTCACGACTTCTTTACTGCGCAGCCCGTGAAAGGTATGTTATCTATTGACCGTTTCTTAATTGTTCAAGTTTTCTGGCTACTGACCATTTATCTTATGGTACAGGCGCTCGAACATACTACATGCACTGGATCTTGCATGACTGGCCCGAGGAGCAGGCCCGTGTCATTCTGAGCAACATTGTCGAATCCATGGAGCCCGGTTATTCCCGCCTTATCATTAACGAGCAGATAATCCCGGATAGAGACTGCGATCTGCCAACGGCATGCATAAGTGTCATGATGATGGTTCAGGTGGCCGCCTTCGAGCGGACGGAGAAGCAATGGCGCGAGCTTCTAACGTCAGTGGGATTGAAGGATATTTCCTTCCATCAAGCCCCTGGAGGAGGTGAGGGCATTATTGAGGCCGTCAAGTAGCGAATAACAAGAAGATAAATTGCTATTCGGCGATTAGCATAGAGAGCTAGTATACGCCTAAAATATACCTACAAATCTTAGTATTCAATGAGGTAGCCGTAGCACCTAGACCGGCATATATGAATATAATGCCTGCTGCTAGAAAGGGGACTTGAACAAGGAAAGAGAGAAATGACCCATTATCCCCGCTGTTCGGCTCCGTTTCTCTATTGTACCATTGCAAGTGGGGGATAGAATCTCTAAACCTGTCTACTAGGTCTTTCTTGCACTACATAAATGTATACATACATCAACCAAGGTGCCCACGGGGTATATGATAAGCTAAATAGAGGCGCCACTCAAAGAATTGTTGATACATATTGGAGCAGAATTGAATCGAGCAAGAAGATTCTGCTGGAAATGTGATCCAACGGATGGATTTGCCGAAAAAGTGAATGAAGGGGCCAATTTCTGTCCCATCAGTGTTGTATGACCAAGGCTGCTAGATTGCCGTGTTCGTTCCACGATAGCATCTCGGCCCTATTCAGTTCATCCGATCATTTTGCTCCAACTTTCCAACCAATCGTTTCATTCCTGCCCATTCCTCGTTGGGCACGTCTTCAGGAGTACCACTAAGACCCTTTCCAACCTCGAAGACAGTTACGACACCGTCAAGACCACCAGTAGCGATACGCTTGCCTTCACGTTCTTCCCATGCAACCTTGTTGAGACTCTGCGTCAAAATGCCACCGCGGCCCGGAGTGGGTGTCGTTTTCGCCACTGGTACCTCGCTGTCCGTGTAGAGATCCCAGACCTCGAGGTTCCCAGCACCATCGACGAGAGAGAACACACCAGGGCGGTGAGGAGACCACCGCGCGTCGTACACGACATCTTCCCGGTTGATATCAAGAATAGGGGTGACAACCTGCGCTGTCGCCGAAGTTGCGGGCGCAGTTGTTGCTGGTGCGCGGATACGCCATAGCTTAACACTCCAGTCTAAGCTCGAACTCAACATTAAGTCGCCTAGATCGACGGGCCCGCGGGCCGGATGGAAAGCAGTTGACATTATGGGGGCCGCATGGCCGCGGTAGGCAAGACGGTGGTCTGTACCCGCCTTTGCGCCTGCTCGATCATACCGATGGCATGGATATATGCCTCCTTCTTCGGTGCCGACAATGAAGAACGTGGGGTCTGATTGCGGGAATGACATGGTAGTGGGTGCGAGATCTTCAGTTTTCGAGGGTGGAGGTGTGGACAGCTCGAGGTACTCCTGTGGCTGGGAAAGCATGTCGACCGTCCAGCCGCAAACAACACCGTCTGTGGAAGCTGTCAAGATATTGTGCGCGTTCTGTGTGCCTATAATAGAGATGCTGTAGACTGGATGGGTGTGTCCAGACCCAGTCAACGGTGTTTTCTGTACTGGCGCACCCCCGCCAGTGCGAGACGAACGGGTATCCCAAAGTAAGACTTGACCGGAGTAAGAGCCACCCACAATGAGATTAGGATGGAATGGGGAGAACTTGGCGGTTAAGATATCGGAAGTTGAATGAAAAACGTACTCCGGGCGAGAGTGGAGATGTTGGTTCCAAACCTGGACCAGACCGTCTGGCTCATGGGGCGCAGAAGGGTTCTTGGTGTACGCAGCTAGAACAAGCTCCGGGAACTAAAGGCAGGGGATTAGACGTCCACGAATAGATAGGTGGGCTGTATTGTAGCTGTGGCTTACCTTTGGAGAGAAGCTCACGTCGCTGATCATACGCTTCTTACTCCATCGCTCATCCCAGAACTGGCAAACTTCCTTGATAGTCTTCTTTTTCTTTCCATGTTCATCATCATCCTCCAGCTCGCCATCGAAGCCCCCAAGCTCGTAGTCTGCCAGTACATCATACTCTTCGTCCAGCGCACGCTCGATCACTTTTGCGGACCGCTCAACAAAGTCCAAGAAATCGTCGGAAGAAGTGACAGCCTTGAGTTCGTCATCCTCAAGCGTGCGCAATGGATACCGCAAATGCGAAGCTTCGGCCGTAGCATTTTCTTGGCTTTGCTGCTGAGTGGCTTGGATTTCATCCTCGATCTCCTTGCGAAGCTTCTTGCGAATCTCCTCGTCCCGTTCGCGCTCTTTTTTGCTCAGACGCTTACCGGAGCCCGCAGGGTCCTGGAGATCCTCTCCTTCTGAGTCAACCGACGAGGAATCTTGCTGAAGCTGCTTCAAATCATCTGTCTGCACGGCTTTGCTGTAGGTGACGATCTCCGGTTTCGGTTCAGGGGGCGGGGGTGCTTCAGGACCGGAGGGATACGGCTCTGCTCCAACCGTCTGGACGGCAATTGATTGAGAAACGGGTCGCGTAGGGGGGCTAAAGGCTTCGGTGTTATCGCCGCTGAGTTGACTGGCACTCAACACAGAATTGGGTCTGCTTCCTTTTCGCGAGGGGCCATCGGCGTGGCTCACGGAGGCCGACCCCGGGCGGTCAACGAGACGAGAAATCAGGTCATCGAGCTCTGCTCTGCTATCAGACCGGCTGGGAACAGGCGAGACAATCTACAAAGAGTCACGAGTTAGCAACGGTGAACTCCAAGCAAAGGACGATTGACCGGTTCTGTACCTCAGACGCATCCCCGGTGTTAGCGCGTGTTTGGGAGAACTCCTTCTGGCGCAACTCCCTTTGTCGCTTGAGTTCGGCGAGCTTGGCCCTTTTGGCCAAGATCTCCGCCTTTCGTTGCTGCATGGAAGCCATGGTGACGTGGAGTGCTCTGGAAGGGGATGGCAGAGTCCCATCTAAGAGAAGTGTATGACTTGGTATTCTTTATTTACCCCGTCGGCACTAGTTCAACTGGCCCTTCCCTTCCCCGTCCCGCGCCGCAGACTCCGGGTCGGCGGATGACATAAGCACAGGAGAGCCGGCCGGAAAAACTCGCGACAGGAACTTCGTCTCGACAAGCTTCTGAGCATCCCCGATTGCCAGCCATTGACATCCGATCCCCCTGCAAACCGTCGCTCGGAATCCGGCTCTTCTATCCCCTCAATTCTTCGTCCGTTTCGATTGCCGCTCCGGAGTCCAGGGTTTTCTCAAAATGGCTTCCACACAAGGTGTCAATGTGAGTGTCCGCATAGGGCCTCCCCCCGGTTTGATAATGGTCCCTTGATAGGTGACTGACATGCTCCCTACCCACCACGTAGGTTCTGCGCTATTCGGCTCTTGTAGCCGGTCTCGTCTACGGTGTCTACCACCAGTCCTCAATCACATCCACTGCTAAGCGTGCGGACGCCGACCGTGAATACGCTCGCCAGGAGCGCCTGATCGAACAGGCCAAGGCGGAGTGGAAGAAGAAGACGGCACCCCAGGACTCCAAGGCCAGCGGAGGTAAGTCACGACTATCTTTCGATCGCATGTTATTCAATGCCGCCTGTGTACCCGGATAAGGTGGCGTCATTCGCGATCCGACGCTAATTGGTACTTTCCTATAGTCATCACGGATCCCGAGGACAGCCGATTCGACTTGGAAGCCTACCTGAAGTTGAAGGCCGGGGAGAACTAGAGTATACGACTGGATATGCAGCATGAGCAGAAAGATGGTTCGGCATTGTTTTTGGTACGAAGATCGTGCCTCCTAGGGTACAAGAAAGAAAGGTGGTTCGGGGTTACCCCGATTATGTATTATTGTTTGGTCTAATTTCCCAGAATCGTGTCCTTGCGAGCGAAAGGAATTATGTTTTTTCTTTTTATTCTTCTCTTTTTACTACGTTTAGAGATTCTCCGAGTCTTGTACATACCCTGGGCTGTTGTGCATCTGTACTCTACAGTTGGACCAGAAGAGCAAGTGATTCTGTTGTATGCTTCGGTGTCTTTGCTGAACCCATTGTACCGTGCACGCCCTTGAAACATAACACCCTTTGCCCCACTTGTAGCATTGTAACTCTCAAAGTCATTGGGGCTCTTGTCGGGTGACTGGAGCTATCCCTTCAGAGGTACCGGGTCTTTGGCCAGCATGTTGGCCCCGGTTCCATGATTCACCATTAGATTATCGGTTAACATTGTCTGGGTTTTGAGCGTATATAACAGCGTCATCACATGTTATGCGCTTTAACTCGCATGCTTGGCGATTAACGCCATGATTTGGCCCAGTCCATTTTGAAGATCGCGGTCTGTTTCGGGGGCGGTAGAATGAGGTTTGGGGTGCAGGAGCATAGTGCTTTCATCCCATGTCCACCCACGGGCTGTGAACTTCTGTATTATTGACGTATCTCCCTTCTCCGCCGAGTCCGGGTCAAGGCCGAGGTAACTAGCAGCCGCAGCCGGTCGAATCGCCTCGTAGGCCCCGCTGACCTCTTTGAGTGTTTTTTCTTGGAAATGCGCTGGAACAATTGTCAGAAAGGCGCTACTTGCAGGTAGCAAGGTTTACTGACTCTCGAAGCTGTTTACCACGGGTTTCAGTGGCTCTGGCCAGGGTAGCTTTCGGAGAATCTTGTAGACCTGCTCATATTCGCGCTGCCAGACGGCACGTAGTAGGACTAAGCAGTTCTGTAGGGAAGGATCGTTCTGGGATAGGGTCGGGGGCATCCGTTGTGTCATAGCGCGCGCTTCGTATCTATGTTCAAGAGAATAACGAGGGTATGTCAGTCAGACGGCCGCGGTGTATGTTTTTGGACGTATATGAGAATGTACAGTTGGTCCGTGAGAAGATGCGCAAAAAAGAAGGTCGAGTAGAAGAAAGGTAGAAGCTCTGAGTTATTACCCTCTTTCGAGGAGGCGAGTAATAGAGCATCGCCTTCATACTCAGCGAGGGTCTCGTAAAGATCGGAGGGGGTGCGAGCCGAGGCGGAGATGGTGGAGATGCGTTCGGTGGACAAGGTGGTATCCATGGTGTGAGACATCAGATGGTCAGACTCGTCGGAAAGGCCAGTCGAAGATGAAGTTGAAGCTGAACGAAAGTCGAAGATGATGATGAAAGATGTGCGGGGGAGTCGGAGGTTTCCCCAACACAATACCGTCATAGTGGTAATTACGGTACCTGGCGCCAAGCCGAAAGAGACCACCTTGCGCAGCTCCTCCATCGACCTCATCGATCTCAGTTTCACCTCCCTCCTCGCTGGCCTAACGACTCGACGGGAGCCATCTTCTACCGTCACCCTCCCCAATTGGATCTTTTGTTCTTTTGGACCCCTGGCCATTATGGCCGAAGCGCCCGTCGATGTCCTCCTGAAGGGCAACTCCGGCAGGAACACCCGCGGCCTGCTGCGGATTATCATCCTCGCTACTATCGCCGCTGCCGCCGTGTCCAGTCGATTGTTCAGTGTTATTCGTATGTGCTCATGCGCCATGCCTTGATAATGGCTGTGATCAGTGTTATTTCAACGCGTGCCACTAGTGACTCCATCCATTGACCTCAATGCTAACTCCTGCCTACTAGGTTTTGAAAGTATCATCCACGAATGTATGTTCCATGTCCACCAATCGACCCGTCCCTGACATGCGTGCTGGATTCTCGCCTGAATATGCCCGGAATACCATCATTGCGTTTCAATTTCCCGCGTTAACTTATCTCAACCTCCGCAGTCGACCCTTGGTTCAACTTCCGAGCCACGAAGTACCTGGTTCAACATGGCTTCCATAGCTTCTGGGATTGGTTTGATGACCGTACGTGGCCCTTAGGTGTACACTTGAATTCCCGACTCGGACAACAAGCCGTCGCGGCCTGGCTGCTAGATTTAGGAATTCTTGCTAATCGAGGACATCTGCATAGGAACATGGCATCCTCTGGGACGTGTCACTGGTGGCACTCTATACCCCGGTCTCATGGTGACCAGTGGAGTCATTTACCATGTCCTACGATTCCTGACCATTCCCGTCGACATTCGCAATATTTGTGTCCTACTTGCTCCGGCCTTCTCCGGCCTCACGGCGTACGCAATGTATTTACTGACTTGTGAGATGTCAACATCTCCGTCTGCGGGACTTCTCGCCGCTGCTTTCATGGGCATTGTCCCCGGATACATCTCCCGATCAGTAGCAGGCAGCTACGATAACGAAGCCATTGCGATCTTCCTTCTTGTCTTTACCTTCTTCCTGTGGATCAAGGCTGTCAAGAATGGCTCGATCATGTGGGGCGCATTGGCTGCGCTCTTCTACGGCTACATGGTTTCCGCTTGGGGTGGATATGTATTCATCACCAACCTGATCCCGTTGCACGTCTTTGTCCTCCTCTGCATGGGAAGATACAGCTCTCGGATATATATCAGTTACACCACCTGGTACGCTCTGGGTACTCTGGCCAGCATGCAGATTCCGTTCGTCGGATTCCTGCCAATTCGGAACAGTGACCACATGGCGGCTTTGGGTAAGTCAGTGCTCAATGAAGGATTGGGATTCATGCTGATTTTGGACCAGGTGTCTTTGGTTTGCTTCAACTTGTGGCATTCGCCGACTTTGTCCGGGGCTTTATTCCTGGCAAGCAGTTCCAGCGACTTCTTACCGCCATGATCATCATCGTCTTTGGCCTTGCTTTCGCGGGACTTGTCGTGCTCACCGTGTCTGGGGTCATCGCCCCATGGAGTGGTCGGTTCTACTCTTTGTGGGATACCGGTTATGCAAAGATTCACATCCCCATCATTGCGTCGGTGTCGGAGCACCAGCCTACCGCCTGGCCGGCATTCTTCTTTGATCTCAACTTCTTAATCTGGCTGTTCCCTGCCGGCGTCTACATGTGTTTCCGCGAACTCCGGGACGAGCATGTTTTCGTTATTATCTACTCGGTGCTTGCCAGTTACTTTGCCGGTGTCATGGTCCGACTCATGCTGACCCTGACTCCCATCGTGTGTGTTGCTGCTGCGTTGGTGCTCTCCTCTATCCTGGACACTTACGTGTTTGCACCCGCCGGACCCAACCCTCGGGCGAAGGCCAGTGAGGAAGCGGCTTCGGATGGTCTCCGCTCTGCGAGAACCCCAACCGTTGGCATTGCCTCGTACCTCTCCAAGGGAATTGTTACCTCCTCGGTCGTCGTCTACCTGCTTCTGTTTGTGGCCCACTGTACCTGGGTTACCTCCAACGCCTACTCCTCGCCCTCTGTCGTTCTGGCGAGCCGGATGCCTGATGGCAGCCAGTTTATCATCGATGATTACCGTGAGGCGTACTATTGGCTTCGCCAGAACACTCCCCAGGACGCCAAGATCATGTCCTGGTGGGATTACGGATACCAGATTGGTGGCATGGCCGACCGTCCGACCCTCGTGGACAACAACACATGGAATAATACCCACATTGCCACCGTCGGCAAGGCCATGAGCTCGCGTGAAGAGGTCAGCTATCCCATTCTCCGCCAGCACGACGTTGATTACGTCCTGGTGGTCTTTGGTGGACTGCTCGGCTACTCCGGCGACGACATCAACAAGTTCCTCTGGATGGTCCGTATCGCCGAGGGTATCTGGCCCGACGAGGTCAAGGAACGAGACTTCTTCACCGCGCGAGGTGAATACCGGGTGGACGACGAGGCGACCCCCGCCATGCGCAACAGCTTGATGTAAGGATTCCCTATTACTAACTGACCAACGATATTGGTACGCGTGCTTACGATGAACTGTAGGTACAAAATGTCTTACCACAACTTCAATTCTCTGTTCCAGCAAGGCCAGGCCGTGGACCGTGTCCGCGGCTCCCGTCTCCCCGCCGAGGGGCCCCAACTGTCGACGCTCGAAGAAGCCTTCACTAGCGAAAACTGGATCATCCGTATCTACAAGGTCAAGGATCTGGATAACCTGGGTCGTGATCACGGTAACGCCATGGCTTTTGACCGTGGCCAGAAGCGCAAGCGGGCGACCAAGAAGAGAGGTCCCCGCGTCTTGCGAACTGAATGAAGGGCGGAATCTGTGATTCTCTTCCGGCTTGATGGGTGTCCCCAAAAATAAAGAAGGTCCTTCAGCTCATTTAGCACGCTGTATCTTAGTCTACCATCAATTCCATTTCTCTTGTGTTTGTGACCATCGATTTAGACGGCAATGTAGCTTTTGATCCCCACCCAATTTATGGGAACATAGCCCATCGAACAGATCCAAAGGTGGCTACGTAGACACTTGCCAATGCTTCGCACGATTAGAGCAGGGTGGTGGTATCTTCGCTTATTCAAAAGGAGTTAATATACAAACGGTGCCAGGGCAAACAACATAGGCGGATATGAGTCCCATGAACAAGGAGCACGGCGGCAACTGGCCGTATGCGCACCCAACTAAGCACTTCCTTGAAGCAGTCGCGCTCCGGGAATTGCGTACCGGGTTTCCTGACTGCCATAACCTGGAGTGAACCTCGTTTTACCCCCTCCATGCCGCGCGGAAGCGCGAACCGAAAGATGAATTCAAGGTCCTCCATTATATTCCATATTCATACAGCGTAGCAGACAGCATTTTGACAAGATCTCCGTTGCAATTGTCTAGAGTGGATAACCGGGTAATGGCGGCATATTTATTGCTTCTTCGAGACGGGGGTTTCGGGGACTTTCACGTCGGAGAACTCATCCTGGCCGACGGCGCGAATCGTGTAGGCATCTTTCAGGCCCGATCATTAGCAGCGGTTCAGGTATAGATTTGGTTAAGGATGTCCTCCATTGAAGGTGAAGGGTAGAAAGCCGGGTTGTAAACGTACAGACTCCAATGGTGAAAGCGACGAGCGCAACTCCGGTGGCGGCGTTCTTGAAGAGGTAAGGACGACGAGCCCGCAGAAGAGCGGCACCGGGGTTAGAGTCCCGATTGTAGTAGGTAGAGTTGAAGCTGAAGAAGTCCAAATGGCATGTTAATTGATGCTGATCAGGCCATACATGCGGGATGGAAAGAGAGAGCAAGAGGGGCTTCAGAGGGTCGAGCAACTCAATCAGTCACCCATTAATATGCACGTACATTCCGCTGGCCATTGTGAAGTCGAGGTAGGTGGTCTACCTGGTTCGAGGGTGAGGAGGGAGCGAGGACGAGGACGAGGACGAAGGCGAAGGCGAAAGGAATAATGAATCCACCCGGCAAAATGGATACCGTACGATACGGACGATACCGTAATTCACCGGGACTCGGGCAAACCGCGGCTCCGGGGGGTCTCGTCTTCCGGCGTCCATCATCGCCCGTTCATTCATTCATACTTTCATTCATTCATCCTTCCTTTCCATAAACACCGTAGTCTTGTCTCTTCATCATTCTCTCTTTGTTGCTCGCTTATCTCCTGGGACCTTTTTAGGTCCCCCATCTAACCCCCCTCCTTTCTCTTGCTTTTATTCCCTTTCGCTTTCTCGAACCTCTCTTGACCTGGGTATATGACCGGTGCTTTGTCGCACCCTCTTAGACGCCGGCCTCGTTTGCCTTGCCTGTGAACACTAAATCTTTTTTCAGCCGTAGTCGACCTTTGGCCAGATCCTTTCCGCCTTTACTTGATTCTTGCGCCTCCCCAATCTTGCGATCTCCGAGTACCTTCCACCTTTCCGCGTCGACGAACAGGGTCTTGCCATGGCCCAGCCTGAAAATCATCTGGTCGACCAGATTGCCCAGCTCAATGCCGCCCGCAATTTGGTCCTCGGGGATGCCGCCTTCTATCCTCAGATCGTGAACGGTATTCTTCCGATCATCGGTCCGCGTGCGCGATTGGAGTTGCGACGATGGGGGGCCGAGTTCTTAGCGGAAACGTTCGCCAGTCCGGCGCTGGCTACGGACCAGAAGGAACTAATGGCCGCGGATGTGCTACAATCGTTGCGGGAAACATTGCTGCTGCCGGAAGAGGATCAATTGGCGTTGACACATATAGTGCAGACCGCTGCCAGCTTGTATCCGCTGGTGTTTAGGCATATGTAGGTCAAACCAGCGCTTGTGCTTCTGTGCGCTCCGGGGAGTTTTCGTAGATGTCTGCCATCAGCCGCAGGCGATGGCTTCTGGGCGATGTACCAGTTGGAATGGACCCTGCAGCTGCTAACGCATGATCTATCACAGCATTAATCATCCGGATGACCGAGAAGCCTGGGAGAACATGACTGCGATCAAGCAGGATATCCTGCGCAGATGGGACACATTCCCTTACCCGGTCAAACTTTGCTGTATAAAGTTCGTGCAGCGTGTCGTTCAAGTGCAGACCCATGGCTTAATATCGGACCCAAGGGTACGTACAAGGAAGCTCTGGACCCGTGTAGAACAGGTATTGACATAAACGCTCCCTAGCGACCGGACCAAAATGAAACATCCCTAGCTATCGTCCCTAGGAATCATGCGATCCTGTCTCTGCCCAATTTGGAGGCCGAGGCTTCTGGTTTGCTGGACCGTCTTTTGGCTGTGTTTCAGGAAGAGTCGAGGTAACACTGGCGCTTCTGTTGGATAAAATGGGAATGCGGTGCTAACAGTTTTGGTCCAGTGACCCCCTCCTGGTGAATGCGACCTTGAACAGTCTGTCGGTCCTCGTTCGAACGCGACAGTCTGTGGGTAATAAGATCATCAACGCCGTCCTCAATTTTTTCCCCTCGAAGCAAGCGCGCTCTCCGATAACTCCCACGGTCCGAGTCGGCGTGAAATCGATGGAACGAACCGCCAGAGCATTGATGATCAATATATTGAAAAGGTGAGGCAGCATGACGACTCCGGAGTGACATGCGATATTAATATCCTATCCAGAAACCCCAGTCACCCGTTTGCAGGGAAGATGCAGCACTACATGGATCGATTGATGCAGTCGCGTCTAGAGCCCGTAGATGATACCTCTCGAAAGCGCACATCGCCGTCTGAGCCTACGGATGGCCTGGACAATGCCAAACGTGCGAGACTCGATGCCGAAACACCACCCTTGTTGAAAATCCCCCCAATGCCTCCCGGGCCGAATAGTTATGCGCAACTTTTTACCCTCACCGAAGATGCCGGACTTTCATCTTTCGATGTCAGGCAGCTGCCCGCCGACCTGCTCGTCAAGATCGTCATTCCCCTTCTTGGTCGGGTCGACCAATCTTTGTTAAACCAAGCTATCGATGTAGGTTAAACTTGCAATAAACGCCACCGCCTATTTCATTCTAACACACTCGCAGGCTGTACGGACGCGATACCAGACGCTTCAGAAACAGCAGTCAACGCAGCCTGCTGCGGAAGAAGACGACGACTACGAGCCCGAATACCAACCGATGGATGTCCCCGAAACGGCACCTGCGCAGCCCGACGCCTTAGCGGAAGAAGTGGACTATGAACCTGATCTCGTTTCCCTGGGCCCATTTGTCTTGCCTCAACCTCCTCCGTTAAGTGAAGACGAAGCGGCCGATGTGGGACGCAGCGCAGTAGGGAGGGTATTTGGTATGCTGGCCTCCAGCGATACAGCACTGAACACGACGAAAGGAAAGACCCAGCAACAATTAGGGTTCGCAAGACTAGCGGGCAGTACCTTTGACCGAGACGCCTGGGTGACATTGCTCACGCGACTCGCGACAAGATCGCCTGCCGGTCTGGAGGTGCAAGGCAAGAAGGAGGATGCTTCGAAGAAGAAGCCCACGATATCGGGTTCCATTCGGGAAACGTTATACCGGTACATCCTAGAAGATTTCCGGGCCCGGGTCAACGTCGGCATCATGTGGTTGAACGAGGAATGGTACAATGATCGTGTTCAGATGAAGTTCGCCGCATCTCAGCGGACCGAAGACGACGAGGAGACGTCGGTCCCATTGCACTACGATCACTGGGTCCTACGGCTTCTGGATGGTATATTGCCCTATCTAGATTCGCGAGATCTCAAGATCTTCATTCGCTTTTTGAGTGAGATCCCCGAAGTGACCATCCCCATCACACAACGCGTGGCCAGTCTGGCCAAGGATCCCGAGAGAGTCAATCTCTGCGTCCACTCCCTGCAGTTTGTCCCCCCTCTCTGGCCCTTCTCTTTGACATTCTGTCTACCGGCGTCGGTGACCTAGTAACTAACTTCTGAACCAGATACCTGATTCTCTTCCGACCCCCCGCCCGAGAAATGTGTCTTTCGACCTTAGAGGAAGTTTACCAAACCTGTACGTCTCCTAGTCTCTACCTTTATTTAGAACCATCCATACTAATCCCTCAACTCCAGACGAGGAATCGCGACCAGCAGCCGGCAAAGTCCTAGCCAAATGGCGCCCGCAGAAGACCGAGCAACAATCAAGTCAACAAACCACCCTCACGAGCCGTCCAGTCCCACCGGAAAGCAACACCAACACCACCGCCACAGAGAACACCGCGCAGCAATAATCCGACCCGCCCCCCCCCCACCGCCGTAACACGCAGCCGCGAAAGATAATACCTTTCCATAAAATGTTTCTCTTCTAATTCACCTCTCTGTCTGGTCGTCCTCTTATCACGATAAACCAATTGAACCGTGTACTTTATCTTCAGCAGACTTGGTTGATGATACCACCTATCTATCCATCATCCATTATTTTCTTTTACTTTATCCTACAATGCTGATTTGCTCGCTCATCTATTTACAAGGGATTGATTACCTGAATGGAAGGAACTACAGGCCTAGAGTTAGTTACCTATGTGAACGTGAATGCTTGTATGTATGTATGCATGTATGTGTATTTGGAATAGGACCGGTTCTCCTATTATTATAGCGTCATTTCCAGAATTCGAATTTTCAGATCAAAGGACTGACTGATATACGATGCAAGATGTAAGCAATGAATGAAGCCCCTTAGACTTCGGTCCTATATAAAATGAAACCCCAAATTCTATTCTAAACCCTTCCTATGCAAACCCATCGAAGAAGAGACAATGAAAACTGATTAGAGAGGACAAGAACATCATGTCAGGTAGATATGTATCATGGTTTGAAGAGACGAAAACAAAAAATGATAAACACCATAAGCAATGGGTAGTTGGTTATTGAATCAAAAACAAAAGAGAAAAGAGAAAAAAACGTAGACTCCAAGGCATCCCATTCGCCCATATTCACAATATATCTCAAAAGACACACAAAAAGACTAGCTTTATTCATCTGTTTCCAGTCATACATGCCAAGCCGTACATACATTAGAAAAAGAAAAGAGCAAAAGGCTTCTACAACACCTGTTTGGATCCTATACAGGGAGAAAATGAAAATGACCCATCTTTAAAATAAAAAAAAAGGAGCAAGTAAGAAGTGGTAAAAGAAGTTCTGTGTATGGGAATTGTTATCGTGCTGCCATCGAATTTGAGCCTGACCCGCCTAGTAATCCTGCTGATTGATGCATGGAATTGACCGGCTTTGATGACAAAGGAGGCGACGAGTTCGGACCGGCTGAATGGAAGAGACCAAGTCGTGCAGGGGGTGGTGAATAGGCATTTCGCGAAGCACCTTGAGGCGACCGATGATCGAGCGTACCACCGTATGCAGATGGGTGCGGTTTTCGTACGTCAAGCGGCGAGGAGCTGAGCGATCGGAATCCAGTCCGTCGGTCCGGATCATACTCGGGATTTCCAAATGGCCCGAGTTTTTGGTGCGGCGGTTCCTGCTCCGTGCCGTAGGGGGTATTGTTTGTTGAGGAATTGGCGGCCGACAGGTTCTCTGCAATTGTAGACGCCGATCCATTGGGCGCATTGATGTCCACGACTCGCTTCTGAGCAGCTGGGGTTGTGTACGCTGGGGCCCGGGAGTCCTCAAATACTCGACTCTGTGGCCGTTGGGATATCTGCTGGTGTTGGTGCTGTTGGTGATGATGATGGTGGTGGTGGATAGGGTGCTGCGGGTTCGCCCAAGGAGTTTGTTCCAAAAACGCTTCCTCGGCGGTACGAAATGCATTCGAGGACATTGCCGACATCGTTCCGCGTGGAGGGGCATTTGTTTGAGGGTGGGTAATAGGGATCCTCGATTCAATAGAAATCTGCGCACATAGTCAGGACCAGTTCTAGCGGGCGAGGCAGGGAATACAGTCAACTTACGCCCATCTTCTCCAAATCATCGTCGAGCTCGGTGGGTCGCGCGGCTGGTAACGAAGGCGCCGCCGGAAAGCCAACATATTTTGCGACACCGGCCATGACTGAGACCTCTTGGTTGTATGCGGTCTGCTGCGCGATTTGCTGCGAGCGTCGAGTAGGAAAGGGAATGTAATGCTGCGGGCTGACCTCGTCGGTCTTGAATCGATCATGTTGGATGGAGTAGAACTGTTTGCTGATGGAGCTCGAATGTCTTTCACGGATATCGCGAGCTCGTTGGAAGTAGCTGCTGTGCGATTGGGCCCGCTCGGCTAAGCTCTTATTCAGGAGAGCCTTTATTCGGTACTGGAACAGCGTGTGTTCGTACTTAATCTTAGAATCCCTATATCGCTGAACACACTCAAGCTGCCGCAAGAATTCCGGGTGTGTTGGATTGGGTCCGGTAAGCATATCCAATTCGCGATTTAGTTTAGAAATTCTTTCGTCATAGATCCTAAATGGATTGTTAGTGATCCTGGGATTCATTCAACGAAACCAAGGACCGATGACTTACTTGTCACGTAGCGTTGCAAATTCACGTTCCAGAACCGCCAGCGATTCCATAGCAGACATTTTCTTCGCCGCTGTGTAACAACGTCAGCAGACGTGCTTTAGGCAAGGGACAAGTGCCACGACTTACATTCTTCTTCGAGCTTGGCGGCTGCCTCGCCATCGTCTGCTTCTTCACCACGCTCCACATCATCATCTCCAAGGTTATCGTCGCCACCACCTTCCGCGCCGGTTTCAGCGGCACCGTCAACATCTTCATCGGCATCCCTGGTCTTCCGTGTTTTTCGTTTGCCCTTCTTAGCCTTTTTGCCCTTGGCGAGAGGTGCGGGCAAGTCTGATTCAGGTACGTCATCAGCAGGTGGATCATCCTCGTGGGGTTTTGAAGCTTCTTCCACGGGTTCGGGGGACAGGACAATGTCCTCCGCCGGTGGATCGCTTAATTCGCTCTTCAAAGAGCCGCGACGCTTCTGAGGGGGTTCATCTTCTTCGTCAATCTCGGCGCTCACGTCGTCCCCAGATTCGAGTCGTTTCCGTTTCTTATTAAAGCTTTCCGATAGAGCGGATTCTTCCATGCTTGGAATTTCGTCAGCGGGTTCAGTGACCCGATTGTTTTTCGAGCGAGGCTTGCTGGGAGAATCATCGGCCACCTGGTCGTCGTCGTCTTCGACGTCATCGTACGTGGTTGATTGAGCCAACTTGCTGGGGCTGGGCCCGTAATTGCTTGCGCTTGCGCTCACGACAATGTTTGTTCTGGAGCGAAGGTTGTTGGGAGAATCCTCAATTCGCTCGGTCTCCGCCTCGGAGTCGTTGTCCGGGGCTACTTTCTCAGGCTTGGGAGACTCATAATCTGACGGAATGTTCTCGGAGAGGTCATCAATTTCACTGAGACTACTCGATCTTCCGTCATCATCAATAAGCGAATCATCGAGGTAAGGATTGTGTTCGCCATTGGTGGCGGCAGAGTCGGCCCCAGTTGGCGGACCAACGGAAATGGCTTCTCTGCTCTCGGCCACCTCCATGAGGAATGGAGAGTGATGCGCAGGAACTTGGGAGGGTTATAAGGAGAAAGGGTAGAAGAGGGGAGGAAGAGGATGGAGGAATAGGCGGGGGAATGATCGACTGGGAAGGGAAGATCAACGGTTAAGGTGAGGGTATGATCGGATCAAAACCTAAGTTAATCAAAGAGAGAGTTAATGACGATGTACCAAACATGATCAAGGACGTTCGAAAGGGGTTGGGGTGGAATGGAGGGAGTGAAGGAGAGCCATATGGGAAAGTTCGAAGAGGGAGAAAAAAAAAATCAACATTCAATGCAGGGGAAAAAACGACGACCGGCGTTGAGCATGGCGAGGCGCGAGAAGTAGCAGAAGGCGGTGCGGAGATTTGATCACACCCCAGACTCATCAATCGTTCACGGGTTATCGCTCCCGGCTTGGGCGCTGCGAACTGCGCCAGCCCAACTCTCGCTCGCTCGCCGATGTCTTCATGACCCAGATGGCACGAAATAATCGCGTATAGATCGGATAGAACCATACTATGTTTTGAAGACCAGAAAAAGACGTACCATGCAACAATGCGCCAACCACAAAAAAACTAGCGATGAATACAACGACGAAGACTGGTTTTTGTAGCCACCGCGGTCGCAGAGACAACGCTCAAAATCGATCGAACGAATATAATTAAGCCCGACAGTCCTCGTAGTATCACAGTTCTAGCGAACCTTCTCTGGTATACCTATACCCACAGGCCCTATGGTGGGAGGATCGAAGGAGGAGCGACGAGGGAGGTGGAGGAGGTGGACTTCACGAAGCGGGTAATACGACGAATGCACTGCGGGAGACGGGCGGCATGGGCGAGAAAGGTGTTGACGTCAGGGGGGATAGGAAATTCACAAGCGACGTCGAGCAGGTCGTGATCAGAGAGGATCTCGACGATAGGAAAGACGAGGAACAAGCATGCGGAATTCAGCGCAGCCAGTTGCAGAGGGGAAGGAGAGGGAGAAAGAGCCAAAGCCGAGAGCGAGCGAGCGAGCGAGCGAGAGAGAAGAGAGAGAGACTGCCCGAGCGTCACGCGGTATTCCGCCCGTATCAGTTCTGCCGGTTCTATTCCCACCGCCTCGCCGCTTGGGGACTCGGTCCTGCTGCTCGGTTCGCTCTCTCCTGGGCCTTTTAAGGGGCGCATTCACGTCGCGATAATTAGGGATGATAAATATCATAATCCATAGGGCATGCGACTGCAAATCCTGGTGAATTTGGGCTTTTCTGGCGGATACACAATGTGAGGGCCCCGTGACATGCCAAATGGCCTCCGTCGCATTTTCCACGTGACCGCCCTCAACTCCCGTCGCCAAGATCCAGAAAAAGAAAAAGAAGAAAAAAAAAGTACAACCAGGACGAAGAGAGAAGAGAAAAGGTAACATCTCCACCCATTTGCATTCACCCTTCGATTGGCTTTATCCCGGAGATCAAGTCCTGACGGCGCAACAGGGATTTTTCCATATCATCATACAAGATGGGCAAGAAATCCAAATCCCAGTCGGAGAAAACTCCGCAAACCAGCAAGCCGGAGGCCTCTTTTCCTCTTCTGGGCGGAAATTCCTCCGTTGATCCAACTTTGGCCTCGCTGTTTGAACAGAGTGTACGTTCATATCTGCTCTTTATCTGTCGCTCTGATTGACTAACTTTGCGATTGTTTTAGGCGGGCCCAGTGAAAGTCCCCGAGGTTGTTGCAACCGCTGTCGACGATGAAAGCGCAGAAAACGAGGAAGCGTCGGGCTTGGAGCCAGACTCGGCCGACGATGATGAAGTCATGCAGGAAGCCTCCGAGCCCGCCGATGAAGCCGCGGGGGAAGCGTCCGAAGCTCCCAACCGGAAGCGCAAGAGGACAAACGGAGAAGATCTCGAAGAGACATACATGCGTCGCATAGCGAAGGAGGAAGAAAAGGAAGAGAAAAAGCGTCGCTCGGAGAAGGCAAAGCGACAGAAGGTTGCCGCTAAGGAGGCAGAGGAAGAAAGTGGCGAGGACGACTCGTCTTCAGAGCAATCCGAGGAAGAAGCAGAGAGCTCCGACGAGGACGGAGGCAAAATTGCACTCCCGAAGCACGAGAGCCAATCTGAGGATGCTGGTTCCCAGGAGATTGAGAAGTCAAATCGAACGGTCTTCTTGGGCAACGTCTCGAACGAGGCCATCAAGTCTAAGACCGCCAAGAAGACCCTTTTGAAACATGTCGGATCGTTCCTCTCGTCGCTTCCAGAATCTACGAGTCCCCATAAGGTCGAATCGATCCGTTTCCGCTCCACGGCCTTTGCCAGTGGCGGGCATATCCCCAAGCGGGCCTCATACACCAGACAGGAACTTCTGGATGACACCACGCCCAGCACCAACGCCTACGTTGTCTACAGCACCCTACAGGCTGCAAGGAAGGCACCCGCAGCCCTGAACGGCACCGTGGTTCTCGACCGACATCTGCGTGTCGATAGCGTTGCTCATCCCTCGCAAATCGATCATAAACGGTGCGTTTTCGTCGGTAACCTCGATTTCGTCGACCACGAAAACAACCCGGATGACGAGGAAAAGAAGAAGAAGAGAAAGACTCCAGCAGATGTCGAGGAAGGCCTGTGGCGGTCGTTCAACGCCCATACGACCGCATCCAAGGAGAAGGATACCAGCCGAGGCAGCGTCGAATCCGTTCGGGTGATTCGTGACCGTGCCACCCGTGTTGGCAAAGGCTTCGCCTATGTTCAATTTTACAACCCAAACTGCGTGGAGGAGGCTCTTCTCCTTAACGGAAAGCAATTCCCGCCCATGCTCCCTCGGAAACTCCGGGTCACGCGAGCCAAGAAGATGGGGAAGAAGCGCGATGACAACAATGCCCCGTCCGGTAAACTTCGGGATTCCGATAAGACGCTCCAGGGCCGTGCCGGCCGTCTGTTCGGCAAGGCCGGCGCTGCCAAGGTGAAGGAAAATGCCACGAAATCGATTTCGCAGAACTCGCTAGTGTTTGAAGGTCACCGCGCGACTGACGATGGCTCGTCACGTATTCGGGTCAAGACCAAGAGCCGTGGTTCTAAAGGCAAGCCGAAGAACCGGAGCAACCAGCGGGCAGCGGCCTACAAAGCGGCCGGAGGGAGGAAGAGCAAAATCGAGAGCAAGCGAGATTAATATGGCTAATTTCATTTTCTGTGTGTATTTTTCAGTCAAAATTATTGAGCGCCTAGGATATCAGCAATACCTACGGACTCTAGAACATTCAGCATGTAAATGATCAATCGTATCTGCACTCGCGAAAGTGACTCCTGCGTACTTTGGAAGGACGATCTAGAGAATGACGTCATTAGTGTAACGCGCAGAGGGGCCCAACAATGAATGAATAGAAATGGTGACATTTGAACGTAACCATTATCGCCTCCTTGCCTAGGGTACATCATCTAGACCAACTTGTCGTGTCATGACCCGTCCGCACTTCTAAGCCGATAGGCAGCCATTTCAGCACAGCAAGCGTCCTTCAGCCACCGTTGATTCCCACCCGCGCGGCGGGCGGAAAACCTTCAAATAGCCTCGATCTCTCAACCCCACTCATCCTTACTCGGAGTACTCCGTACATTCTATGTCTCTACTGTGTACACAATTACCCCCACCTTATTATCCCCATCCAGCGAAACTGCCACGCAACTAGCAGGTTCACGGGGTCGTTGCTCTCGAGTCAGCATAATTCCATCGCCCCGGTAGGGCCTTGGTAACGCTCCATAACTTAACCGTGGTCCACAGCTCTAGAAGTGGCATTATCTGAACGTCGCCCGTCGCAGTAGATGATGCTCCCTATGGTATCGTCGGCTATGAATCGATTTCGCGCCCCAAGGAGGGCCCCTTCTGCCGAAGATTCTCCGTCCGATGCTGAGGAGCCACATACCACCGAACTGGAGACTGAAGAGCCGTATTTTCCTGACCTCTACGATGTACTCAAAACTCGACATATCCTGCGATGGAAGATTGTTCCCGAAGGATTGCCCATGGAGATCGTGGATCTGATTGTGGATGCGGCCGAGTATTGGGCGTCGATGGAATCAAAGATGCAGGGGCAACGAATTATCCGGCAAGACGGGGATCAGGTTCTTGTGCGAACGAGTCCGTTGTGCTATGATGAGAAGGTAAACGACCCTCGCGCCAGACCCAGGCCAGTTGCGCTCTTTCCCGCCGTTTCACAAAATGTTCATTCGGGGTGACATCTATCTTCCTCTCCGCTTGTGCTATATCTAACACCATTTCAGACGCTCGGTAGCCCGTCACCAAAACTGCTGCCGCATCGAACGATTCACCCATGTCGAAAGATTGTCTTCTCCATCGCCTCCCACGATCAGGGCTGGGGTGGTGGTCGTCGACGAGATCACAGTCCGTTTGAGGGGTCCAATACCTGGTTTGACATTGAAGTGATTCATTCTGCGCATCAGGGCACCCCAACAGAAATCTCGAGCCTTCCAGAAGTAGGGCAGAATGGGATCCGACTGACAGCCGGTCATCCCCTCCTCAACCCCAGTAGACAGAAGTTGCAATCGAATCGGACATACGTGAGGGAAACTCATCACTATACAATCACCTGGCACCATCTCGACCGTGTCCCAGCAGACTCAGAGGAGGCCGAAGAGATCGAACGTGATCAGGGTCGGGGCCGTGCCACGCTGGATGGCAGCCTGATACGCGCGCTGGGACTAGGCGATGCTATCTCCGTCTGGGGACGCGCTCGATATGGCGGATGGTCGAACCATGTGGAAGAAGTGGCGGTGCGAGTGTTCTGGGCGGTATGAAGGGTGGGGTGAATGAGTGACCTAGTACATAGTACGAATACCTAGTACAAAGGACAGAAGATATTTATCTGCGGAGTAACTACGGAGTACACAGTAGTATTAGGGCAGCGACAGGATTACCGAATCGGGAAGGGTCGTCGCGGCCTGGTCGTTCAGGCTGCCAGGCATAACCTCATCTCCGCACGAAATCACGCAATTTCGCCAAGACCGCCCGATCGCCGAATATAAGGATTAACCAGCCCGTCGTCCTTTCATGCCACCAGCTTCTCTGCTTTTTGCTCGCAGACAAAGCCAATATGATGTGATCCTCGACGGCTGCCGGAGTACAACAGTCGTTTGCTCCAGCATCTACTCTATCCGTCCCCGTCCCCCTCGAACCCCCTCAGCATGTCGGCGTTCGTTCCTCGTCCTGCCCCCAAGAGCGGCCAAACGCAGCCCAAATGATCTCCGACGGAAAGCGCACCAGGGATTTTCCCAGGCCTCTGCGAGTGGGGCAGCATGCGTCGGTTGCGCAACAGTCGGTCTGGCAACGATGGACGAGGCCTGGATGGCTATCGCCTGACCTGGAAGAAAGGGCGGTTTATCCTGCCCTCTCGCCCTTTCTCTCGCCCGAGTGCGCGCACGGCTTGCCCGCACGACGGTCATTCGCTCCGTTCCATCCGCCTGGTCGACTTCTCGTTCTGCCCCTCCCGTCCAGGCCAGCACAATGACGCTCATTAGCCTGTTTCGCCGAGAATTACGCCGTGCTTTTGCTGCAACGCCCCTGGATACTTCTCTTGGCTACCATTCAAATCCCCAGCGATGTCCGCCCTCGTCAGCGGTGTTTTCACCGCTTCAGCCCAGCGCCCTAGATTCTTGTGGCCATCTTCATCTCTCGCCCTTTCGTTTCTCCATCATCCAGCTCGTTCTACGCGCCAGATCGCCTCGAAAACCATGAATTCACCTCAAAATTGTGCGGCAGTTGTTGTGGGAGCCGGCCCCGCGGGCTTGGCTGTTATAGGAAATCTGCTGGAGAAGCAAATCGGGAAAATCGCCTGGATTGACCCGATTTTCCAAGGGGGGCGAGTCAACCGCAAATATCGAGAAGTTCCTAGGTGAGTGTTTCCTCGGTCCGGCCCCCTGTGATATCGCAGGGCGTCGGAAGAGGAGCGCTCTCAGCTGACGTGGGTTGAACCAATCTAGCAACACCAAGGTGTCGCTCTTTCAAGCATATGCCACCGCCGTTCAACCCTTCCGTTCCGTCATCAACTCCCGCGTTCCCAGTCCAATCTCAACGATGGCCAAACTCGACCAGGAGAAAACCTGTCATCTACACCACGCTGCGGATATGGTCAAGGGCCTGTCGGACGGCATCGTCAAGATGGACGAGGTGTTGGCGTGCCGTGGGGTTGTCACTGCCGCCACCTTGGCTGAAAATGTCAGTTCAAATGTTCCGAATCCCGGGATTCGGTGACTATTCGTAATTTCTGTGGCTAATCGTTGCGCTGTTTGTCTCTTTTTAGACGTCAATGTGGACGGTACGGATCATGCGTCGAGACTCTCTCGACGAGTTCGAGGTAGTGACCCCGAGACTCGTTCTATGTACAGGATCGTCGCCGTCGCAAGTCTCGATCCCCGTCTCTGGACTCGACATCCAGAGACTGGACCTAGATGTAGTTCTGAAGCCCAGTGACCTTGTCACGTACCTGCCCCGCAATGTACCCCAGACCGTGGCGGTGGTGGGGGCTTCCCATAGTGCCATCCTAGCTCTCCTCAACCTGGTAGAATTGGGTCGCAGCTCCCACCCCCAGCTACGAGTGAAGTGGTTCACGCGGCATCCTCTTCGGTATGCCGAGTATATGGATGGCTGGATCCTCCGAGACAACACGGGTCTCAAGGGTCTAGCGGCGGACTTTGCTCGCCAGCAATTGGAGGACGAGCAGCTACCCCAGTCGGAGGCGGGTCAGTTCATCACGAAGGTGGACTGCGGGGGAGGCCAAGAGATGGCGCAATATCAGCAGCATCTACCATCCTGCTCGCACCTCGTCCAGGCCGTCGGGTTCACACGGGATCCGCTGCCCGAGTTGTCCGTTGATGGGGAGCCTTTGGAGCTGGAGTTCGACTCGGAATCGGGCGGCTTCCAGGACCAGAAGGGACGACAGGTGCCGGGCCTCCACGGCGCGGGCATCGCCTTTCCTGAGCGGGTGGTCGATCCGCACGGCAATGTTGAGCATGCCGTCGGGTTTTGGAAATTTATGAAGTATCTCAAGCGCGTGAGTCCCCAGTGGGCCGCCTCACAATGAGGCGGTTCATATGTTTAGGTGTGATGTTCCTGCCCGTGGCCTGACTCTGCTGGAAGGGAGGGCTGCCGGAATGTCTATATACCATATAATCATTCAACTTATTGAAGTTCATTACCATCAAACACCTCTATCCGTAGTACCTTATCCCGTAGGCATACAGCTGTCAGTCGCAACACCCCCTCCTCCTCCCCACCTCCCTACGGGCAGACGCCCTTGAATGCTGCCCTGTCACCGTGCAAGCAGGTGGCCGACAGAAGGTCGGGTTACTCGAGATCCTCCGCCGGGCAACCTGTCTGGCGTCTGCATGCACGCATCCACTAGGCCGTCCCGCGTTACTCAAGAATCAATAATCTTTCAGGACTCGGTCGACGTTCCGTTGGATATCTAACCCGCCCCCTTTGAAGATGGGCATTTTCGATTTTCCCCTCCTAGGGCAGATAAGCGCTACTCCGTACCTAAGCAGTTAGCAGGACGTGAAAGGTTCGACCTCCGAGCCTAGTCCGCATGTGATGGATACAAAGGGAGCGAGATGGGCCCAAGCCCTGTGAGTGATAGATAGGTACAATGCAGAATGTCCACGGACTTTTTACCTACCCCTTTTTAGCCTGCGATGGGGATGCTACGGTGTAGCTACACCGTAGATACTACCTGGGATAGTAGGGAGAATGTAGATACACACACTCCGACAGTATCCACAAGAAACTAGCGATACCCCCAGATGATAAGGGCATCAGGCACTCATCATGATTGCATCAAGTCATCAACCGGTCGTGCCGATCATCACCCTTCACCCATTGCCCCAGTTCTTGGAAGTTTATCATAATCTTACGGGGTACATAGTTAGTCTTAGTCTCTTAGTCTCTTAGTTCTTACCTACTTGCGTTGTTTTTTGTCTTCCCCTCCCCTCCCCCCTTTCAGCTGGACTTAGTTAGGTTACTACCTACGCAGTACGAAGTAGGTAAAAGGTAAAGAGACAAAGACCAACGATTCATCGAACGGGATGTAGGGATAACAAGGTAAGGATGGTAAGGTCGGCTCATGCTCACCTACTGGATTCTCTCGTCCCAGAAATGAGTGGTCATGAGATTCCTCCGTATGAAAGGCTGAAAGCCCGTTATCATTCCTCTCCCACTAGCCCAGTCCAATGAAGAGTGGTCCCCCTTTTTTTTTTTTTGGCTCCTCTTCCCCTCAGGATCATCGCGTCGCTCTCACAAACGCACCAATGGAATGGAACAACACCCCTACCTCAGGTATGCAGTGTGTACGGTGTATTTTATTTTAATTTACTTTATCTTAATCCACTGAATTGATTTTGATTAAATTCGATTTAATTTAATTTAATCTCCCCTCCCATCTGGTCCGGTGTATTCCACCGTCCACGGCCAATTCCCATTCCCACAATGGAGAACGTCAAATTACCCAGGATCCTCGCCCTTACTTTACCCCCGACCGACGTTGGGGCCAGACCTTCCAGGCCTCCCAGGCCTCCCAGACCTCCCAGAATTCTCCACTTCCCACCCAGAACTTTGCAGCCGTTTAATTTCCCCTCGGGAGCCTTGTTGATTGGGCCCTGGGGGTGGATCGGGGCTAACGGCGCCCCAGAGGGATCCACGTAAATAAACAACTTACTCTGAGTTACGGAGCACTGGAAAACTGGAAGTCGAAAACTGGAAAAGTGAAAAGTGGAAGAGGGAAAACTAGAGAGTGGTATCTCCACTCTCCATCAGACCTACCTCATATGCCTGTTACCCGAACTCACGGCCCTCCGTTGGGCTGATCGCTCCCACTGTCATCTCCGATATCGTCGTCGCTACTCGCTACCCTGTCTTTACGCCGATCCAGCCTGGATGATCGTTGGTCATGAAAAGTTTTCAGTATTAGTCGTGCATGCTCGACACTAATCGTTCATTACAGAGTCCACATATCTACATAGTAGTAGTACATAACCGTACAAAGCCAGCGGATCCATCCCCTCCACTCCGTCCGCGGCGATTCAGAAATAATAATGAGGTAAATACCTGATAATAACAGGGAATGCAATCCAAACCGACGAATGCAATGCCCAAAACGAAGGATTCAAAAGAGGAATAAAATGCGTTGCTTTCCGAAGCAAACAAAAGGTTCAAAGCCCGAGGAACGACAAGACTCGTTCTCTCAGGTAACGGGGGAATATGAAGCGAAAGGCTGTGAAAAGAAAAAAGAAGAGGGGGCATAAGAAGTAAAAACGTAGAAGCGGTATATAAGAAACAACCGGGTCATAACCATGCGATTCAGACAAACCAAACCCAAAGAGCAAGTAACGTTAAATGGGAAGAGTTTAGAAGACGGCAACGCCGGCCAACACAAGAGCCATCATGGCGCCGGAAACCCGAGTGGTCGTGCCGGCATTCGAGTTGGGCACCGCCGTTTCGGAAGCACTGGCACTAGCAGAAGCGCTGTTGGTGCTCGAAGCCTGTCCGCTGGAGGTGGAAGCTGCGACGCTGGAGGAGCCGGTGGAGGAACCAGTCGAAGTGGCCGATCCGTCGCCGCCGCCAGAAGCGGTTCCGGTAGCAGAGCTCGAGCCGGTGCTGGTCGCCATCGACAACGTGGTGGGGGTCTCGGTCTTGGTCTTGGAAGCGCTGGAGGTGCTGGTGGTCTTCTCCTCGGACGAAGTAGTGGTGGAAGCCTCGGAGGTGGTGGTGGCGGAAGCAGTCGACGTCGTGGAGGACTTGGTCGTGTGGACGGTGGCACCGGCAACGACGAAACGGGGGAGATAGTTGACCTCGCTGGTGTCATCGTCCGAGATGATCTCAACGGTGTAATCCGGCTGAGCGGCAAGGTCGGACGGAGGAGTCCAGGTGAAGCTGCCCGAGTTGTCAATGCTCTCTGGACAATATGTCAGTATATGTTTACAAGCACCTGGCACAGACGCAAAACATCGGAGAACTCACTGGCAATGGCGGTACCCGAGTTCGGGGTCAGGACACCACCCCATTGCAGGCGCAGGGTCACGGTTCCGCTGGTGGTGGGATCCCACGTCAGAGTAGTGGGCTGGCCAGTCTTGAAAGAATATCCATCCTTGGGGATGTTGAAGGGATTGGCCTTCTCGGAAGCGGCGGCCGCGAGGGTCGCGATGGCGCTGAGGGTCAAGAAGAAGACGGAACGCATTGTTGTAAAGTGACGAAGTAAGCGATTCGATTGATGATGGCGGAATGAAAATATCGGACAGGCCCAGGCAAAGTATTGACAAGCGGGGATTATGATATGGTTGATATACAGTCAGGTGGTGAGGATAACTGTGGGTGAAGGAAGGACTTTGAATTCGATGGATTCAATGAGATCGAGCAATGATTAAAAGGAATGTAAGGGTGGGAGAATAATGTACTCGAAGGACAGACGTCGGGTGGGGAGGGAAAGAAGTGACAGGGAAGGAAGGAAAATACGAGGGGAGGTTTTGAATTTGGGGGGAAGGCGAGTCTATGTATACCACAGGGTTGGGCAAGTGCTAGTAGTCGGCACTACTACCTACCTCGGAGGGTCTACACTGTACAGCTGCTACTACTGCAGGTACTAGGCAGGACCGGAAAGGCAAAGATACTCCGTTAGGGGGGTCCCCGACCCTGCAAACTGCAACGACGGGAGTGGACAATCCACGAGGGCTCCAATGGAAGTAATCCCAACCCATACCGTTCCCATACAGCACTAGGGCAACTCCGGACCTCCCAGGGAACTAGGCAACCGGCCAATGAGCACCGTCAGAGCGGGGGCAAATTAAACTAATCGACCTAGCCGGTACTAGTGCCCTGCAAGCGGACCCCCCAATTTCGAGAGAATCCCGGCAAAAGCCCGGTCCGGCCGCTCAATCTGGAGGGCTAACAAATCTTAGCGCCGGCTAGTCGGATTTACCAGAAAGTCTGGCCTACGGAGTCCACGAGGCGGAGGCCCGTGACTGGGCAGAGAAAACTCGGTCGACGGCAATAGTTCCTTCTTGTCAAGTCTGGTGGCGCTCCCTCTGAGTACTTAGCGAGCGAGAGAAGCGACACTCTAATAATAACCGTCCCAAGATAGTATGAGTGGTGTGATCCCATGGTTTGATTTGGTTTTTCTTTCTTTGTTTTCTTTAAACTTTTTTGGAATAAAGTCTGCATTCCTCGGGTATTTTGACGGGGGACATGCATCAAGGGGATTCAGTAAGAACTTTCAACGCAACCCTTGCGTTATGGGACAAGGGATCGTACAGAACACAGGTGGTACCTGAATGACCATGCTATCATGCTGCCTACTACTCCGTACCCATCCACTAAGTTCTGGGTTAGTGTCTAAGCCCCTCTACCCTCCCCAGAATAACACGAGAACTGATAACATTATCAGGGACTACTACTCGGAGTAGATCCCTTCTCGGCGCATCCTGGTCAATACTACGGGGTACACCCAGTACCGCCACCGTCATCGTGACTTCCATCGAAATCCCTCGTGATCCTTGCGCTCCTTCCGGAATGGTCCCCTATAGTAGCTCCGTGCTAAGGGTGTTTGTTTGCCTGATCGGATTTCCACCACTGTGGGTTGTTCATTTCGGCCCCCGATCTCCCTTCCAGTGTGAGCCCCCCTATGAAGGACTCCTTGCGACACATCACATTGGAAGACTCACAATGTCTCCGATCAAGCATGCGTCAGAACGGTCCCTTCAATGATGTCTTGGACTCGGATATTTGACGGGTTTTGCCCCATAAAACGTTGTTTGCAAATCTTACTCCGCCAACCGAGGGATTCGACGATCTGTTCCATTTTCTCACTTAGTCGCAGATCCACGACCCAAGCTTCAACATGACCGAGTAAAACCACCTTAATTCTCGACATGTTGACTTGGGAAGAAAACCCCAACTTGCCACAGTTTCCACCGTGTCAAACTTTTCTCAACTCTGTTTTCCCGGCTGGCTGCTCCAAAGTCATGACGGCAGCGTGGTCCATCCCTGCGTAGACCTGTCAGTCCAATACGACTCGACTCGTCCGACGGTTTGTTTCACTCAGAATGTTTGCCCTTTTCCAGTCAGATTATAGCCCTAAGACCTCCGCGATCATACGCGTATAATCGACATAGGCACTTGAACATACAGTACGTTCTACAGGCTATATATAACTCTTCCTATCGAAAGCATCAATCACAACTCAAACTAGGGTATCCGCAGCATGAGGGGGGTGCATGTTACTCAACCGTTACCCTTGACAAAAAGCAGGGCACGCCACTAACTCGACATTCCACATGTCGAGCTCAGGTCCTCGTGCAAGTGGTGTCGCTTTACATGATAATTATAATTTTCGCCTTAGCTACAGTTTCAAACACAACCGGCATGTTGCAACTTAAATCTCAACTTCTCCGCTTCCCGGGCCGATAGGTGTCTATGCATCTTGACGCTGTCTCAGTCTTTAACAAGATCAATTTTAGCCTCTTAGATAAACAGACATTGCATACCCCGGAGTTTCCAGACTATCTTTAAGATGTTTAACTTTTAACTACTCCGTAGAACAGTTATGTATATATTCGAAATGGCAGCCATTGGGATTTAGTCCAAATTTTGGCTGTCAGATTTTTGGGTTGGATCGGCATTCGCCTCGAGTGACTGTCACAGGTGTGTGAACATGACAGTGAAGTAGTAGCGACACGGAAAGCATCCTCGTCTGTGGGATCTAAGTAACCCTTCCTAATTTTGATTTTGTTTGTTCCCAGTACCTTTTGACAATATATGTTAGTCTATCTGTTGCAGTAATTTACAGTCTGCATACATGTGCGTCAGCAAGGGGTGATGTTTCCGGGAGGCCGTGGTGCTTCGGATAAATATATAGTTAGCACATCGGAGTATCGCGACAATTCGAATACTATATTTTCAGGATTAATTGAGCAATTGCTTGATGATATTTAGCTACCCCAGTATACAACACAAAAGAAATTTTTTTTTGAATATTTACTTGATATCGCAATATCGCGGAATCGACCTTGATCCTCGTATAATGATGTTAGTATTCATTAGGGCAAGCGTCTAAATACAGCCCGTCGCATCATGTACATGAAAGGCGGCCAAGCGATAGCGATATACAAATGTAGTATAAACCCATTTCTGCGGAGAGTCTCGGTGTCCACCGCGCTGAAAGGAGGTTGAAGTTGTCTGGAGACACCGCAGCCATTTAGGCAGTGGACGCACTGCCATCTACCGCTGGCTCTGGTACTGGTGCGCCCGATACTCCTTGATTCTGTGTGGCATCTTCAGCAGCATTCATGTCGTCCGTCTTCTGTACAGGCGGTTCTGAAGCTGGTGGAGCTTCTAGATGGCCGTTCTCTCCCAACCACATGATTGCCTCCATGACTTTTCGATCATCCTCCTCTTTTTGACGGCCGAGAAGCTTAATGTCATTTACGTCAGTTGAAGATACTTGTGTGTGGAATGAGGGGGAAAAGCAGTCGGTACTCACAGCCTGCAGCAATCCTTTGCGTCCTTTTTTCTCCACGGGCTTCGCCTTGGCTGGGCGTTGGGGCGCCTCGTGTAGGAATTTACACTGATCCCCGCGTAGGCATCGTCCGTTGCGAGCAAAGTGCCGACATAGCCTCTTCTTCACTTCGCGAGGGGGCGGGGGCACTCGCTCAGGCCCTTCGCGCCGCGAAGATATTTCCTCGGGGGCCGAGTCATCGTCATCGTCACTGGAGTCGGAGTCGGAGTCGGAAGATTCTGATCCACTCGATGACGTCCAGTCGCCGCTGTCAGAGGCGTCGGAAACTGATATGATAGATTCTGATAACCCCTGGCTTTGATTCGTGCTCAAAACACCAAGAGTGCTAGCACCCTCGGTCGTTTCGGCATCTTTATCAAGGACCTCACTATGCTCAGAAGGATTGCCTGGAAGACCCGGTGCCGTGTCTTGAGCCTTGTCGGTACTGCCTTGAGTCTGGGCTTGCTGGGGGAGTGACTTTGCTTCACCGCCAGCACCTGTCGTCCCCTTCTGTAATTGCTCAACTTTCATCCGAGCCCGCTCGGCGTCGGCCTCTGCCTTTTCCACCCGTTTCTGTTCTTTCATGAGCTTGCGCCGTAGTTTGTCGGCCTTCTGTTTCGCCTTTGCCGCGGCATCCACCGGATCGGCGGAGCTTGAAGGCTGTTCCTTCTGACTGCGAACGTCTTTCTGGGGCCGCTTGGATTCTTGTTTCTGCATATCCTTCTGCCGCAGGGCCTCCTGCCGAGCTTTCTTTGCCTCCTCCATGGCCTTCTTCTTCTCTTCGATTCTCGATTGAGTTGGGAACCGCTTCTTTCGTTCCGCAATCCAAGCCGCGATTTCTGCGGGCGTTTGTAACGTAGCTGTATGCCCCTTGTAGGTAAACTGCAATGGTGCCACGGCTCCAGCTCCGGCGGGCGCTAACCTCGCCTCCTCGTCCACATCATCTTCCTCCTCACTAGACTCGTGTTCGTCGGTCTTCGGCGTCAGGCCTAATTGGTTGTGTTTTCTCTTTTTCTTCTTCGGCTTTTTGTTGGTATCCACGGGCGGAGGTGGTTTCGAGGGCAAAGGGTTACCAAAACTTGGCACAGGAGGCGGCGCAGGCACACGCGGGCCCGTTGCCCGAGGTTTCCCAAAAGCCGAGGTATGATCACGCTTGTTGGGATGGTGGGATGGTCCAGCGCCCTGGGGGGCCTGGTTATTATTATGATTATTGTTATAGGTGTTGAACGAGCGCCCTCCGCGCTGGTTGCCGTGATGAGGCGCTGGGTACCCCCCGGCGGCAGAACCGGCATTCTCGAAACCCCAGCGCATGGGGGGACCCATCATTGGCGGCGGTGCCGAGGCTGCGGTATGTTGGGGGGTAGGCATCACCGGGGGATACATAGGCGCCGATTGAGTGGTCGAGGGAGCGTAGGCTGCATCGTAGCTCGGGCGACGTTGGTAGGATGAGCCGTGAGCCGCATGAGGCTGGGAATACGGCTGCTGAGAGGGAAAACCAGCGGCATTGTGATGATTCTGGAAGTTTTGGGACTGTGCCGGGGTAAACTGCGGCGTTGGCATAGGCTGCTGGGTAGCGGCCACCGGTTGGGAAGCGAAACCCGCATAATTCATCGGAGCGTAGCCAACAGAGGGCACGTTCGTCGAGACAGGCATATAATGTCCTCCGCGGCCCCCTCCTCCTCCTCCTCCTCCTCCTCCTCCTCTGTTTCCATATCCTCTTCCGCGACCTCTGTGGTTACCTCCACCGCCCCGGCCACCTCGCTGACCATACTGGTTCTGTCCGTATTGTGAAGGATAAGCAGCATGTTGCTGATTATATGATTGCTGCTGCGTTTGCTGCCGGGAGGGAGGCGGCGGCGGCGGCGGCGGCGGAAAAGAGAATCCCTGGGGATTCATTGCGCGAAGATCTCTGTCGATCTTCAAAGGTAGAGGGCATAAACGCCATTCTCACAGCATGCTGGCAGACTAGATGAGATTCCTCGTCGGTCTTTTTTCCGCGGCAGGAAACTAATGCTCTACTGCTCCCAAGCGGAAAGTTTCACCGTCCCCGAGACAGGGCGGAAGATGGGTGTTATCACGTGGCAGTTTATTTGTCCGGCAGAAAAATAAAATATCAGGCGGATCGGCGGTCTGCGACTGGCCGGACGCATTTCATGAAATCGCTTCTTGCAACCTGCCTTCATCAAATATTCAGTCGCGATTCTTGTCATGCACCCGAGATCGTCGAGGACTTGAACCGGGTGGCCTGGGTGACTTCTTTGGCAGCAGACTGTGTCCTGAACATGGAATTCATTCTTCGTACTCTCTCCTACCGTGTGACCGTATTGCGATAGTGCGATAGAAGACCCTTCATCTACCTTGGCGTGGTACTCGAGCCCACCATGTTTATTCTTGTCAGTGACGGAAATCTCCTAGTTCTGATGTCATAGCCTGACCGATCCCCGTGCAGACAACGATCTCAGATCTGATTCAGATCTCGCCCGAGGACTTCTCTAAATATAGTTCCGTGGCCATTGAAGATAACATCAACGAGAAATACGCCAATAAAGTATGTAGTCTACCAGATTGATTGACAGGAGTGCCGGCTAACAACTCTATGTGAAGGTCATCCAAAAGATTGGCCTCTGCGTTGGTTTCTATGATTTGTTAGAATCGTCCGATGGACTGATTGGCCACGGCACTGGCCTAGTGAATGTCAATGGTAAGTTGTGTCTTTCCCACTCATTCACCAGGAATCGCGCTGGCTGGAATTCCCGTTCTAGAGCGTTGTGCGGAAAGAACCTGATACTAATGATGGCGCAGTTAAATTTCGCCTGATTGTTTTCCGGCCGTTTAAAGGCGAGATCATGCTGGGAAAGATCGCCAGTGCTACGGAATTTGGAATTAAAAGTATGTATCTGGGTACCGAAGGCATTAATCATATGGTCACTAACTTTGCGCAGTTGGTGTCGAGTTTTTCAATGATATACTTGTGCCCCCGAATCTTCTACTAGACGGGGCAAGATTGTAAGCGCGGGAGTCAGAACGGTCGGCCAGCATCGCTAACATGCCCCAGTGACTACGCGGATCAAGTCTGGATCTGGGAGAATGAAGACGGCTCGACCTTTTACTTTGACGTGGGAGAAGTCGTTCGATTCCGCGTTGAGACGGAAGAATGGCATGACCAGATTCCCAATGCTCCAGATCTCGGCGATAGTACCGCGAACGAGCGAAAACCACCGTACTCCATAATCGTAAGTCAATGCGCCCTCTCTTACCCGCCAGGAGACCAACGGAGAAGAGATCGAACTATTGCTAATTTGACTACAGGGCTCGATGCAAATGGCTGGTCTGGGGCCCATTTCCTGGTGGTAAAATCAGAGCGTCTTTTCAGGCTTCGGGCTTCAGATTTCAGGCGTGGATCGAGAGTGCGAGAGGGGTTCCTTGGCAGGCATATGCACTCCGCTTTTGTGTTTCTTGGTGATCATCCGGGGCAGTGAGTAATGGCGCCGAAGGACCACTGAGTTGTACTCCGACTCTCCGATTCTCCGAATAGGTACTCCGTAGGGCGTAGATATGGATAGTGTCGGCATGCAGTCCGGGCGAGTCGTGACAGGTATATAGCATGATTATAGATTGCTATGGCGACAATGAATAACGAAAAGATTGGTCAGAACGCCGGCGGATGACGACATCCCACGCCATTTCCCCCGGACTGCAAGGACGCTCTTCCTCCAGTTCCTCCACTGCCGATTCTAGAAGCATCTTGACTCCTAGTCCTGTCCGGTTGCAAGTCGGTTAGGGCCGGAGACGCGATTGACACCGGTGGGGACCCGCCTGGACGCTATTCTGGAACTGCTCCACGATGGCCCTCGGGTTCTTCGCAAATGCGCTGAGGCAAAACGTAACAAAAATCAGAAGAAAAGAAAATTTTTTCTCTGTTCGCGATTCAGATTGATAATTCTGCATTAAATCTTTTTTTTTTTTTTAATTCTACAGCGACATTTGTCTCACCGGACGTCCGTCGCTTCTGGGAGAAAAAAAAGCCCCCCACTTACAAATCAGTTCCTCCCTTGGGTGAGGTCGATATAAATATACATCTTTGTACTTCAACTCCGGATCCTTTGTTAATTTCTTGATTATCATAATTTATCTTTTTGCGACTTCACCGCTGGTGTTCCGACGGAGAACGGAAACGGCTACCCATTAGACCTTGGATTTTATTTTCCTGCCCTCCTCTTTTATTTCTTCCTTGATTCCCTCTTCCAATTTCACCGAACTCCTCCCTTTCTTTAAACAATCCCCGACACAATGACCGCCGGAACGAATTTCTCCAACGGCGAATCCGCGCAGGATCGCCGCTTCGGTACTCTCGCCGTTCACGCCGGTGCCCCTCACGATCCCATCACCGGCGCTGTTATCGCTCCCGTTAGTCGATCTCTTTGCGACTGATCCTTATCCCTAACTTTCTTTTTGGACGGTCGCAATGCTGACTAGAACCTCCAGATTTCTCTTTCCACTACCTACGCGCAGACGAGCGTTGGCAACCCTGTCGGCGTCTACGAGTACACTCGGAGCTCTAACCCCAACCGGTGAGTAGTGCAGATCGCGGGGAGGAGAAAGATTGAGAGTCGGCGCTGTGTTCTGGGTACTAACTCCCGATCAGTGACAACTTTGAGCAGGCTGTTGCGGCCCTCGAGCATGCGAAATACGCCCTTGCCTTTTCCTCCGGTTCTGCCGCTACGGCGAATATCCTTCAGTCCCTCGCCGCGGGCTCGCACGTCGTCTCGGTCTCCGATGTGTACGGTGGCACACACAGATATTTCACAAAGGTCGCGTCCGCCCACGGCGTACATGTGACGTTCTCGCCGACGATTGAATTGGACGTGGAGGAGCTGATCCGACCCAACGAGACCAAGTTAGTGTGGATCGAGACCCCGTCAAACCCGACCCTGGGTTTGGTTGATATCCGCAAGGTCGCGGATATTGCGCATCGCCATGGCATCTTGGTGGTGGTGGACAACACTTTTATGAGCCCTTATATCCAGAACCCCTTGGACCACGGTGCCGATATCGTGGTGCACTCGGTCACCAAGTATATCAACGGACACTCTGTATGTGATCTCTCTCCCCCTTCATTCTCCCCGTGAATCGATATGCTGACTGTTATCTAGGATGTCCTGATGGGTGTCGCCGCTTTCAACTCGGAGAGCTTGAAGGAGCGCCTCACTTTCCTCCAGAACGCCATTGGAGCCGTCCCCTCTGCGTTCGACTGCTGGCTGGCTCACCGTGGTCTGAAGACTCTCCACCTTCGTGCGCGGGAGGCCACCACCAACGCTACCGCTGTGGCCAAGGCGCTCGAGGCCTCCCATCACGTCTTGTCCGTCAACTACCCTGGCATCGACTCTCACCCCCACCGTGCCATCGCTATCAAGCAGCACCGCCAGGGAATGGGCGGTGGTATGCTGAGCTTCCGTCTCAAGGGCGGCCAGAAGGCTGCCCACCTCTTCTGCCAGTACACCAAGGTTTTCACGCTGGCCGAAAGTCTGGGAGGTGTCGAGAGTCTTTGCGAGGTTCCCTCCAGCATGACTCACGCCGGTATCCCCAAGGACCAGCGGGAGGCCGCCGGCGTGTTCGACGACCTTGTCCGCATGAGCTGCGGTGTTGAGGATGCGGAGGATCTCAAGGCCGACGTGCTGCAGGCCCTTGAAAAGGCTGTGGCAGCCGGCCTGCAGGAGAACGGTACCAAATAAACGATGAAACCTGAAGCAACGTTTTGTCAGGACTATGCATGAAATTTTAGAGCAATAGAACTATCTAAATATGTCTAATAGACTAAATTAATGACGATATGGAGTTACTGTTTGGCACCCAACCTCTACCTCGACCTGCGTAGTTGTAGCCCTGCTAATTCACTGTATAAACCATCTATCAATCAAAGGTGTAATAATAATGATACAAATTCGAGCAGGGTTATCAGGCGACGAGGGTCAGAAATGAAGCATCACGGCCCGATGGGTGATTAGTCATCAGCACGATGATGCAAAAAATCTCCAGAAAAAAAGCTGGGACAATCTTCCCTCCGGATTGAGAACGTGGAACGGCCTGCACCAGGTATTCGGTAATCTTCACCGGTATAAACCCTCTGACAAAACTTGAGACTTGAAGGACGGCGGATTCAAGAGACTCATTCTCCGTCGTTTGGCCCTTTGTTCACCCTACAATCTATCTATAGAAACCCCGCGTTGATAGATACATTGGCTGGTACGTGCCGTGTCGACTCGATCGATTTTCGCAAAGTTTGTGCACACTTTCTGACCGTTTATTCGCAGATATTTGAGACCTGAGGCGCTTCTAAGGCCTCCCTAGTTTGATTTACTTTTATTTTCGACAGAAAAGAAGTACAGAAGACAGGCGCGGGACAATGTCCGGCTTTAGTTTCGGGTTTTCCGGCGACGACATCGATATCGATGACTCGGAGCTCAATGCCATTGACGAGGGCGACGCCTCTCTTCCTCAAGACAACCAGAATGAGCTTCCCCCTCTCGTGGAAGCTAGAAAGCACGACATGAAAGAATGGGTGAGTCCATTCCGTGTTTCTTCAGCCAGTTTAGAGAGTTTGTAATTTCAGAGTGCTTTCTTATCGGTCTGTCACGCAACTGGGCGAAGAAAAGAAGGAAATATTCTATTCTTTAGCTATACTATTTCAACCTGCTAGAGCCAGCATGTAACCATCATATAGGTCTCGACTCTTCCATCCCAAATATCATACAACCGGTTGGAATTGAACGGCTTGCCAAATCAGCCCCAAGGGAAAGCCCTCACGATTGCTCGCCGTGAGGTATTCGATATCCGCACGCAACTCATGGCAGAGGACACCGCCGACCATGAGAATGAGCAACTGATTGCTGGCCTTGAGAAAGGTGACATCAAGCCGCAGTTCTATGAAGGTGGTTTCAAGACGTGGGAATGTGCCCTGGATCTAGCGAAGTTAGTTATCAGTGACGATCGTCTATCCGCTACCGCTGGGGACTCATCAGAAGACCGCCATATCATAGAGGTGAGTATCTCTGTCCTGACGATCATGGATTCTCTGTAAGCTGATGAATGAATTCTAGCTGGGTGCTGGAACTGCTGTGCCGTCCTTGGCCCTGTTTGCGCAGCTGCTTTGCGATTCCAAACCCTCGGACTCCCAACGACAATGGCATTTTACATTCGCAGATTACAACTCTGCGGTTCTTCGTCTGGTCACATTGCCGAACCTGCTCTTGACATGGAATCACATCGTCAGATCTCAGGGTCCCTCGTTGGTCGAGACCTCCGAAGACAACCAACCAGAGGAAGAGGAAGAACTGGACATCACGCCAGAGCTCATCGAAAGCTTCCAAAATTACCTGGCTGGCCGAGGCATTACGATTGAGTTTATCTCTGGCGCATGGTCCCCTGCCTTTGTTGACCTTGTTCTGTCTTCCCCCGGGAAGGCGAACAGTAGAGCCTTGATACTTGCCAGCGAGACAATTTACTCGCCGGCGTCGTTGGGCGCTTTCTCGGAGACCCTACTGGCGTTGCTGCGTGCTGTCGAAAGCAACAAACAAAGTAGAGCATTGATAGCGGCCAAGAAGGTCTATTTTGGGGTCGGCGGTGGTGTGGACGAGTTTTTGGAAGTGCTGAAGAGTGTTGGCGGAGGCGAAATGGAAGTGACGGAGCAGCTGAACATTAAATCCGAGGGAGTTGGGCGGGTGGTCTTGGAAATCGCAACTGGAAGCTCCCAATAGCACGAGGAATGGGAACAGCCTTGTTTCAGCGATGACAAATGAGGGAGTCTGGAAGCTCCTCTTTTCCCTCAAGCCTGGCATGCATGGAGGGGAGATACAAGTGACATAGTCAACGAAAAAATAAACCTTTAAGACTGCCCTGATATATGTACAAGTCACTGCTTCACGCGCAAACCAAAAAAAAAAAAAAAAAAAAAAAAAAAAAAAAACCGAATAGATTTTATCTAGTCATATAGAGACACAACCTTTCCGTCCTGCATCCGGGCAACGCGAGAGTCCTCCTTCTCCTTGTTTTCACGCTCGTAATGAGCGACCACATGGCTCAGGTCCACCACCGAGCCAGCAGAGACGTTGTAAGGGGGGGCGGAGTTGAAGCAAACCCTGTTATGAGAGAAGATTGGTGGTTAGTCCGTATGCTTTTGACCATAGAAGACAATCGAGCAAAGGCGACGTACTCAGGCTGTTTCAATTCGTACGCGGCTCTAGGGCCCTGACTATGGAACAAATGGCGGTCATGGGCGGCCTTCTCCATAGCTGCAGTGTGGACGGCATTTCTCTGCTCAAAGAGCTTCTCCGAAGGGGTCCACTTCTCAATGAAGCTGGAGATCGACGACTGCGAGCCAGACTCCTGGGTAGACTTGCTCAGGCGGTAGAGGACGTAGCTAGAGGCGAAGGCGCCTAGGGTGACATAGAAACTGCGCTGTGCAGTGCATCCACGTCAAGATTAGCACCCGATAAGTTGGGAGATCAGGAGATTGGCATCATGGATTGGTGAGGTTGAGGTCCAATTGGAAGGGGGAAGGGGATCGAAGACGTACGCCGAAGCTTTCATTCACAGGTTCGGCATGGTGAGCAGGGTGAGCGGCGTGGGAGCCAAATCGTCGAGGGGGCTGATTCCGCAACAGCAGCCGCGCCGAAGCGACCGATCGCCTGGAGAGAAACATAGTGTGGAGGGAGACAATTGGGCGGCACCGAACAGATTCGAGATCCCGTCGGGTTTGGCGAGGTTGAATGGAGGCTCGCGGGCGGTTCGAGGCGGAGAGCACGTGACTGGACCGAAGGGGCTTAGGGCAGCGACGTGGTCTTGGCACCCGTTCTTCCTACGGAGTAACTCTTGCTCTTGTTCTCTCCCCGTACCCTTGGATCGTTCATGACAGCCCAATCGCTGCCGGTGTCTCCCCATCTGAAACGACCCCCCCGGGGCAAGGATTGCGGAAAAGATTCCTCTTCGATCGGAGGTTGGGATGGAACGCCGTGCATGGACCGACGCTGTTGCCTCGGCGGGTCGCTGCGTTGTCTCCTCAATCATGGCCCTCCTACACCGCACTTGAATTGGTGCTGATGCATGACCAACTGCCTCATTTTAAGCTGGCGCTCTCCACCGTCCCCCATTCGCTCACTGCCAATTGGGCTCCCTCGTCTGCCCATTCATGCAGGCTGTTGAACGTCTGGATATCGAGGGCGACATGTCAGCGATCTGTATTTAGCGTCAACTGACCCCACATCTCCTGTCTCCTCGCCTTTTTGGCTAGGACGCCGTCTAGTGAACATGCGGTACGCAGCGCATAACAGGGCTATCAATTGTTTCCCTCCCTTCCCCCCCCCCCCCCTGATTTGCCCCTCCTGTATGTTCGCGTGTCATGATTTACCCGTTATCCTGCTACCTTCAAACAAAGTCGTTGATGCCCAATGCTTACTAGATCGGAACCTCATTGGGCCTTGCCTGGTTGGGGATCCAAACATTTTGATCCACACTAATTTTCCCTTGACGCGCCAAACTGGGAGTATTCTTGCTTCCGGCCTAGTTGTGAGTCCATTCGCAATGGGTATCAATTCTTTCTCTCCTACGGATCGGACCGCTCTCCGCCTCACCAGCCCCGAGGGGGCTGGATGTAGTGCTTTCCTGACGCGCCGGCTTCTTTTTTTGGGCGTTTATGTGACATAGGCTGCTAGCTGGGCATCTCTTCGCCTCCGCCTTCAGTTCCTTATTTAATCTTATTCTTCAAAATTCAAGTATTTGAATGTCTACCAGTTGATATCAATCCTATCTTTCCGAACTTGTCTGCTTGCTTAAAAACAAGTATTTGACAGCGGGTGTGGTGTCTTCGTGTATTCTTGCTATTTGCGCCCACTCGCGGACTTCCCTGCTCCCTCTTTCTTCTGATCTTGTATTCTCCTGTGTGGCACACCACCTCTCCTTTTCTTTTCTTTTCTTTTTTTAATTCCTGCCCAGTCGTGTGATTGAAGGCCTTACTCGCTTCTAGATCCGTCATAGTCGGGCCTTTACTGTCTGTGTCCATATCAGTTCGGAATATATCTTCTGAATCCGCTGAGGGCGCTTGCAAATGTACCGCCGTGAATCAATTATCTTGATCCAATCGAGTTGCTGCTGACGGAATATCTAGCCCACTGGAAACACGTCTTCTGCCATTCATTTAACTTGGGCACGCATCACCTTTCCTCATCATGGCCCCATCAGGCAAGAAGGGTAAGGGCAAGGCCGGTGGTAACAAGAAGAATAAGAAGGGAAAGAACCAAGAGACGTCAGAAACCCCTGCGTCTCAACCTGAGCTTCCTGTTGAACAAGAGGAACGGCAAGAGCAACAAGAAGAGCAACAAGAAGACCAACTAGGTCAACAACAATCAGAGGTTGAAACGGAGGCCACCTCTCCACTAGCAGAAGCAGAACACATCTCTGACACTCTTCCGGAATCTGCACCGGAGCCAGAGCCTGTGTCAGAGTCGGTGTCCACGCAAGACCCAGAACTGGAGCAACCACAACCTACGGTCGAGGAAAACTCGACCTCACTTGAAACTGAGAAACCCTCCGAGTCTCCAATCAGCCCCAACGATGGTGATGGTTTCGCCCAACCCGCAACAAGCCCCGATCCGTTCAGTCAAGAGCCAAGCGTAAACGATGTGCAGAAAGATTCCCTTGAAGCTCCCGCGGATTCGAACTGGGAGGAATTAGAACCATCCGAGCCATCTGCTGATAAGGTCGAAGCGAATCAGGAGCACAACGACAACTTTGATGGACAAAGTGGCACTGCAGAACCCACCGAGACACCAGTCACTGCTCCGCAGAGTCCGGTGTGGCCCTCGGCACCGAAGTCACCGTCGTTGACAGAAGCTCAAAACATTGCGGTCTCCCCTCACACGAACGTTGAACCTCTGGAAACCGATTCACACGGTTTCGCTCCGTCTAACCCGTTCTTCGAACCTCCTGCCACCTCACCCGTACACCAATCCACCCCACTTGCTTCTAAACCCGCCTCACCCGAACCACCGTTTGCTACACCTACATCTCCAACATTCAAGTCTACTGAGCCCGAGCCCGAGCCCGAACCTCAAGTTGCATCATCTCCCCCAGAGACCGCTTCACCGACCTTCAAGGCCGCCTCTCCTGAACCACGAACCGCCTCTACACCGCGCGCTATTTCGCCCGTGCAGCAAATAGGTTCGCCAGTTTTGAAACCCGCTGAGCCCGAGTCTCAAGTTGCTTCACTTCCACAGGAGGCTACATCGCCGGCCTTGAAGCCTGTCCAGTCTGTCGATTCAGAGCCTCAGCTTGCTTCGCCTCCGCTGGAAATTGATACGAAGCAGTATAAGCCTGCCTCGCCCGAGCTTCAGACCGTGCCAACAGCTCAGACAGGATTGCCCGCATCTCGACCTGCATCCAGACCTGCGTCTCGCACTACCTCTCGTGCTGCATCCCGGCCTTACTCGCGATCCGTCTCACCGCTGCAACAGGCTGTCTCGTACCCCCCACCGGAAGCTTTACCCATGGAGCAGCCTGCCCCAATGATGGCAGACGTTGCCTACCCGATGGAGCAAGAACCCTCCCCGCCGCAGGAATACTCCTCCCCCTATCATCCAGCCGCTATGTCGCAAGCGGCTTCACCCTTCCAAAAGACCATCTCCCCGACAATGAAGCACAGCTCCCCAGTGCAGAACATCTCTTCTCCCAAAATCAGCAGTCCGCTTGCGCGTGCCGCCTACATGTCTCCGGTGATGTCTCCCCATGGCACACCGCCCGCTCCGCCTCCCCCGGTCCCCAGTGCACCTCCTTCGGTTGCACCTAGCTTTGCCTCGGCGTACCACTCTCCGATCATGACCTCTGCTGGGTACATGCCACAGTATGCCTATTACCCGCCTCATACCCAGCCCACTCCTCGAGGATCTATGGATCCCAACTCGGCCACGTCTTTCCAGGCCTTGCGCGATTTGGGATTCTCCAACGGAAATGGAGTCAATCCCAAGGGAGCCATGTCGCCTCCCGAGCACCACGACGAGCCAATTGAACTACTGCAAAGGATCCAGGACGCCATTCCAGACATCAACCGACTTCTCGGCAGCTACAAGAACACTAAGGGCAAACTGCAAGCCCGCGAGGTGGAGTTCAAGCAAATGGCAACTCAGCACGAGCAAGCATTGATGCACAAGGATTTCTACATCGAGGCGCTGCAAAACCAGATGAGAAAGACGGCGAATGAGAGCGCGGAAGAATCCAGTCGCCTGAAGAACACTATCAATGAGCTCCGCATGGAATTAGGAAACCTCGAGGAGAAGCGCAAGGATCTTGAGGAAAGATTTGAAGATTCCGAGAAGGCCAATGAAGAGCTGTCGCAGTCGAATACCGATCTGGAAGGGCAGGTCAAGATGTTGAATGCCGACATGCAGGAAGCGCAAGAAACCCACGAAAAGGAACTGGAGAAGCGCAAAGAAGAGCAGGCCGAAGCGTTGGCGACGCAGAAACAAGAGCTCACGGAACTGTTCGAGGAAATCAAGGCCGAAGACGAGAGAACTGCGGCGGAGGCCTTGGCGATCCGCGAAAAGGAATTGCTTGACCAACAGGACGCAATGAAGGCGGAGTATGAGCAGGAGAAGCAGCAAATGCAGGAATCCTACGACACTCTGCAATCGGAATATGACACCAAGGTGACCGAGTTGGAGTCGACCAGGACCGACTTGGAGAACAAGCAACAGGAACTGGAAAGGACTCGAGAGCAACACGCCAAAGAAATCGAGGACCTCCAAGCCACTCATGCCGACGAATTGAAATCTCTTACGAACAGCCACAACGAGAAGGTCGCTGAGATGGAGAGCCAGTTCAGTGAAAAAGAGCAACAATGGGCCGACGAGAAGGCCGATATGGAAAAACAGTACTCAGACAAGTGTGAGGAACTTGCCAACTGTGAGCACGAGAACAAGAAATTGGAGGAGGCCGGCGTCGTCAAGGAGAAGCAGCTCCAGCTTGCCGTGGAAGGCATGCGCACCACTATTGACAACCTGGACAATGACTGTGACCGGTTGAGGAAAACCTTGACCAGCCTTGGGGAAGCTACCGACCTCAAGAGCGCGAAGGCCGATTCATTCTTGTAAGTGATCAAATGCATTCAAAATGTGTTTTAGTACCCAAATTTCTTTGCATGTTTCTTTTCTTATCTCTCTTGTGATGTCTCGTCTCTTTCCTCTTCTCTTCGCTTTTGACCATGATGTGAACGAGAGCTATGACTCTCAAAAAATCCCACTCCTTAATTCCTTTCCTTTGTCTTGAATTTCATCGCTACATTCATTCATTTTGGGTTTCTCTTCTTTTGGTCTCAGTTTTTTTTCTCTCTCTTTCTCTTGTTTATCCTTTTCCTTTCCTTTTCTTCGTTCTATATTGTCTCTTGCATGCCCTTGCGCTGTCATTTCTAATAGAATTTATGATGATCATGATGTCAATGACGATATGTCGGTAACGTTATAAATGTACCTGCTCTGATACGTATTCAAAATCTAGTTTGGACTGCTTCGGCCAGCTTTCTCGTCTTATCGTCTCCTTGTCCAAGGAGCACTTTGCGTACCTTCCAATTGATCCTCCCAAGGACATTCTCTCTAAGATTCCATCAGAACTGCCATCGTTCCTTGATAATACTCCGGCATCGCGCGAGTTGCGAGCTGCGTACGTGCAGCACGTCGTCTCGAAGACTTTGACCTACCGCATCTTCCACCCGTTCCTGTTCACGTTGGGTCGAAGATACGACAAAGCAGACACCTTCTTCCAGCTTCTCTCTATGGATATTCGCCGCAAGTCCGTGAGGCGCGAGGCATTCTGGCGGCAGCAGACCCTGAAGGCTGCGTATACGACCTCAGATGCCAAGCAATCGATCAACGTCGTGGCCGCTGTGATTGTCGACGAGATCACTAACCACTTGAAGCATTTCGCTGATCCGCGTCACTTGGATACGCTCGTTCTTGACGTACGGAAGATCGTGAAGCTGGCCGCGGAGACGTGGCGACTTGCTCGAGTCGAGCGGGAGCTCATCCTCGCATCGCTCCCGGCCCCCGATGCGGACGGAGTTTCTAACGACGACTGGGAGGAGTACGGAACGGCTAAGGAAGGGACCTTGAGCTCCAAGAACGACCCCACTCGCCATGTCATTCTCCGTACTTTCCCGCGACTTATGCGAGAGGCAGCCCACGAAGACTTCGCCGAAGACCAAGAACGAGCCAGCCCGTGCACCTACTCCCGAGGCGGCATTCTCTACTCTGACTCTCCCGTCGTGATGGCCCGACTGCAAGAACTGGCAAAGAAGTCCGCAGATGCAAATGGGGACAGTGATTACGTTCGAGTTTGAGACCGTGCCTCTCAGTAGAACTCTTGCGACCCACAAGCAAGAGCTTTGATGTACCAAGCACTTATATGTGTATCTGTTTACATACGTACGAGGCTGTTTACACTTAATCGCCTTGTCATCCACTCATTTGGGTTTTCTTTGTTGAAAGCGTCTTGACGTGTATTTTCTTCGGCCCCCTCGCACCTGTTATTTTCCCTGTTATACTGTTTCTCTTCATTTCTTCCTTTCTTTTGTTCTCTCTTCCCCTTTTTTCTCTTCCTCCTGTATTTTCTAGAACCCTGTCTTTTAGGGTCCATGTATGCTCTGATCTTGCACTTTCAGCGACATGATTGACGAACATGTATAATTTGCGATGGGGTTTTTCCTTTCCTTTTCTTTTTTTCCAGCGAGGGGTTGCGTTACGAATTTCTGTGTTAATCTTCCCTACCCCAGCCCCATCATACAATAACGGATAATTTTTTTTTAATAACATGTCAGCGAAGTTTATGATTCCTGTCCCTAGACATCTAAAATGACGAGAGCATATGAAGAGATCATTGATGCATTGGTGGGTTCTTGGCGACGATCGTTCTGGTTGACACAGCCACGGCTCATGATGTAAGGCCTCCCGAAGGCGAGTACCGTAGGCGCTCAAAGCTTGTTCCGACAGCTACGAGACAACGATCAACCTGGGAAGAAAAGGCCAAGTTCCACCGGGGAAGCACAGCCCCAGACAGGGCTGACCGGACCCAGCTTGGACTTTGGAGATGGAAGGTGGCTGTGGCCGCCCAAGCCCGCAACCCCGGCAAATGAAGGACCATGCAACGTGCATACAAAGGGATGACATTCTCATGTCGGTAAATAGCTTTACCCGGATCAATCAGAATGCATGCATGGGTGCATGGATGTAGAGGCCTATGTTGTGCCTAATTATAGAGCGGGAATGAGAGGCAGAGGGAGAGGGAGAGAGGAGGGAGGAAGAGAAAGATTCTCGGACACCGCCTCAGAAGGTATCTTCTTCGTGGGGAGAGGTTAGGGATCGACAACGTCGCATCGCACCAGGGTTTTTGTTTGACAGTGGGTGTATTCTCCGAATCGTCAGGCCTTAAGGCTATTTACTAGACCGAATTGCGTTAATCCGTCGTCTTTGAAAGTAAGTAATACCAGAGAATAATCGAATCTTACGCCCTCTTGGGGTCCCGAGATGAGGACTCCAGAGAATTAACGTGTCTTTACCTGTTCCTGAACATCTACTCCGTACTCCGTAGTAGGCACAGCTCGAGGAATTGGTCCACGGGAGATTTAGTCACGGTTCCTCCGTGGAGGGAGTGGTACACCGTATGGCCAACCGTGGTCCCTGAAAGCGAACTGCAGCTTATTCGAGCAGCAAAGATGAAACTCGTGACGGGAAACAGAAACGCGACGAGCCAAAAATAAACCGGATGAAAAGGCGACTAAAGAGCGACTAAGTTGGCAACCGGCCCAATGCGACGCGCCCAACGTGCGACGGTGGATTCACCCGGCCCCCATCGATGCGCCCACTGAGAATAATCCTTCATCATAATAATGTAAGGGATTCATTCATTCCGAATTGTCTAGGATTCTCTGGCGACTGCTGAGGAGAGTAACGAACAACGTTGTAGATTGGGGGAGATTCTTGGGGTATCGGATTAGTTACCGGATGTTGACATTGACGAGATCGAGGAGGATGCAGCGATTGAAGAGATAGGGAGACCGATAGGTATCAAGGGAAAGAAGAGACAAGAAAGCCAATATTAATTATCTATAGAATTAATTGGAAAGACGGTTGACGGTGGAATGATGCGATCCGGAGGTTTGGCCCTTTCCAGTTTTCCCACGTCTCTCCTCGACCCTCGATCCTCGTCCCTTTCTCTCTCTCTCTCCTCTCCGAGTCTCCGTCGCGCTTTCCTTCTCCGTCATCTTCAGCCGCAAGGCGTCTTCGCCCTCAAACCGCATCATTTCGCCCTTCCCTCTTATTTCTTCCCCTCCTTCCTTTCCCGCTTCCTGTCAGCTTCCTCTCTCCCCTCTATTCCTCCCTCTTGTGCTGTCCTCTTCGCCTCTCTCTTCCCCTATAGCTCTTCTTTCTTTCTGTTAGAACAAGAGAGAAGAGAAACTCCGCACTCAAGACTTATTCGTCCGGGCGGAGCCTCATCTCTCCCCCTCCCCCCTTTCCACTTTTTTGGCATTCGGCCCTACCAGGCACTTTTGGACTTGAGATCGCATTTCCTCTCTTTTACCCTTTGCTCCACTTGAATTCTTCTTATTAACCAACCGAGCATTTGACCACTGTGTCTACCATTTCACTCGTCTCCCTGATCGTTCTTATTCTTCCTTCCATCTCCCCCCACGTTCCTCCCCTTCAACTTAATCTCCGCCGTCCCCATATCGCTGGCGCCTACATACGTCATGTCGGAGAATTGACGCCTAGGAAAGTGTCACTATCAATGTCGTTTCTTAGATGACCGGTTGGCTCTCTTTGATTCTGCGACTCTGTATTATCTCTCATTCCATGCGCCCCGGTTTCCCTAGACATGTGTGCACGGTGTCTTCTACCATAATTTGAATGTGTTTGACTGTCCATCTCCTCGTCCACAATTTCTCCGCTCCGGTCTTGCTCTTGGATTTGGATCTTCCTTCCGCCCTGGTGGGAGCAACATTCAAAGAAAAACGCCGCCGACCTAGATTTCCATCCAGCCGGAAAAGACCCCGCCGCCTGGCTTCTCGCAACCATGTCGACCTTATCTCCTCAATTTATCCGAGATGATTCCCCCGCTAATATGATGTTACATGACGCGAATCTATCCGATCCTTATCTGTCCGCCACTTTGGACCCGGAGGAAGCCTCCTTCAAGTCCTCGGCCATTAGATTTACTCCGACGAACGGTGATGAACACGCCTCGTCCCCAATGGAGCTCCATGGGAATGGTGACTACGACCAGGAGGCCCACCACCCCGCCTCTTATTCTGATTTCCTGAGCCCCGTGGATGATTTCTCTAGTGATTTGAGTGCGCACACTTCTCCAAGCGCGGCCTATCTCCCCGTTGGCTTCAATGCGGATCTGCCACCCGACTCCCATCGCTGGCAGCAAGAAATGCACTCGGCCGTCCCGGACACCAGCGAGTTGACCTCCCCACAAAGGACCAAGCATCCATCCCAGCTACTGACTCCCAATCTCACGAACAACCCCACTCCCTCTCCGGACATGTCGATTACGAAAAAGTCAAATCACTTTGACACCGGACCCAACCCTCCCCAGACGCTCTGGCTGAATACCAGTTCGGCAATGGACAGCCTGAGTGTCCATGACGCCCCCGATTCGGCTCGAGCGCGGAGCCCCATAGTAAAGGTAGAAAGCTATTCCCGAGGGGACTCGCCCGTTCGGGATTCTTTCTTTGCGCGGCGACGACCTAGCCAGTCGTCCACGCATCTGTCCCCGAACAACGGATGCAGCGATTCGGAGGATGAAGACTTGGAGGTCAATCACAGCTACAACTTTGCCCCTTCCGTTTCGCGGACATACGATGGATCGTGGGTACCTAATACAACTACCGGCCAAGCCGGTGTCGATCCCATTTCGAGAGACGACACGTACGTCCCGAGTCCCAATCAGATGGACATGAAGCGCCAGCTGGACGAAAAAAATGCCGATATTCGGTCCTGGTCAGCGTCTGTAAGCGTTGCTAATAGTGAGGCGGGAGACGACGCTCCCACACATCGCGGCCGTCGAGTCCTCACAGGCACCAGGCGCCGAGCCAAAAGTGCCGGTGACCCGTCGTCCCAACAAGACTACTTCAATATGAAATCGGTAACTCTTCCAGGACCGGGGATTCTCATCCATGAGATCAGCGATGACGAGTATAGCGAATACGAGTCAATGATCGAGGGAAGCGGCTCTGACTCACCCGCAGTACCTGTGGACGAGTCGAGATGGGTTGAAGAGGATCTAGAGAGCCCGTCAATTCTCGAGCAGCAGCTGTCACAGGATGAAGAGCCGTCTGCTTATCAGTTCTTAGGAGCCCCTCCATGGCGGGACGCCTCGCACGATTCCACACCTCGAAAGATTCGCTTACAACCCCAGAGCTCCACTGCAGCGATCGTGGAGTTTCAACGGCGGGCTCGGGATATTGACACAGCCTCGCGCTCGGCAACCTGGGGCACGCGGCCCTTGAGCGAGGCTGAGGTTAATAGTATCGTAGGCGCCGGGGGCTCGTTTGAAAACTTGTCGATCGATGGTGAGAACAAGAAACATCAGCGACGAAGTAGCCTTCGCAAGCTTTTGCAACGCAAGCCGTCCAATACTCTCAAACGGCATCTGTCGGACCTCTCACTGGCGCTCCCCAGCCCCGACCGCGCCAGTAAAGGTGACGAACATAAAAGCCCTCAAAGAAAGGATAGTTTCCCACATCGGAAACTGAGCCTTGGGCGTTCTCGGTCGCCCAGCCTCAGCACTGGAGGTGCCGTTATCGCTATAGCGGGCCAGATGGCTGCTATCGGGGGCAAGGACTCCATGCGGGTGGCATCGCCCAGCTCGACACATAACCCCTGGTCCTCTCTGAAAGCTCGGGGAAGAAGCAGGAGTGAAATTCCTAGAGCATCGGTCCCGGGGTTGATTGATTTGATGACCAGCCATGGCGGTCCGCCGGTCGCTAATATTGCATACTCGCCCCATCCCGGCAGCCGTGGTGTATCGCAGTCCCGACCGGCGCAGGAACCGGCGGATGATGACGATGATGACGATGACGCAGTGGATGAGAAGGCACTAGTGATGGAATTCCCTGTGCAAGCGCGTCTACCGGTGCCCACGCTGGATGGGTTTAGAACCCAAATCACGCAATTGAATCCTCGGCTTCCGCCGGCATTGATCGAGCGTTTTGCTAACGAGCAGCTTCGTCGATACAAGAAGCTGGTAGACAGCAAACTCAGTCACAGCCGTGCCATTCAACAGAACAGGTGCGCTGCAGGTAAATACTGCTTCGCCCAGGGTGGCGAGGCTACCCTCTTGGCCCCACGCACAAGTCCCCACGATCCAGACGCGGCGCACACTCAATTCCAAATTCCCGGGCATGCTGAGACCGACGAGGACCCCCAGTCCCTCGTGGAAGGGGCCGTCACTGCAGCTCAGTTCCCGTCCGGCGTGCCATTGCCCCCGGTTAAACGCCTGCCGGCTGAGTTCGAGTGTCCGGTGTGCTTCCAGGTGAAGAAGTTTCAGAAACCCTCGGATTGGACGAAACACGTCCATGAGGATGTGCAGCCGTTTACATGCACATTTCCCCATTGTACGGACCCTAAATCTTTCAAGAGGAAGGCTGACTGGGTCCGACACGAGAGCGAACGGCATCGAAAACTGGAGTGGTGGACCTGCACCGTCCCTGATTGTCACCACACATGTTATCGAAAAGACAATTTTGTGCAGCATCTGGTGCGGGAGCATAAGATGCCCGAGCCCAAGATCAAGAAGACCAAGACCAAGGGGAAAGGGGGCGCCGACGCCCAGGAAGAACAGAACCGCGAGCGGGAAATTGAACAGCTCTGGGACCTGGTGGAGAGATGCCGCCATGACACCCCAAAGTCGCCCAAGGAGGAGCCGTGTCGGTTCTGCGGCAACATTTGCAGCAGCTGGAAAAAGCTAACGGTGCATCTGGCCAAGCACATGGAGCAGATTGCGATGCCCGTCTTGGGGCTCGTCAACGAACGCGATCTCTCGCCTAACCCGGGCCTGATCCTAGCGGGCAAGACCGATCTGCCTAGCACCAACTTTGCTCCCAATCTCAGCGGGACCGGTGCCGACGCTTCGATGAATTTCACTCAGCCACAATTCTCTTCCGGGACAGAAAACGGAGGGCTGGCGGTTCCATTCCACCCTACCTACGTCCCCAACTTGACAAATGGATTCCTCTCCGCTGAACCGGAACCGATGGACGCGTACGAGGATGTGCCAACATACGGGGCGCCGTCGGTGGAACTGGCGCCAGGGGGGCCCATGGACCAGTCGCGATTCGTGTCCGCGCATCTGAATTCAGTGACATATCCTCCCCCGTTCAACGCGGGCCCGCGACCGCGAGCCCATTCTAACTTGAGTGTCTTGCCCGAATCATACCAGGTCTCCACATCTCCTACGGAGATGCACCCGACCTATAACCTCCAACAGGGACCGCCGTACATGTCATCTGCAGCGGCAAATGGCTATCCTAGTCAGGGCCCCTTGGTTCAGAACATGGTCTATGAACCTTGTGGGGGATATCCCACCCAGCTCTGACCTCCCCGCGGTTAATCTAGGGTTCTTTCTTGTACATGATACCCGAAGCACGGACTACGATCAACTTCTCAACGGCCCGTTTGAGTTTTCTTCATGTATCAGCCACATTAGGTGGCAGGCATGTTTCAGATTTTCCCTCTCTATTTTATTCTTAGTAACCTTTCCTTCTTTTGCGGGGATCCTGTCCCTTGGCCCCTTTTCTATATCAATTGATGTCATGTCTGATCTGTGCACCTCTACCATATACCCATGAATCATATCTCGCTATTATTTGGCCCGCAATGTCGCATCCTTTCAATATTTCGCACATCTTTTAGGATTTTCGTCCGTAGGAATATTTCTTGGTGTCCATGAGAGTGGGTCCCATCCCTTGATGTGTATGCAAATTCCTGCTGTGCGCTTCTCTATCCCAAATCCGCAAGACCGCGAGAGATTTCCAGCATCCAGCCCTCCCGCAATGAATAGACTGGGATGTGATTGGCAGATGGGGAAGATGCAGGCGACTAGTCGTAGACGGCGCACCTGTCAGGTTGGGACCAGGGGGGGAAACGCAGAAGAAATGAGACATCACATCGGCCGGATGTGCGAGTGCTGCCTTCCGGTTCCAGACTGGGTGGGACGTTCCGTAACGATTAATTCATTGATTGATGGAATGAAGGATGAATGGATGTATGGATGGATCCTATTTTCATTCCTAGGAGGCTGACAGGAGGGCCGGTGGACTCGGTGTCGACCATGGCTCGACGATCGACGCCCGGGATTAAGCCAAGATGACTGATTTCCCATCATATTGGCATGCAGGCGGCAATAATAATAATCACTCTCTGAGCCGGGCACTCGTACCCTTACAGGCACAGCCACGGGTCGTACGTAAGTTGATTCGAGGAGAGAGGCATGAATTCGCTCGGCCTGCAGGTCGCCAATCACATGGTCTTGCGCGCGGCCTCGACACCTTACGCCTTACGTCCGCCTGCGCCTGCGTCTCTCTCGCTCCCCTCGACTCTTCCCTCTCGTCGGTTTCTTCCGCCTTTTAGCGCTGACGAATGATTCCCTTGGCAGCTCTCTCCTAATCCGGTGGACTCCTCCATTCCTCTTGCGCTTTTTCTCCCTCCCTCTCTTTTAAACTATCGCATGGAATCCCGAAAGGGGGGAAAGGGAAGAGAGGAGCAGGGCTGCGGTTCTGCAGCCAACCCACATCGTCGGCCTGCGGGTGCCAGCGGGCGAGCAAATGACGCTGCTCGGTGGCTGCTGGGGAGAGGGACTAAGTGAGAGAGTGTGTGAGTGTGTGCCAGTGTGCGAGTGTGAGAGAAACGGATGACCGACTGACAGCATGCTCTCTCGCACACATTCTCTCTTTCTCTCTCTCTCTCTCTCTCTCTCTCTCTCTCACACACACACACACACACACACACACACACACACAAACACACACGCACACAACTCTGACGTGGGACATACGGAGTGCGCCGTACTGGGTCAATGATTTTCAATTTACATAATTATCGATGGATGGATCGCTTCCTGACCCCGAGCGAGCTCGACCCGGAGACTATCCATTTATCATACCGGAACACGTTATCCCGTGGGGTTGAGCAACAATCAAGCTACAAAGGAGGGTGAACACCGGTCGATCATTATTTATCTTTCTGTACTCCGTGTCCGTTCGCTGTCTCTTTGTCTCGCCCTCTTGACTTCCCCATTCTATCGATCTATGTATACCCCTTTTACCGGTTCTCGTCTTTCTTGGCCCATCCATGAAACTATCCCCGGAGCTGCGGATCTGACGATCATGAGCTAAAATACAATATTGTTTCTTTTTTCCCTCTTCTACTTTTTTTTTCCCCTTCCCCCCCACTCTTCGACGGTCGGTGGCTTGATCTGACCTTGTTTTCTCGTGTCTTGACCCTTCATTGCCGGCTGACGTACGGAGTGCCGAAGAGTCAAATCTAAAAGAGATTGGAAGATAAAAAGGGAGAAAGAACACGCGAAGGGGAAAGGAGCAAAAAATAAGAAGAAGAAAATAAGTCAGGGACACAAGCAAACAGGCTGGGGGGCTAATGGCTTGTCGTAACATCTAATCCCTGCGACGTTCAGCCGCGTACAAGTCCAGCTCTCCCCCAAGCCGAGTATATCAACAGCCTTACGTCCTCTATCACGCTACACTCCACTCCACTCTGTCCATCTACTACGGATACCCTCCGATTGATTGCACTGCATCGTCTACTGTTCGTAGGCTGTTGCTAATTCCTTATTTCCTTCCTCCTTTCTTTTCTCTTCTCTTCCTCTATTACCAATCCCTCCCATTTGTTTCGTCTTCTTTGTCCCTCTTGTACTTTTGCTCTCTTCATCTCCACAACGATACCTAGTAATGAGTGTATGTCCTCTAATGTCTTGGCGATATCTCATCTCGAGAGCATTGAGAATGCTAACTACCCCGGCTCCTCCATTCAGAACTCGGCTTCCAATCATTATTGGGACAGCTCCGGTGACGTCCTGCAGGGGATCATGGACACTCGCGTTACCTCAACGTCCTCCCATCCAGACCCCTCATCGGACGGGCTGGAAGCGTCGTCCGACCTTGCTCTGGGTGACCCAGCTACTTTACTTGGGATGCAGTTCAGCCCGAATCCAGACATCCTTCCTCACGACCATGCGTCCGTCCTGAATACGTGGCCTTCCTATCATAATCTGCCATCGTCGCCTACGTCTCATCGGTTCGATTATCTCCAGTATCGTCATGCACGACTGATGGATAACCAAGACGCCTGGAGCCCGCTCCAAATGACAGGGATGCCCGTCAACCCGTTCCAGTTTGGCATTCGGCATCATGGGGAGACGCCGCAGATGGGCGGGTTTGATCGCAGGTACTCCACCGGTCAACAAAGTGCGCATTCTGAAAATGACAGTCAATGCACGGGCATCCGCCAATCAGACCCTGGGTACGGTACGCATAGCTGTGCCTCGCGCTCGGTTACAACGTCATCCCAAGCCTTCGAAGCAGCGTACAGTCCGTCTCTTGCGCCCCATGAGCTTGAATCGGAGGACAAGTTACCCAGTTGGGACATCAGCGTCCAACAGTACGGCGAACAAGGATGTGAGGTCGCGGAGAGAATGGAAACGTCGTCTTTGGTCTGCACCGATGTCATCGGATGTGATTATCCAGGTTGTCCGTGGACTGGTAAATGCCCTTCCGACAAAAGGTGCGCTACTTCCACTTCTTTACCCACTCGTTTGCCGCGAGACGCAGAGCGATTAGGCTAATCACTCGCTGCAGGAAACACGAAGCCAGACATCGGAAACTGTTCAAGTGCGATGAGCCATATTGCCCCCGAAAAGAGGGCTTCGGGACGATCAATGACCTGGCCCGTCACAAGAAATGCGTTCACAAACAGGATCCGGAACGCGGTCCGAAAATGCTGTTCATGTGCTTTGGGCACAACTGTCCGCGCAAAGACAAGAGATGGCCCCGGCTAGATAATTTTCGTCAGCACCTGACTAGGATGCATCATGATGAGGACATCGACGATTTGCTGAAAAGGTGCGTTGCTTTCTAGCCTCGTTTCTGTCTGAATTCGGGGCGGGCCAGGGGCTAACTGTGCGCTATGCAGGTCGCATGATTGGTATGAGACGTGCGTCAAGCCACAGGAAATGACATCTTCCATCGCCGAACATCTATCAGAGGTCAAATACGCCATGGAGACGAACCAAGGCCCCAAGCTGGAGTATCCGACAGCGGAGTCTCCTCTAGACAGTGTCAGCATGGTTTCGAGCGAGCAGGTCTCTTGTTCATTCGGAAACTTGGTCCTGGATTCTACCTATGACACCTTTGCTGCACCCAACTCCGATCGCATTCATGCCTCGCGGCCGTCTATGTCAGACGCTTCCGAGTCCGTCGATTTATCCGCTCCAACACCAACCAAGATGGAACCCCCTTCTCAAGATAGAAAACCATCATTGTCTGCCAGTCGAGGAAATACCCGAAACGATAAGATGGACGACATGATAACTGAGGCGGCTGTAAACATGATCAATGCCATGACCAAGATCATGAATAGTAATCAACGAAGGCGAAGCCAACAAGCGGACGATGCAAGTGAAACTGATGATCAGCACGAGCTGTCCGACCGAAAGCGCGAGGTATTACAGAAGATCCTATCGACCGCTTTGGATCAACTGTCTGGTCACGGCAATCAGACCCATGCCCATACGGCGCCAGCCGACAACACAAACGAAAAGGGATGGATTCAATGTGAATTCTGCTCAAAATGCACGCGCTTGCGATGCGAGATGAAGTAAGGAACTTCGTTCCCCACTGGCAAAGGAGATTTCTGACCTGCCACCCTCAAGAAAACACAAGAAGCGCCATGAACGGCCGTATGGTTGTACTTTTCACAAGTGCAACAAGACATTTGGCAGCAAAGCTGACTGGAAGCGTCACGAGAACTCGCAACATTATCATCAGCAGAGTTGGCGCTGCACCTTGCATGATGCCACGCAAGGGGGTTTGCAATGCGCTCGCTTGTATTATCGGCAGGAGATATTCGCTCAACACTTGAAAAGGCACCATCACGCGGGCGATGATGACGTGCGAGCAGCACTCTACAAGAACTGCATTGGTCAGAACGGCCAGTCGCAGCTCAACGGCCAATCGCAATTCTGGTGTGGTTTCTGCCGGGATATTGTTTCCCTCAAGGACCAAGGTCTTGCGGCTTGGAACGAACGTTTCAACCACATCGACATCGAGCATTTCAAGAAGGGGCAACGAATTGGGGATTGGCTACTCCCATCCGGACATGAGACCAAAGACGGGATGCGCGAGGAAGGGAGGAGGAAAACCGTAGCGGACGCAATCGAAGATGACAGCGAGCTCGTCGTAGATGACAATAGCGACGGCAGTTCCGGAAGCGATAACTATTATTCCGACAGCGATGGCTTGCAGGACGAAATTGAAGTGACCGGCCTCGACAATGGTCGGGGACTACCTTTTCAGCCATTCGAGGATTGTCTTCAGGACAGGTCTTCCGCCGCGCTGTATCTACCAACAGGGTCGACAAACTTGCGAAAGCGAAAGCTTCCTAGTCTCCAGCCCACACCGGGCTTCTGTCACGGTCGCAAAGATCGAAGTTTGAGTATAGAAAAAAGGTCCAAAACCTAGGCCTCGCCATATAATCTGGACACTACGATGAAGACACGAAGTCGGATATTCCTCTATCCATTGCGTTCATTATGTGCGCCCCCCTTGACGGTAGACCGAGGCCCAATAGGCATTAATTGCACCGACCATGTAGTCCTCCTTTCCTCGGAGCTCATAGCGGATGTTTGCATAAATCTGGAAATCCTCGGGTTAAAATCATAGTACATATTGCTTCATAACAGGTAGGTTACAGTGGCAACCAAACGAACACAGGTTAGGATAACTCCAAGAGAGCGCAGAGGAAACATTTTTTAGATAAACAACAACAGAGTTGGGTATATATGTATATAATACAACCAAGGAGAACTTGCTAGAGATTCTGCCGAGTGCATGAAAACCACCTATTTTACTTTTTCGAGCTGGTCACTTCCCTGGCCTTCTTTTCCAATTCGGCAACCTCTTCTATCACCAGTTAATTCGGCTTAGTCGATCAGTTGAGTCGTCCCCGGGGGGGGGGGGGCGAGTGAGCTACATACGATTCTTTTCGACTTTGGATGCGTCCATTTCGAGCTTTAGCCACGACCAGTAGATGACCTGGTACGTGAAGATGGCTCCCAGGAAGACCTTGGAGAAGGGGCCCACGAAGAGCTTGTATCGTGACAACTGAATTGGATTCGTCAGCGGTTATTTGAGAATGCAATATTAAATCGGTTTAGAAGCATGTATATATATAGATGTACATATACGATGTGAATTCCAATGTTCACCCGTGGCGGGTTTCCAAAGCCGATACTTGCATCTTCGGATCTAGACAGTGCAAAGAGAAGATCATACGCACCCCTTCTTTAAATGAGCTGGATTCATTGGAAGCATTCAATCGGGTGCGAGACGTGGTAAAGGACCTGTGAGTGGCAGGGGATGATGCAACGGTGAAGAACCGAGAAGTGGCAGCCCGCGATAACATGATTGGGGATTGGGGAAGAGGAGGGCAGAGAAGAAGCAATATCAGCTAGCGTAAGGGCTTTAGAAACAAGGGAAGACGACGAGATCTAGAATCTGGCAGCAAGGGAAGTGGTCTGTCCGAGTGTTGGTTCAACTCAGGATTTCGGACCGGATGGGCGCCGCTTTAACGGCGACTGCCCGACCGGGATTAGCGGAGGCGGCCTCAGGACTCCCAGGGCGCGCTGAGTCAGCCGGCACATGATATCAAGGCCAGAGGTCGAACCGGCGGGGAGGAGCCAAAAGGCGATAAGCTTCGAGAAGCTGGGGCAGAGCTCCATGTTCCTGTCCATCTTTCTTTCCTCCTTCTCGTCGCTCACGGACACCTCTGGCTTGTGGGCCGAACGACGTCGAAATTCCGTCAAGTTGAGGTCAAAAGACGCGCCGGGGTCTATCTCGGCCGTGGATCTTACAAATGAGGGATTTACACCGGAGTTTACGGGATGTCGCGGGGGAGGGTTTGAGGGCCTTAAGACGTCGTTAAACAGCCAGCAAAGAGGAGTTTTGTCTGGCCCGTCCAGAAGGGCAGAATTGGCAGAATTGGCGCGGGATGGGGGCACGTGCACCGGGGCTGAGGCCGCCCGCCCTGGTCGCGCTAGGCCCCGTCAAGCACTAGCGGTGGCTTGTGGGCCGCGCGAGCCTGAGGTTTGCTGTGGCTGACTGGCGACCCGGCAAAAGGCGCGAGTCTTTCCGCCCTTCGATCTCGTCCCATCGTCCAGCATCGTCGCTGCGAGCTTCTCTCTGTGTCCCCCGACTCGCTGCCTCTGCCGTTGTCTTTCGTGTGATTTGTCAATCCTTCCTGAACCGCTGCCTGCGACGCGTTTCTGAGTCTCGGTTGTGAGATTTATCGCTTGTTGTTCTGCCCCCGGGGCCCTGCGCTTTTGCGCTTCGCCGTTGCCCCCCATCCACTCACTCCCACCTCACGGTCACCGGCCGATCGGAACTTTCCTCCAAATTGATGTTGCGCACCTTCTAAGTGCTTTTGGAACTTCACTGTCATTCTTTTCTTATGAAACCCGTCTGTCATTGTTGGGATTGTTTGTTGATTGGGAGGTGCCTGTTTGGATCTCCGTCCGTGAATCAAGCTATTGTCAGCGGTCTGATTCACTGATCTCATTGTACTACCCACGCTACTGTCAGTAAACTCTTGCTTAACCGCTCTCAGTATCCATTCCTGATGATTTATGATTCATCATCACCCCATTACTGTGGTATCATTGAAAGTGACGTCCCGCCTGCTGATATCACAGAAAGCAGGAAGAATCATCCAACCCGACTCATCTTTCCCTGACACCATGGCCCGTTTCAAACGCTCCATCGAGGAGCTGGCCAACAAATCCGATTCGGACGACGATGACTATAGCGATCACCCCGTCCGCTCATCTCGACGCTCGGCATCGAAATCGAAATCGAAAAAGAAGTCGAAGCCCGCGAAGAAAAGGGCTCGTCGCGGCTCAGATGACGATATCATTTCGGACGAGGATATGCTGAGCGATGCAGATGAGCTCTCTTTCCAGGAGTCCGACGAGGAGGAGGAGGACCTGAACGCCCAAAGGAATGCACGCGGTTTAGTCGCGCGAAGGGCCGCCACGAATCGACCAGTCTACAATGAGGAAGAAGAGTCCAGCAACGTGGAAAATGAAGACGAAGATGACATAGAGCCCGCCTCTCCGCTCAAGAAACGCAGGAGCACAGTAGTGAGGCTGAAAGTCGGCGACGCTCTTAAAAAACAGCCACCCGTGGACAATGGAACTCGGCGGATGACGCGGCGCACTCGTGGCGCGTCAGAAGACATCTACGCTCTTACAAACTCTGGACGGCATATGGAAATGGTTGAGCGAGCTACTCGCAGCCCGGAAACCGAGGCAGTACGGCGGCCTCGTCGTGGCTCCCACCCCAACAAACAACCCCCGGTGATGGAGGAGGAAGAGGAAGAGAGCCAAACGAAGCAAGAGGAGTATATTGAGGAGACGACGATGGAAGTGCGAGGCTCCCAGCTTGAGATCATGGAGAGCGACGTCCAAGTTAGTTTCGAGGATAGTGTTCCTGCAGACCAGGGTGCGTCTGGCGCAGACGACGGATTTGTACCCGAATCCGAAAACGGGGATGCCAAAGCAGGCGAGAATGACGATGAGGACGACGAAGAAGACGAAGGACCAGTGACACGGCGAAGGAACAGGCCCACCCGAAGCCAAAATTTCGAGGAGGCCGAACAACCGGAGGAAGACGACGCTGACAGCCAGCAACCTCGTCGCTCGAGTCGCAAGAAACCGAAAAGCTCTCAGAGCAAGCGACAGAACGACGAGGAGAGTGATTTTGAACCCGAAGAGGAAGAATCCAACGACGAAGATGAGATATCCCAATCGGGCAAATCGCAGCCTTCCCCACGCAAAGCTAGTCAGGCTCGCGATGAAGAAGAGGAAGAGGACAGCGTTGTTAGCCGACGGCCGGGCCTGCGCAAAAGGCCGTCTCGATCCCGAGGACAATCCGAGGCAGGGGCCGATATCGCGGAGGAACTCGCCGAGGAGCTTGAGGATCTCAAAGGCGGCCGGCCGCGGAGGAGACTGCAGACAGACATCGTCTATGAAAAACCCCGTCGGAGCCGAAAAGATGTCGACTATCGCATTATTCGTCCCGACCTGGTCTTGCCAATCGAGGATGCCGAGAATGAAGTCAACGAATCTCCTTCGCGCCGTGGCCGCGGAGGCGGCGGCGGCGGCGGGGTTTGGCAACGCACCCTGTTCCCTACCTATGGACCTTTCGGCGGCGGCGGCCCGTCTGCCATCCTTGCTCCGCCTGGCGCCCCCGCCGCCACGGGAGGCGTCGACAGCGACAGTAGCGATGACGAAGTCGTGCAGCATCCGAAGAGTGCCGGTGGACTAGCTTCTGGTCCGTCTGGTGCTGGCCTGGTCAATACTCAAACTCACTCCGCCGACGCCGCGCAAGGTCCTTCAGGAACGCCTGCGAACCTCGGCAAGGTTAAGGATAAGCAGACTCTTGCCGATGCGGATCCATTGGGGGTCGACGTGACTGTTAACTTTGATAGCGTTGGAGGTCTTCAGGGTCACATTGATCAACTCAAGGAGATGGTTTCTCTGCCGTTGTTGTATCCCGAGATCTTCCAGCGTTTCCACATCGTGCCCCCACGAGGTGTCCTCTTCCATGGGCCTCCTGGAACGGGTAAAACCCTACTAGCAAGGGCTTTGGCGAATAGCGTCAGCTCTGAGGGTCGGAAAGTCACCTTTTATATGAGAAAGGGTGCAGATGCCCTGAGTAAGTGGGTGGGTGAGGCCGAGAGGCAGCTCCGGTTGCTGTTCGACGAGGCGCGCAAAACGCAGCCTAGTATCATTTTCTTTGATGAAATCGATGGTAAGTAGCCTGAGTCTTCCACGAAGGGCAGTGAAACCGAACATTACTGACACTCAAATCAGGTCTGGCACCCGTGAGATCGAGCAAACAGGAGCAGATTCATGCCTCTATCGTTTCGACTCTTCTTGCCCTTATGGATGGTATGGATGGTCGCGGTCAAGTGATTGTCATTGGAGCCACGAACCGACCTGATTCCATTGACCCTGCCCTCCGGCGTCCTGGTCGATTTGATCGAGAGTTCTACTTCCCCTTGCCAAATGCTGAAGGCCGCCGTGCCATTTTAGACATCCACACGAAAGGCTGGGATCCTCCTCTTCCTGGTGACATTAAGAATGAGCTGGCGGAGATCACCAAGGGATACGGTGGTGCCGATCTTCGTGCTCTGTGCACAGAGGCTGCCCTGAACGCAGTCCAAAGGCGGTACCCCCAGATCTACAAATCCGATAAGAAGCTTGTCATTGACCCAAAGAACATTGATGTTACTCCGAAGGACTTCATGATAGCCATCAAGAAGATGGTTCCGTCATCGGAACGGTCCACTTCATCTGGTGCCTCGCCGCTACCTAAGGAAGTTGAGCCCTTGCTTCGTGATCCTCTCAGTAATCTCAGGAACCAAGTGTCCGAAATTCTTCCCCAGCGAAAGAGACTTACTGCCTTGGAAGAGGCACAATTTGAGCAACCCGAGGACTCTGGAAGCTTCCGACACGAGCAGATGCAGCAAGATTTCGACCGTTCGCGAGTCTTCCGGCCTAGAATGCTGCTCCGCGGGCCCATAGGCATGGGACAGCAGTACTTGGCCGCCGCTCTTTTGCATTACTTCGAGGGACTACACGTCCAATCGTTCGACCTCCCCACCCTCCTCAGCGACTCAACCCGAAGCCCCGAAGCAGCCGTCATACAGCTCTTTGCAGAAGTGAAACGGCACAGACCGAGTGTGATCTACATCCCGAATCTTCAGAGTTGGTCAGACACCGTCGGACCGGCGGTTACTTCTACGTTCCTTGGATTGCTGCGATCGATTCCCCCTACCGATCCCGTTCTGCTGTTGGGAGTTCAAGAGTCGAGCGGCGAAGATATAGACACTGGTTTAGTGAGGAACCTGTTTGGGTTCTCAAAGCGAAACTTCTTCGAACTCAGAGCGCCTGGCCACGCCGCACGACTAGAATTTTTCAGCAAAGTAATAGAATACATCAAGACCTCGCCAGCGCATTTCCCAGACCCAGAAAATCGCAAGCCGAGGGAGCTCGAAACATTGGAGGTTGCGCCGCCACCGCCGCCAAATGCTGACCCCGCACCCTCTAAAGAACAGCTCAAATCGCAGAAGAAGAAGGACCATCAGACTCTTAACCTCTTGAAGATTCGCATCCAGCCCATCATGGACCAAATCAAGAAATACAAGCGGTTTAGGACTGGCGTGATCGATGAATCCCAAATCAGATACCTGTGGGAGGAAGATGACCCGAATATTGTCACGAGTGACTTGCCAATTGAACAGCGAAAGGCTACATTCCGACCGTTTGAAAAGGCTCACGACAAGCATGGCGTCCTAGGTCTCCGGGAGACGGTTTCGGGCAAATTCTTTTACAACATGGATATTGTCACCATCGAGAAACGTCTCTCCAACGGCTATTACAAGCGACCCAAGGACTTCTTGGCAGATATCAAACGAATGACCAAAGATGCTCGACAACTAGCCGACCAGGAGAGGCTTCTCAGAGCGAATGAACTCCTGTCTAACGTTGAAGTCGATGTCGCCACCATTGAGCAAGCGGAGCCCCAGTTGGTGACGGAATGTGAAAATGTCTATCTCCGAGAATTAGAGCGCGAGAAAGTGGCGTTGCAAAAGGCCAAGCAGGCCGAAGAAGAAGAGGATGCCTTCACCGGCCGCCAGGCCGCCAATCACAACGTTCCGCATGGCAATACCGAGTCTGGTCCTTCGACTGGGCCCGTGGTGCTAGGTGAATCTTTCCCAGTCATGGCGCCTAGCGGGCAAGCTAGGCCGGTCACCCCGACACGTCGCTCTAACTTGAGTTTCATGACCAACGGGTATCATGGGGGCGGAGGGTCGGACTTGAATGACCTAAGTACCCATGCCCTGACGAGCAATGGGTCTCACGAATCTCGACCAGACGGAGACGGGGACGTTTACATGACCAATTCCGAAGATCACTCGGGCGAGAGAGAAACACAGACCAGCTCGTTTGGTCCATCCGCACAGCCAAAGCCGCCGTATTCACACACGGCACCCTCGCAGCAAGTACGACGGGAATCAGGCCTGTCGAGCCTGTCGCAAAAAGGCCCAATGACACCGATGGCTCCCGGATCGCAGCCGCACGACTATACCAACGAAGCTTCCACCACCCAGACCACGTCCGACAAGAAATCGTCGGAGCAGTCATCCATCCCCCAAAACTACACGCAAAGTCCTGTGGCGGGCCACGGGATGCGACATGAATTCCCCGATCTGACCCAGTACCCAGACCGTGTATCGCAAGAAGAGCATCTCCCAGACACACAACAGGGTGACAATAGCAGCCAGCCATCGCCTCATGGAAACGCGGACGCTGATCACCATGGGTCCAATGTGAATTCGCCCCCGCCGAAGTCGCAACCTCCCGTGCCTCTTTTCGACGCCTCCGCAACGCATCAGACCCATGT